ATCTAGACTATTCCATTTTTTATGATGTAATGTTCCTAGAAACTCCTCTGAACGTTTTCCCCTAAATCGTATGACGTATTTCTCCCCTAAGTCTTATTTTTCCTCGGTGATTATTGTTTATTAGACACCGGGTGTTACCAAGGATAAAGGAATGAAGACGGTGCAATGATCCTCTCCAAGGAGCGAGTCAGGTGAATGACAGCTCTGGATCCGACTGGAGGGCCAACTCTTACTGGTCAGTGGGAAATCAGAGGGGTGTGGAGATACTATGTAAGAGAAGGTAGCAGGAAAGAAACAAGTCAAATAGCTGAATTTAAATGTATCCAACTGCGAAATCAGGGGAGAAACCAGAAAGAATTGTCTGCGAGAGTTTGCTGTGAGGAGTTGCACCAGGAATGGAGAGAGCTAACTGTTCCACTCTCTTGTGTCCTACACACTTTGTACCCCCCCCCCCCCCTCCGCTTGTCACTCTGGATCCTGAAATCTTAGGAGGTGTATCAACATGGTGGAAATCTAAAGCGTAAACAAGCAGCCTGCAGGAGGAGCACCTGTGGTCTAATTAGCTTTGCCTCTCAGCCAGTGCGCATTTGTGTTTTGGAAGAGGTTCTTGCGGTCAGACAGCCGTTTGGGGGACTAGACCATGAAGACCAGTCCTGCCGCTTGGATGGGGAGAAGCCCGACTATGTGTGAACATCTGCTTTGCCTTCAGTGGAACCACAAAGTTAGCAAAATAGAATAGCGCTCTAAAGATGCACATGAGAGCCGGATTCAGATACAGGGCGTGCCTGCCTGTGTCCACCTCTGCTTACTGATGGTTTTTCAGCTCGACGATCTTGGCAGCCTGTGCGGAGCAAGGCATCAGTCCCAGCGTATTCCTGTTTTCCCAGCAACCATGCCAGCATGCAGGATACTCTTGTAAGATAGCGGTAAATCACGGCTGTACCATAGGCATTTGTTTCTGGGGTCTAGGTCTACATTTTGGTGGCTGTTTGGTTAGCAAGCTGGGCAGTGAGTCAGCACCAAGGTCATGGACTTGTTTGAATAGTAATAAATAGATTCGTGGTGTCTGTGTGAGAGTGATAATATCAGACTTATTGGTTCTCCTGAATCTCAATATCACACACACACACACACACACACACACACACACACACACCTTGGTGTATAGCAAGGTCAACAGTACTCTAGTCCTTGGAGAGATAATTCAGCCAGTTAAGCCTTGCAAGCTGAAGGATCTGAATTTATGCCTCAGGACCCACACCAAAGAAGCCAGGTGTGGTCATGAATGCTTCTAATTTCAGTACTGGGGAAAATCGAGACAGGAGGGTCCCTGTGGTCTGTTGAAAGGCCAGCCTAGTCTACTTGGTGAGTTTCAGGCCAGTGAGGGACCATGTGTCAAAAACAGGACAGTGAATTCCAAGGTTGTCCTCTAACCCTCACAGGTCTATGTACACATATGTACATAAGCACACAAGCACACACCCACACAAGAACAAATGTAGGGAGGGTGTTGCAAGGGATGGGGTCATGATGGTTGAGCTAGGTGGGACCAGAGGGTAGAGCGAGGTGGTAGAGGGGCCATCATGGTCAGAGACCGGAAGCCATTCATCATGAGTGCCTCTTTGTTTCCCAGTCATGACTTCTGGAACACGTGGGCTGTCTTTTAATCACAGCCTGCGGGTATTTGGTGGGACTCTCTCCTAAAGCAGAGGTGCCTTGTGATTAGGACATTTTCTTTCGCAAACATCACACACATAGGCCGTAATAACAAACTACCATACTAATAAACCTTCCACGAAGCTGAAACCTCCAGGTCAGGGCCAAGCTAAAGTTCAGTCCCTGGCCTGGAAAGGGCACTGGGATGGCCTGGGTGAGCCTGCCCTTGAGTTGGGTGTGGGTCATGTGGGCAGGATTCCTCATTGCTTCTGAGTTCTTAGTGAATAGAGGAGCTCCCTGGGATGTGCAGAGACAGGCCGGGGAGGGCTGGGCAGGAGGCAGGAACAAGGAGGACAGACGAAGATTTATTTGGTTACTTATAAGATGACAGGCATCCACGGAGCTTCAGCTCCTCGCAGCTTTAGATGATGGTGCAGGAAAAAAAAAAAAAGCTTTTTAAAAGACAAAGCGCAACTCCAACTTTAAAGTGTGCCGGGAAAGACTCTGGAGTATTTCCCCTCTAACCGTGACGTACAGCCACAGGAATCAGTTGGAGAATGTGGTGTTCTTGGGAAAGGCATGCAGGTAGCCTTTTTGTGATTCTTGCCTCAATCTCCCGGGTCAGGTTTTTCTAGTTTGACTCGGCTCCCTCTTACCGTCCATGATAGGATGTATTTTAGCTTAAAGAAGCCTTAGCCTCCCTTGAGCCCTGCTGGGAGAGCAAAGAGGTCCAGTGAACACGATCAAAGGAGAAATCTTAATGACTGACCGAGGAGTGGTGTGTCATTAGACAACCTAAGGCTTATGAGGAAACTTACTTGGTAAAGATTTCGGCAAGGAGCGGGCAGGATCCACTGCTCCTCATAAGGGGAGGCCAGGAGTGTCAGGTTCTAACTAGCCAGATACCTAGCAGCCTGCTTTTCAGAGGTAGTTGTTTTCTGTGGCTTCACTCTTCAAAAATCTGAAGTATTCAGAAGTGTTGTGCCCTGAAAGGAATGCATTTTAAGTGGCTTTGGAGCTGAGAACATGTAACTGTGCTTCCCAGCAGCCCTGTGGCCCTTGATGTTGGTCATCGCTTTTCATGGTCATCGTCAGGACTGACTGCTCTTTCGGTTTTTGCACAAACCCAGGCACTGGGCCTAGGTTTCCTCGAATTGGCTTATCTAACATTAATGGAAAGAGGAAGAGGTTGCTGTCACTGCCTTAAAGCATCCAGGAGGAGACTACTGTAGTAGCCATCGTCCACGGCCCGTTGTCATGCTGGTTGCTAGGGAAGGCCCAGAAAGTAATTACAGTAGGCCATGGCTGGGGAATGTGAGAATATGTAAGTATCTGCCTCTTGTGGAACCCTTTACCTGGAGAATATATAGTACACAGGATAGCAGCTCCAGGTAGTACACAGGATAGCAGCTCCAGGTTGGTTTTAATGCTTGGTTTATAAATACCTTAGTTGAACCATCAGGCCGTTTTTCTCTTCTGCACACAGCTGTGCACCACCAGGCTAGGCTTTCCCACATCATATTAAACCAATAGTCATTGTGATTGCAATTCTTTTCCAGGGGTTTCTGAAGGTGTGTTTAAACAAAACCAAAGAGAGGCAGGTTTTAAATTGATATGGTATCTGCCTACGACTATGATGAACCAGTTATATGTACATACAATACATATTAATGTGGGGATTTTATTTCAATTAGTTTTTCTGGAGATCATCGCTTGCGATGAAGAGGAAAACATAAATGTGATATTGCTTTTGGTTTTTGATGTTGAGATAAGACTTATTATGTAGTCCAGGCTGACTTGGCATTTGATATCTAGCACAGGGTGACCCCAAACTTGGGATCCTCCCACCTCAGTCTGCTGTGTGCTGGGATTTGCAGGCCCTCCCTCAACACATCTGATTCTAAAAGTAACATATCTTCATTGAAAATAAGTCAGACATAAAAGAAAAAATTGAATTAAGATGTAAAAATTATCCACAGTCTCCCTTTTTAGAGAAAATAATAATTATCATCAAAAATTGGCAGATTTCCATGTACTTTGTACGTACATATTTTAGGCAACTGAATTTTGACAGAGGTTTCTGTCCCACCTGGTCCCACAGCCGTTCAGTCCCAAAGAAACACACAGAGGTCATTAATCATAAACTGTTCAGCCTCCATGTGTGCCTGCAGGCCAGAAGAGGGCACCAGATCTCATTACAGATGGTTGTAAGCTATCATGTGGTTGCTGGGAATTGAACTCAGGACCTCTGAAAGAGCAGACAATGCTCTTAACCACTGAGCCACCTCTCCAGCCCCAAATTCTAAACTCTTAAATCTATTCAGAGTAACAGAAGCCACACTGTGTGTTTCATCAGTAGGTACTTTGAGAACTAAGTATTATTATCAATGGCTTTCTCGCTGGTACCACTTTTCTTCTTGTTAATCATAGATTTTAAACTTTATTTTGTATTTTTATGATTATAAAGGAGAAAGATGAACACAGGACTTTAGACAAACTGAATGACAAGCGGCCCACAGGCTACCAGAAAGGGAAGTGGGCAGATGTCAGGAGGCAATGGCTAAGAGACCCTAGGAACAGCAAGATCCTTGTCTCTTTTCCTGCATCTCTGCCGTGCCACAGCATACCCTGTGTCTCGTGGAGAAGTTCTCCCAGATAATGGAGCCAATATGATTATATATTTCCTATATTAAAACAAGATCTAGGGTTTGGCTTCATTTTCTGAGGTCTGGGAAGTCTGAAATAGGTGTAATAATGGAAGTAGATGAAGCCATGGAAACCGCAGGCAGTTTCACTGTCTCCTAGTCATCGGTGATTCTTTTCCCTTCCCTCCCTCCCTTCCCTCCACCCCCCTCCCTCCCCCCTCCCTCCTCCCTCCCTCCCTCCCCTCCACCCCCCTCCCTCCCCCCTCCCTCCTTCCCTTCCTCCCTCCCTTTTCTCCCCTTCTTTCCAGGGGGCTCAGGAGCCACCCCTGAGAACTTTTTCAGAGTCCACTCACTCATAAATCGCAATCATTCCACCCCTCACCACTAAAGTGGGGTCTAACCAACTTTCCAATGTGGAAAAGGATCCCCCACGTTCACCCTCACCACCAGGACAGGCTTTTGCAGAGGGCACTGGGTGCGACAGTTGCCCTCTTAATGAAGAAAGAAACCTTTGCAGCCACACACTTTAAACAAGACAGAACTAAAGGAGAGGCCTCCTTTAGTAACTGTTTAATGCACACACTTCTTGTGATCATGTGCTACGCCAGAGGACTAGAAGGGAGTTCACGAGTCCTCTTCTTTGTGCCCCAGCCACCTCAGAGAAACACTACTACCCAGCAAAGTCTTATTTAGTAGCAAAATATATTTTAATGGAAAGTCATTTAAGTAGTTGAATAAAAACGTGTTCCAGGGACTTTCTCAGCGGGCGGCAGAGTATGTACATCTGGTGAGGGTGGAGCAGCATCTGTTTAATGTGACTTCCATATAGAAAACGCAAGCGTATTGAGACAATGGAGACACATAAGAAAGGACGTCACGAAGAGTAACAGAATAGATGGCAAAATGAAAAAGTCCACCTCAGGCTTAGAAAACACACAAGCCCAAGCGCCGTGTTGGTCTTCCTTGCTGTGAGTTCCAGGAGCTACCAGGAGGAGATGACCCTGCTTCCGGAGAGGCGGTGGGGGCGGCGTGTGTTAAAACCCACTTCTCCTTCTCCTGAAGAAAGAAAACAACAAAACCAATGGTTCAAGAGGAGAGATGAAGTTGAGGTAGGGAGAAATTCTGGGATGTTCATGGAGAGGGGACAGTAAATTTTAGCCCAGCAGGCATATCTGTAAAAATACTTGTGAAGGATGAGGTTCATTCCTCAGGAGAAGGAAGGGGCATGGAAAAATCAAAGTATTAGGAAACATTTTTATCAACTTTAATAGTGTTATTGTAGACAAAAATCTCAAACATTGGCTGGGGCGCTCTCTCTCTCTCTCTCTCTCTCTCTCTCTCCCTCCCCTCTCTTCCTCCCATCCTTCTTTGTATTATTTTTTTTTAGACAGGGTTTCACTATATAGTCCTGGCTGGCCTGGAACTTGCTTTATACACCAGACTGACTTGGAACTCACAGAGATCCTCCTGTCTCTGCCTCTGGAATGCTGGGATTAAAGGTGTGCACCATTATACCCTACTTTGCTAGGACATTTTCAATAAAAATATGTTAAATTTATTATTTATTCTACATTTTACGTTTAAGAATATTATTTTTATCATTTGTGTATATTTTTACTGTTTTTAAATACGTATGTGAGTGTGCATATGTGTGTGTGTGCACACGCGTGTGTGCGTGCGTGTGCCTGTGTCACAGCTCATGCCTGGAGAAACGGATACTCTTCCCCTACCGCATAGTTACAGGAATCAAACTCAGGTTTTCAGACTTCACTGAAATCACCTCCACCTGCTGAGCCACCTCACCAGCCCTGAATTATTTTCTTTAATCATGGAAGTCTGCCCCAGGCCTTGGGAGCTTGAGGCTGGAGGATCGCAAGTTCCAAATCCATCACTGTACACAGGGGCCACATCAGCCTCCCTATGGCTCCAGTTTTAGTGTATGTACCACTGAAAAGGCAATACTGTTGACTTTTGAGATCTCGTTTTCTTCATCTATCCCAACTTAATCTTTTCTCGCTTTGGATTTAGTAACGGTTTAGAGAGAATACCTCGATATCCCGTGCTTAACCAAGTTTACACTACAACTGGAGATACCTTCTGGCTCTTGAACTATGGTCGGCCCTGAAATACAGTCCAGGGATTATAGCTCAGCACTTGCTCTGGGCTGTCTTACCTGGAGCAGTCATGTCCTGTCCAGGCTGAGAGACAATGGCACCGGTTTGGTCTTATGCATTTTCCGCCATTTAAGCAGGGAGACTGGCAAGTAGCTATGATAAAAAAAAAAATGCATGGATTCACTTAGTCAATACTTAGACATTCTAAAGATGCCACAGAGGCTCATGGGTAGGACCTGCCCTTTCTTCCCACCGAGCTATCCCTGGCCATCCCTCGCACACCTTACATCTGTATGTGAGATCACCGCCCCTCCAGAGGATTCAGGTTTTCACATCAAGGCCACACACTAAGATCACCTTTACTAATCATGTCAAGTCCACTGGGTTTTATTATTATTATTTTAACGTATGCAACCACTATGGCACTTTGTTCTGAGTTCTAAGTTTTTCATACACTCAGTTAATTTGTGGTTCTCTGTGGGGGTGGAGGGCAGCAATAAACTCTAAAGAATATGTCTGTCACACAGAGTGCCCAGAACAACACATGAGGCTGGAGAGACAGCTCAGTGGTTAAAGGTGCTGGCTACTCTTCTAGAGGATCTCGGTGTGATTCCCAGCACCCACACATTGGCTCACAACCATCTGCACCTCCAGTTTCAGAGGAACTCATGCCTAAAAGGGATACAGATATATGTGCACACAAAACACTCACACACATAAAACAGGTGCCCAAGAGCCCTTTGTGCTTGGCCAGGAGACACATCTCATGCTCTTTTAAATAAAACAACTGACCAACGAACAAACCAGCATAATCAGAATTAGAGAACCTTAATTAGGGTTAAAATTAAAATTATTCACAGATGAGGCCCTAGAGAACATCCAAAGATTGGGCATCTTTTCCACAAGCCCACAAACTAACTCATGTGCACAAGTCTGCTCCTTAAAACACCATGGAGTCTAAATACTGATAGAAGTACATTGCCCACTTAAACCTGTCATGAGGGAAGGCGAGTCCATACGGACCCGTCAGTGGAGAGCTGACCTGAGTTTTACTTTAGCACAGTGAGCCGGGCCTTTTCCTGGATTAAAAAAAGCCCATCCTTCATAAAATACAGTGAATTGTCTGCTGAGTGGGTATCGGGCACAAGCCCCAGGGGTGAAGAGGAGAAGGGAGAAGAGAAGTAAACAGGAGACATTCCCCTGCAGGATCCTCTTGCTAAGTGTGAGTAAGAGAGTGTCAGCAGGGCACACTCACTTGCAATTTAATCAGTGTGGGGAGGATGAGCTAAACAGAACAAAGCCTGGCAAAAACTGAAGCCCGAGTGTTCCAGCCCAAGACCCAGCACCTTTCTGTTTGCTGAGCTGAGAAACCGTGACTCTCAGGAGCACTGCTGGATAGTCCCTATCTGGACACATCGTTAGTGGGAACCAGTTCCTCCTTCCTTCTCGTGCCCATGTGGTCACCCCTGATGCCGCGGTGTGTTCTGTACAGCACCGTTCCTTCCCCCCTTTTATTGACGACATACAAATCCGTCTTCAATCTAGATGTGTCTGCTGGGAACCCACACTATCATGAGTCTGCGGTTCAGACTGCTGTCCTTGTGTGTCCCAGACTCCTCTAGTTCAACTCCGTGTCTAGACACTAAGCTGTTTCCCCTGGCTCAGTAAATGGTATTGGTTTCAATCCCAGAGGCCGAACTGGAAAGAATAGAATCATCCCCCCCCACCACCACCAACCACATCAGTATCAAGTAACATTGATTCTGCCTTTCCAGCTTCTCACACAGCCGCCACTTTTTATTTTAACATCTCTAGATGTTGCTACTTCTTGTGTAGAGTGTACTTATAACTTCCCAGCTGATTCCTTGCTCCTGCCAAAATCACATTTTCTTAAAAAACCCCAAAGCCTTTTAAATATATGGGTGGTTTGCCTGCATGTATGCTGGTACCCTTCTGTTGCAATTTTACCTTTCAGTCCGAGTTGAGTCCATTGGTGTCTCCTGTGGTTTCATGAAACCAAACCACTAAGAAAAGAAACCATGGAAGAAAGCCTACCTGTGTGACAGCGGGACCCAGTCCAGCCTGCCGGGCAGTCACACTGATAAGGAGCCACACAGCGCCCGCCATTCAGACAGGGAAGTATGCATATTGCTAAAAACCAAAACAAAACAGATAAAAATGCGTTGACAAAGGATTTGATCACAGCACGCATGTTCATATCTGCTTAGATGTTCAAAATCCGTTTTGCTGGAGGAGAAACTTCTCATGGTTCACTGAGATCTTCCCGTATGCACTCGGCTTACTAATGACCATTGCCAGGAAAGCACAGCTGGGAGGAAGTCTGAGCCTTACGCAGGTGTAACCAGGGAGGTCAAAAGCACTCTTTCCTTGAGGGCGCTGTCCTGGCTGTTTGCTTGGCACTTTGCTTTCAGTCTTTGCAACACCGGCAAACAAACCCCATTTATCATCATTTAAGATTTCTTCTGAGAATTGTCTAAAACACCGTGAGAGGATTCGGCTGCCTCAGGCTTTCTTCTTGAACTACACGTGAGACTGGGAGGAGGCTGGGCTGTCCCGTCGTCTCTTGTCTGTAATAGTTCAGCAGTAATCGGAAAGCTCACTCATTAGTTCCTAGGAACTGAGGCCTGGCGGTTACAGGGCCAGGCATTACCTTCTATAGCAATCACCTCTCCAGAAGAGGCAGAGGACGCTTCATGTATGTGAGATCATTGCCTTGCGTGAACTAGGAGCTGGTTAGAAGCACAGACTCTCGGGTCTCATTTCTGCTCAACCGAACTAGTCTGTATCTTAAAGCCTCTGCAAACTGACTTCTCTGCAAACTAAAATCTGTGATGCCGAAGGGCCGGCATACGCTCAGCCAGCTAGACTAGTTAATCCTGGCTTATGGCTGGAGTACCCCAGTATCTTTGAACCCTTAGTATTATGGCATTGAAGCCTAGGAGCCAGCCCCATATGAAAAGGAATGAAGACAGAAAGGAAAAAATATGACATTTTTTCCCTTATTCTTGTGAAAACACTTGATTTGATTAATTGATAACAGCCATTATTTATTTTCCTTAAAAAAACAGCGGAAAAAGTCACACTGAGTAAATTTTAGAGTTGGCCTTATGTGGAGGGGGACGAAGGCCCCAACTGGGGCCTTAATTTGACTTCTGTCACAGCAATGACTCAGCATGGCCTATCCATACAGAAAGCTGCTTTATCCCTACACATGAGGACATAGAAAAGGGCAAACTTGCAGCCGGGCGGTGGTGGCGGCGCACGCCTTTAATTCCAGCTCTCGGGAGGCAGAGGCAGGCGGATCTCTGTGAGTTCGAGGCCAGCCTGGTCTACAAGAGCTAGTTCCAGGATAGACAGGAGAAACCCTGTCTTGAAAAACTAAAATCAAAACCATAATAATAATACCAATAATAACAATATATAGTAAAAAAGAGTAGACTTTAGATATTAAAAATCATTTGAAACAACTTATTGAGGGCCACTCAGATGGCTCAGCAGGTAAAAGCACTTGTCTGGCAAACCTGCTGACCTCATTTTGACCCCCCTCCCCAGGTCCACTGGTGGAAGGAGAGAACCACCTCCTCGGAGTTGACCTCTGACCTCCACCTATGCTCTTTGCACATGCATGTACACAAATAATAAAATTAAAAAAATTAAAGTAGTTATTTTTATACCCTCAATAAACTAAGCATAGGTTAAGTAAGAATAAAAATCCTATTCATTTGCTAAGTATTATATAGACTATGACTTCCAATTTCCCCTATTTTCGTAATTAGGAGTTATTCTCTGATAACCAAGAGCCACGGTGGTCTCATGAGTCCCCTGGAAAGCACAGCGCTCTGTGGTGCTGCAATCCTTCCAACTGTAGCAAAGGCTGGCTGGTTGTCACTGAACTGAGGTAAGGGAAGAGAGGGCTGCAGCAGTGATCACAAGCCCCTCCCCTAACAAGGCACGCGAGGCTTTGGATGAGGCAACTGCAAACTCCAAGTCAGAGATACTGTAGCTAGATCTTCTGCAGCCTAGTGGTCCCTGAGAGTAGCCCTGCACACTCGGGTCTGCAGCAAGGATTTGAGGCAACCAACTCTGCGAGATAGCGAAGGCATGCCCAGAACCTCCCATAAGCCAGCAGTGTCTCGGCAAAGGATGGGGTGCAAAGGAACATTCAGAGACAGACTCACGCTCTTCACAGAGACGCCCCATCCAGCCGTCCGGGCAGGAGCAAGCATTTGGACGTTGGCAGACACCTCCATTCTGGCATGGGAACCGACAGACAGCTGGAAAGAAAACAAGGTGAATCCTAATTGAGTGCAGGATTTCTCATTCACAGTGCCTCAGTGATGCAGGCTTTAGAGAGGAGACATGAAACACCGAGAAAGAGTTCCAGCATGTGAGGAGAGGCACATACTGCTGGCTCTTACCCTGACACTCGACCTTGTCTTTATGGAGGCAAAATAGACAATTGCGAACTGTATTGACAACTTAGAACTTGATAGCCTGTTTTATGCGTGTATTATAAAATCAGACATAGTTGAGCTAATTGCCATTTGCTAGCACACATAATTACCAGTTCTTTCTCCCTCTTTTCTTTTCCCTCCCTCCCTCCCTCCCTCCCTCCCTCCCTCCCTCCCTCCCTCTCTCCCCCTTTTATCCCTCCCTGCAAATTGCAAAACTACAACACAATACTGTTAACTGCAGAGGAAATGCATCAGATCTTCAGAACATGCTCACCTTAACTAACTGAAACTTTATATTCTCTGACTAATGTCTATCTGCCTCTTCCCTTGGGGCCTGAATCACACTGCACTCCGCAGTCTCTGAGTCTGACCACTTTAGACTGTCCGTTCAGTAGCACAGTTCTCGATTTTCAATGAATGCTTTCACAACAAATGACACAACTGTGGTTTCCCAAACCATTCGGTTGTTGTTAGGAAAGCAGCAGCTTTAGAGGCGTGTGCTTGGGAGACCTTGTTACCTGTTTCCATTGTGAAGAAACGAGCAGGCTTTCAAAAATGTAAATTAGTTCTGGAAAATGATGCCGCTGTTAAGCCCAATTTAAGGCCAAGCCACACACTGATGGTTGGTCATGTTGACCTCCGTGTACCCATCCCTGCAGCCTCACTTGGGAATGATCAAATAGTCTCTTACCTCTGCAAACAGGAGACGGTGTCCATGTTCCATTTTCTAGGCAGACGCTCCTCAGGGAACCTTCTAGCATGTACCCACTGTAACAGGAGTAGGTGATCATGTCCCCATACTGGTAATGGACACCTCGAGCAATGGCATTTTCTACACGAGGTGGAGGACCACACGAAATTTCTATAGGAAGAACAAATATCAATTGAGCCTGTCCAACTAGCCAAGACTGAGCACAACCTTACCATGGAGACTGACATCAGTTTAAGGATCATAGATAAAATACATAGATGAAATTCTTTCACCTACATAATGTCTAGAATACTAGGAACCGAAAGAATAATCTGCCGTTTTAGTCAAATTAGACCATAATACCACATGGTCTTTGTCCCGTGATTCAAATACCCAGACTGAGCTGTTTGAAACCCAAGGAAGACACGAGGCAGAGAACAAGGAGGAGCTCTCAGACCTTGCCAAAGAGGCGGCTGCCAGAGAAGGTGGAAACAGAATACTTACCAAATGAACACAGGGAGGAAAGGAGCATGGTAGCCTACCATTTCAGAGGAACAACCATGGATTATGAAAGGTTCTGTTACTGTCTAGAGTAACAACCCTACCAGAGCTCACTGTGTATTTAGAGAATGAATGGATGCCAACAGCAGCCTGTGGCTGAGTTCCATGAAATTCAAGACCCCTTCTTGAGACTGCAAAGTGTCTCTGGGCATCTGTGTTAGACTGAGTAACCGTCCTTTCTTCAAGAGTACACGTGCTGTATATTTAAATCAGGATTGGGACAGCTGTTTTCGCTTTGAAGATTTTTATAAGCGGTCTCAAGATCCTTCTGGTGTGTGCTGAGGCCTGGGCTGAACTCAGTATTCTACCATGTACCTAGTTCCTGTAAACCTAACAGGTGCTCAGACCACATGACACGCTTACAAAAGGCCATTTTGTTACCATACTATTGTTAAGATTAGTAGAGGAAATAGGACATCTGTGTGATGTTTCTATATTTCCTTTTCCTTCTGGGCTAGACAAAATGCTTATGAGAAATCAGAGACTGGGAAGAAATAAATGCCACGCTTTGTTCAGATAACTAGGGAAAGGCAGGCACATGGTACAATGAGCCTCCTGTGAGCTGTGCCATAAGAATAGATGGCATGCCATAAAAACATCGAGACAAATATAACCACGCTAGAGCAGTTCAGGTATGGATCACAGGGAAGGTTTCTAACTGGGACAACGGTCTATAGAAAGATCACAGGGAACCAACAGCTGGCTTATAGCAGTTTGATAATCAAAGCGCCTACCTGGGAATCATCTGGGGTTTTAAATACACATTTCTGGAGGTTTCTGCCTTGGGAACCTGCATTTTACATACCCACCCTAGGTGATTCTCATGTGCACTAAATTCGAATCTCTGGTCTGTCGGGATTAATATGAGAAGCAGGTAGTCAGGAGGGGGAAGGATGTGTGGTTTTAATCCAAAGACTTCCTGGCTGATAGAAAACATGAAAGAGGCTGGAGGATTAACAATCAGGGAAACCGTCTCCTCTCCAGGGCAACTCGTGGTTCATGCTAGAATACCGAACGTCATCCGGCATGCACAGAAGGCGCATTTGTAACAAACACACGTCTCTTCCGGCTCTTACTTCCAGTGGTCTGAATGGCAAGCATCAGGGAGCCAAGAACCAAGGTGAAGATGTGTGGGCAGAATGAGGCCACTTGGCCTCATTCCCTTCAGGCAGGTGGCTTTAAACTGGACCAGAGGGTCAAAGAGAAATCCAACGGATGCTCAGTTACTTCTTTCCCTTTCATTAAGGGTAGATTTCGTAAATGTCTGGGAACTAAATCCTAGATAAAAATATAGTGTGGAATTTTCTTGCCTTTTTTTTTTTTAAAGTCTAATGCTGCAGTAGGCTGGCAACTAGCTAAAAATTCTGGGAGTTGGGAGGTCGAGTGACTGGGTACCTCTTCCCATCCAGAGAAACTGCTGATGCAAACCCATGAGATGAGTAGTAGTGTTACTATTAACAAATGAGAACCCTAAGATCAAAGGATGCTAAGGCATTATTGTAAGTTCAGAGTTAGAATTTTGGAGGCTAGAACTCCAGCCTAGTCTTCATGCGCATGTGGCACAACCATATCTGATGGGGATGGCAGAAGTCATAAACTCAGGACAGCTGTTTGACAAAGACCCAGCAGAGCTTAGCCACATGATGGCTGCCACGCCACCTTTGCTTTGCATCTCCACTTGTTGCATACTTGAGAAACTTTTAGTATTTGTACAATTTGGGAATGGAAAATTTCTTATGAATCATTTATGCCTTCTCCCAGGAGTGCTATTTCCAAGCTTCCCCAGCCCCTGCTTTAAGGAGAGATATCCTTATCTACTTGAGGTGTTCCTTCCGCCTTGAAGGTTGTGGCACACTTAAAGAAGCCAGAGGTCTCTTTATGAGGCTATGAGGCATTTTTGAAAAATCCGTCCTTGTACTTACTCATGAACAAGATAACCAAAGCAAAGTAAACTTAAAAAGGTCAACAAGATTCGGTGGACTGGAGGAGCTGGCCACAGTTCAGATCACAAGCCTCTTCCACTATACACTCAGGCGATTATGTGGTAAATACAGAAATAAAGTTAGATTAGCTGAAGTTACCTCTGTCCTATACAGAGACTTATACTGATGGGCAAAGAATGATGTGGAAAGATGATAAAACTATTCTATAAAGATATAAAATATATAAACATTATGTTATGCCAGAATTTGAATAATAAATGCAGCAGTTTGGGCCTGAGGATATTTCTTGGGCACTCTGACCATTAAGAGTTAATAATACACTGCTTGGGACATGGCAGTATGCCCAGGATGGCTTGAAGATTGCTTTGGTCAAATGTCCTTGTAGTCAAAAGGGTAACCAGCCTGAGAACAACTTGTCATATGCCTCTGGATTCCTAAAAATTGGGTTATGGGGTTGATGAGTAAAAATGATAACTCTGTTTATCAATGATGTCAAAACTTGAGGGAAAATGATTGGAAATGAGAACTCTGTTCTGTCATAGTTTATTGACTAAAAGATGAGCAGAAGGAAGTAAAACACATGTCCAAAACCGAAAATGATACGGTCTATGTTTTGGAACAACATAAATGTATCCCTAATTTCTAAATGTTGTATAAATAAAGAAGCACTCTGGCTGCTAGTGAGACAGGCTGCAAGAGTCTCCTGACCATGGCCTGGCTCCCTCCCTCCCCCGCCAACTCCTTATGCCCTCCCCTGGGACCTGTCCACTGTTGGGGGTGGCTCCGGCACGCACATCTGTTGCTTCACTAATCGCAGTACAAGTGTTTGAAGATGGACTACATCTCAGGCAAAATATTCTCATGTTATGTACCCTAGTACCTTGCATGTGGTTAGACCCAAGGAACATTTTCATTGAGTGCTGTTGACAGAGTAGCTTGGGCAACAAGGGAGACAAGACGTAGGATGTTGGATGGGGAGATGTTTAAAGTAGAAATGGGGAGTAAGAGATGCCAGGAGACAGTCACAGTTAGCAGGCTAACTCTCTAGCCTGCAGAAGGCAGGGTTGTAACCTGGATGGATTAACATGGTGCTGGACCAGCAGTTCTCAAGTTACGGCTCGTGGACAGCAGTATCCCTCTGCCTACTCATCACTGTGAACAAAATCCCTGTCAGGAATGGCCTAAGATATGAAAGGCTTATCTAGGCTCATGGTTCCATATGGTTCAGCCCACGGTCGGTGGGCTCCTGTGCTTGGACAGAACCCTGTGGCCATGGTGATTCTTCACCTCACAGCAGTTGACAGTGAGAGGGCCAGGGGCCGGGGGAACAAGGTCCTGCCCGAGGGACCTATTTCCTCCAGCTGGGTCTCACCTCCTAAAGTTCCTAGCACTTCTCAAAATACTGCCACTAGCCGGGCATACAAGACATTTCCTATTGATACCATTAACAACCTCTGTAGGGGACACCCAGGAACTGTGAGAAACTGGTGTTATCTAGCCTCACCTGAGAACACAGAATCAGAAATGGGGGGAGTGGAGCCTGGCTATCTGTGTTCTAGAGAGCTTCTGAAGTTCTACTGACATATGCTCATGATTGAGAACCAGCTCAGGGTAATTTTTGTTTGCATAAAGCACCCGTAGCCCATTAAAGGATAACGTGAAGACTTCGGTGATGTCGAGGGAAATCTGTGTTTTAAACTTAGGGTCACGCTTGTTCTCGGAGGAGCACATTTGACACATCGACTCAGTGAATCCTAATTCTCCTGACCAGGAAGGTTTTAATTTGGTCTGGAAAAGTCATTTTTTTAAAAAAGTGTTCAGTATTCAACCCATATTTTTGTCATTTTTAAGAATCAATGCAGAAGCTAACTAAGAGAGCGCAGAGTTAGATAACTACGAACCAATCAGTGACTTCACAGGGCTAAAGAGACAGTGCAGACATATGTGCATCTACTGCTCCTGCAGACCCAGGTTCCGGTCCCAACACCTGCGTGGCAACTCACAGTGATCTATAACTTCAACTGCAGGGGACCCAATATGCCTTTTTAGGCACCAAAGACACATGATGCCTACACATATGCAAACCACTCATATACATAAAAAATTAAAAAAAAAACATTGCTGTAATGAAAGCAGAATCAAGTATTAATTAAAAACAGAAATAACCCCCTCCCCTGACTTCACATGCCAGGAACCTGGCTCAGCAGGCAAAAGTACTTGCGAAGCATGTATGACAATCTGAACTGGATCCTTTGGCCCTGACTGTCCTCTGACCTCCTTTCCACATGGATGTTTTAAGTTACACCTCCCTTCTTTCTCCTTGCTTCCCTCTCTCCTTCCTCCCTCCTTCTTCCCTCTCCACACTAATAGTAAATAAAATATACGTTAAAAAATATGAGAAATGGAGGAACCTTCCACACTAGCGGGCCTCCACGGGGCTCTGCCCATCCACTCACTTTCACACTTGGCGTTGGTCTGTGTCCACGTCTCATCCGGGTTGCAGGTGATGACGCCGTTGCCTCTGAGCAGGAAGCCTTCCCTGCACTTGACAGACACATTCTGGCCAACGTGAAACTCTCTCTCAGAAAGCAGAGCGTTCTCAGGGATCACAAAAGGGACAGGGCACGGGTTTGCTGTGAAAAGGCGGGGCAGGTGCTTACTGAGATGTCTTTTCTTTCCCTAGCTCATCTCTTTAAAGACAGAATAGGGGCTCGCAGAACAAAGATTCTCAGTGACAATACTAATACAAATATATTTTTTTTTAAATTTCGAACAATCTGATCTCAAACACATGCTCCTCCTGACTCAACTCACCACGCTCAGCAAAACCTTAACAATTCAGAACTGCAAACATTAAGCACAGATTTGCTTCACGCCACATGAAATTATGTGTGCAGATTAAAGGTCAGGCATATAAGAAATCAAGGACCACGCTGAGTATTCCCTCAATATTTGACGTCAACAGCGTGATAAATTCTGCTGAACTCCTTTCTTTTGCTGAACATCCTTCAGAGAAGATGGACACAGAGAGTCATCAGACATCGCTGTGTGAGTTTAGCCTGACTTCAGTACCGTTCTGTGAGGAACAAGATGACAGACCTTCATGTTGTGTTTGTGGCCCACGGTTCTGAGGGACCCACAGGAAGTGACGCCAGTGTGCAGCTGTGTTCAGGCGTGTGTATGCCCCACATTGACACAGGCTTCAAGCTATTGCAGTTTTTTTTCTGATTTTAGGTGGGTATAAAATAAGTCGCACTGAGGTTAAGGGTCGCCTTAATTCTAAAGGCTCCATTGTACACAACAATAGCCAGAGCCTTCTGAAGTTATACTTCATTTGTACTGTTTTCATTGAGGTGGTCAAATTACCTCTATTTACCACATTTATATGTTTCATATCAACATCAGACTTTAACCATATCTTCTTCTTTATCTCTTTTCTTCCTGTCAATAGAATTCACAGTATCTTCATTTCACAATACTTTCACTAATTTGTATTTTTTCTGAATGCCTGAGTTTATAACCAGCCAAGGAGTCTGATAAAAGCTGATTCTTAGAAGGCTGTTATAACATAATACAAAGTAGAGTTTGATAATATCCCATAAAGTTGTGCTTACTGGCCACAGGTGGCCTTCCTTGGATCAATCTCACCAACTAGTGTTTCCCCTTCGTTTAAGACACGTGGGAAGCTAACTATGAAGCCAAATATGATTAAAACAGCTCTTAAAGTCAACACACACGTTTGCAGAGGGGAACCAGGTGACTCCAAGTTCCATTTTCAGTGCAATGGGCCTCAGGGGACCCTTCCAGGGTGTAGCCTCTGTGGCAGGAAAACAGCAGGCTAGGTCCAGATGTGGTGTTGTCCAGGACAGTCTCGCCATTCAGAAACTCAGCTGGAGCCTCACACCTGTTCTCTGAAAGGAAAAATAAAGCCTTGCATTAAATGTTTTCCCACATTTCCTTTGCTTCTCTTACTATATTTGCTGAAGCTATTTTTGTAGTGTGTGTGTAATATGAAATATATACACACATATCCACTATCCACACACACATATATATGCCTACTTATGAATTAAACACAATAATATTTATTGACACAGAAAAAACATACTGTATATTTCTATTGGACTACCATGTGAAGATTGCTATTTAGTCCTATGTATTCCATTTGTCTTTATGTATTTTGCTAATAGTGATGGATGTGGTAGTGGTTTAGATGAGCATTTGCATGAAATAAAGGGATGTTATGGCTGTGAACTTCCTATATGATACCAGTTTTACTATTATGCTTAATAACACTTGGTTTGTAAGACCAGATAAAAACACAGAATTCTCAGATAAATTAGAATGTCCTATAAATAACATACATTTTATCATAAATACTTCTTAAATATTATGTGGTACATATTTATATTCAATTTTTTCATCTGAAATCAAAATTTGATTGAGTATTATATATTTTTTCCTTCCAAATCCAGCAGCAATTCTGAGATGAGCTCAATAACACTTAAAAAAAAAGTGAGTCTCAGAAAAGCTAAAAAACTTGATCAAGACCACGCTAATTTCTTAAGTTATGTGAAGATTTATGGGTTGGATTCTCTCTGTCTATACTTCCATCCCCACAAATATTTGTGGCTTAGAGTATACCTAAAAAAAACATATAATAGCAGATATCAAGAGGTTTTACTCTGAGTGGTGACCTTAAAAATATTTTCCTGATTTGTCTTGTCTGATTTCTTGAAATTTGTATAACTAATAACTTAAAAATGACCACTCATTAACACCTTGGAGAAGTTCGTTGACAGATATGTGGGATTCCTCTTTGTTTCCACTCCTATGTCCTATACAACAAACTCTTTTTGAACATGAGCAGTTTAGATAGCATGCTACTGGAGTTGGGATATACAAGTTCAACACATGGATAAGCTTGTATAAAATGCATTCATATAAAATCCACGCATAATGAAATATAAAATGCAAAAAATTAAGTGATAGATAAATAGAGAATGTTTGTTACTACTCTATATTTTGACATATGTGATTTAATTCAGATATTAATAAAATATACCTGAAGTCAAGAGAAACAAACTGGGATAATTTAAAAAACAAAATGTTATTAAGGACTTCCCCAAGTTAGAAACAAAGGTATTTTTGTGACTTGATATTACTGAATTTTTAAAAATGTTTTCATTATAATGTTTACCCAAGTTTTTGAGAACTAAGAAAAGCCATTTTCTTCATTGAATCACAATCATATAATATTCACTTGCACATTTAAGGTTCTTAAAGACACAGAGTTAATTTTCCTCTTCTACCTCTGCACATATGGCTGAAACAGAGGGAAGAAATGGTGGGCATGGATCAACCCACACACTGCTGGAGAAGCTCGGCCACTCTCAGAAATCGAGTTTCTGCAACACCTTGCTCAACCATGGCTCTCTCTTCGACTGATGTCCCAGCACCATTTAAGAATAATGTCATTAAGGGCCAGTTATTTTATATACAAGCAACAGTTCTAAGCCTTCTATTTTATGCTTATTTTTGGAGAAAATACCACAAAAGTGCAAATAAACACAAGTTTCTAAGCAAACCATGTGCTGTTGCTGAACCAGCAATCTTATGCTATACTCCAGCTAATCTCTGGTCCTTAATTGGTTGGGGCCCTTGAGCTGAAGCCATTAAGTGTTCTCTTGTAGTTTATGTGTTTATTTATTAAGGCACAAATGGATATATAAAGAAAATGGAGACACGCTGTTATCCTGTGTCCTTGGTACTATTTCGGGGACCCTTAGGTGCCACTTAACTCACCTCTGCACACGGCCACCTGCCCACTCCACTGTCCATTCTCCTGGCAGACTCGTTCCCTGGTCCCCTGTGGAGCAGCAGAGAAGGGTCATGAACAGGATGCCAGTTTCATAATAGAGAGACAAGAAGGGACTGTGAAGCCATCTTAACTGTGGCCTTGAGTGACTTAGTACTGAAATGCCGAATGAATCTATTAAATGAATGTACTGTAAAGTTGAGAGACTCTCAAAAACAATTTCACCAGAATTCCTCCCTGGCAGAATCACGTGATGAAGACAGACTTAACTTTATCTTCTATTTTAAGTGCCAGTTAATTATAATCCATACCGAGGACTCACAAAGAATGGGTCAGAAATGTCAGGATGAATTTGTTCAGTACATTTAAAACTATTTTGAGTTGCATTGATCTTTTCAATACTTGATACATCAAATAAAGCATGAGTCCCCATCCAAATTTCAATGATGAGACTTATCTGTTACAACTAAACGTATTAAAGGCCAATGTATTTAACATTTTAAATAATCTGGGGAAAGTCTAAATTTACTTCTCTGCCTTCTGCAATATCTCTTTTTTGAACAATAATTTGTAACTATCTGAATTTTTCAATATCCTGTATCTTTCAGGGCTATGTATCTATGGAACTATTCTTTGATTCCTGAATATAATTTCTGTAGATCCTGTTTTTCTGTTATCTCTTAACAGAACCATCTGTATTCCCAACTTATATTATGTTCCTAATCAACTATGAAACAATCCACTCATTTCCTCCTTAGTAACTGGCAATGTTTATCATGCAGTTTTCCCTTTTACTTTCTCTTTCCCTGCCTTGCTTTTTCTTAAGTGTGAGTTTTCCCCGCTGTTGTATCTAAGTTTCCAATCAACTTACACAGATTCTTGTATGACGCCTTAGAGCCTTAACATCCATTTTATTATTCGCTGGTGGTGATTTTTAAAATAATCAATCCAGTCGCCAGTTGTTTATTTTGATTTATCCTTTAGTTCACTTTAAATATATTTTTCCTAATTCATTTCTTCAGGCATGGTAATTTTTTTTTTTTGAGATTCAAATAGCTCACAAAAATCTATTTGCCTCACACTAACGGGGCCGTATTAACACAGAAGAACACAATATAGTTTATATTGGGTATCTTGATTGCTTTGCCTGCTTTGGGTAGCAATTTGAATCCTGGAAGTGGATGATGATAATCAGCCCGCAGAGACTTGGGACAATCCAGAGAGGATGGTACTTGCCACTGTCATTTGCCTGCAGCCATCCCAGTCAAGGAAGCCAGGAAGCTTCTGAGGGTGAGCAGGTCAGTGCCCCAGGGTCCTTCAGATCCCTCAGCAGAGCAGACAGTCTGTCCCAGAAGTCTGCTGGAACTGATCTGGAGCCACTCTCCCATCCACCAGCCTTGGGGGCCGGATATTGGTTAAAAATGCAAAACCGTTGACCTAGCTTGCTTTCTAGGCCTGTGATAAACCCCATGACCAAAAGTAACTTGTAGGGGGAACAGGCTATTTCAGTGTACAGCTTAGAGTTCATGATGAGAAGTCAGGGCGGGAATCAAAAGGCAGGAACCTAATCTTAGGAACTGATGCAGAGACCATGGAGGGATGCCACTTACTGACTTGCTCCCATGGCTTGTCTATTCTGCTTTCTTAGAAAACTCAGGACCACCTGCCCAGGTGACGCTACCCTGGGGTACGCCTGGTGGGCTGGGGCTTTTCAACATCTATCATTAGTCAAGAATATGTCAGACAGGTGTATAGGCTAAGCTGACGGAGGCATTTTCTCAGCTGGAGTTTCGTCTTTCCTGGTGACCCTATCTTGTGTCAGGTTGACAGAAAACTAACCAGCATGCCTCTACTGAACACCATAACTACAGTAAATAATATGTCATATATTTTTAAAAACCATGCCTTCCTAAACCTCTAGTTCCTTCTGTTTCCCCTGTTCTTCCCTGTCCACGTATGTGTTTCAGGTCTGGAGGTCCTGTCATCTGTTCTGCTGACGTTCCCAGACACACCGCTGCTGCCTGTCTTACATGATGTCACCGATACTACTTAGCAGACTGAGCACTTGATAAGAACAAGTTCATTTTCTTCCTGGAAGGGAGCAAGTCATCGACACATATTCTATCCAGCGACCTAAATGGCTACCATCTCTGTTTTGTGGGTGTGACATCAATAGACACAGTGAATCAAAGCCTAAATCCAGTAGTTCATAAGGATTGCAAATTCTGGTCTTCACTTGGCATCTGGTTATCTGTGTCTGCAGTCTCCTTCAAGGAGCGAATCCTTCCTCTTCAGTTGTGTATTTTCAATACTGGTTTGCACAGCAGCATCTGCTGATAGTCCCAAGTCACTGTGTGTCAGTGTCGTGAAGAGTCTCCTATCTGTGCTGTTTGATGTGTGTCACTGGGTTGGGATGATCACCTGTTTTGCTGTGCAAACGGCTTTCGAAACTTCCTCTAGTTGGCACCATGTTTCCTTTAAAGGATCACTGAGTTATTTTATGTGTGTGGGTGTTTGGCTTGCACATATGTCTGAGCACCATGTGTGTGCAGTGCCCAGAGACTAGAAAAGGGCGGTGGAGTCCCTGGGACTGGAGCTACAGACAGCTGTGAGTCACCATGTGGGTTTGGGGAATTGCATCCAGGTATTCTGAAAGAGCAGCTGCTGCTTTTCACTGCCGAGCTCTCTCTCCAGACCCCTCCAGGTTCTCACTATTTCAGGTGATGAGAGTTTCCAGGAAGTCTTTTCCATCTCTCGCTATACACCCGTATTTGTATTTCTCCAAGTAACTGGGCATAAATCTTTTTGAAAAGACTCAGGTGATTTTAACGATTGGTTGGAATGAGAACAGTTATTAATAAACTTTCAGCTTTGTAGTTAAAGGCAGGCTGTTTATCCCAACATTTTAAGTTAAATTACCAACTTCTTCAAATTTCATGAATTTGTGGTATATTTTGTTTCCAAAAGCGTTAAGAAATTTCAAGATCAGGAATCCCAGGTGAAGAATGTTCCAGTTTCAAAACCAGGAAAATTCTCCGGTCACAATGTATATTAGGTTGCCATCATCCTTTTCATGTTTAGTTTTTTTATCCTTTGAAGAAATAAACTAAGAACCACAGAAATCTGGTTCCAGTTTTTATGGCCCTTTCTTATGACAACTCTTTGATTTTATACACACACATACACACACACACACACACACACAACCAAAACAACAACAACAAAAAAGGGCCGCACCGCACACATTTAGCAGCCGACTGGTAATGAATGCGTCAGGTAGCCTGTCCTCACACACCACTGCAAACACTAAGAGATTCCTGAAAAGCCGGATGACAATCTCTTGTTGTTGACACCAGCCCTCCTAGACAGCGTGGATGGCGAGATAATAATCAGAGAAACCAACCTCAGTGCTCCCGTTACAGCTAATAGGGAGATGTAGGTGCTGCCCACAGGACTATAATACTGCAGTCGGGAGTCACTTAAGGACAAAGTTGGGGTTTTCTTAGGCGAGTTCCGAGGAGTTTTGGGCTAGATATATCACAGGGGAACCTGATCTCAGGTAAGAGCTTGCCAGTGCCTGTGTGCTCGCTCTTGGTCAAGGCCTGGCTTCACTCAAGCACCCCCTTGTTGGGGCTGTGCTATAGTGACGCATCATGGGGCTAGCTGGGAGCTGCCTGACTGGGCGCTGGGAGCCTAACTCCCAACTCTATGAGGTGAGTCCCAATTTGTTCTTTGAACTCTGGATTGAATCAGGAGATGTTAGATTAGCACCCTGCCCCTGAGCCACACCCTCCCTTTCTTTTATGCCTCTTTTTTTGGTGACAGTTGTCCAGGCAGATGTTGAACTTGTCACCTTCCCATCTCTGCCTTTGAGTATCTGAGATCACTGGGGTGAGTCACTACACCTAGCTCATGTTTTTTGTGTGCTTTAAAATTCTAAGTCTTCTTAACTATTTTTCCAAAATGTGTTAAAAGAATTAAAAAAAAAACCCAAAATATAACAGGGTGTTTTCAGAACCGTGTTGGTAAAATGAACTTATTCAAATATTAAAAAGAATCCTAAGCATATCGGAACAGCACATTAATTTTTTGCTGAGCAATTTGTTACTGTACCTCTAATTCATAGCCAGAATCACACCGGTAAGCGACGATGCTTCCAAAGCTGTATAGACTGCCAACCACCGAGCCATGCTCTGGACTTTCAGGGTGCCCACAAAAAACTGGGGTACAGGATTCATCAGAAAATGGTGGCTCCCATGTGCCATCGGGCTGAAGAAGAGACCACAAATTGTATGTCATATTTAGAAATTCATACGTGAGTGTTCTATTCATATGGCAGACTCACCCCAAAGTGAGAGTCTGAGGACCAAAGGCTTCCCTTAACTTTGTTGCTGGTTATCTATCTGTAGTTTTTCAAAGCCCATTGGAGACATGAAATAATTTTATCCTTTCGATGAGCACAGACTTACAGATAAACAACCTGAAGGATGATGTGTTGAGGAAACTCCAAATCTGAGTGACGGCCATCTAACCCACACGCTGGGGAAAAGGGCATGCCTGTGTTATGTAGGCCTCCTCGTCCAGCCCCCAGCCTAACTTCAGCAAATGAAGGGAAGCCGAGGGATTCATTTTACAGACTTGATGTGGAGGCTAGGAGAAGGGGCTCTGCTAGGAAGGCCTGTTATCTGTGGGGCAATTCACATCTTTAACAAGGTGATACAGTTAGCAAGCTATTCAACTATGCACAGAAAGCACTTCATGGTAAACTAACCGCAAACTTTATGCCCAAAAAGTGTCCTGTGTGCACAAACTGGCTGATGACTTTTGAAAGATCAAAGTTCGCAGAAGTCAGGTGTTTCCTCCATCACCGCTGTGGTTTTGCACAACAGTTATATAAAGTAAGTGTTATTTTACACACTTGTCTTCCAATAAGGAAACCTGAAGTATAGATTCCTCCTCCCCCATCTTGTAGCCCAAACTGTCCTCAAACACCCTCTGCAACATCTGCTCCTCAGACCTCCCTCCTAGATTCTGCCTTGCAGGTGGGCATCACCACACTCAGCTTTCTGTGATATGGAGAGAAAACCCGGGGCCTCAGGCATGCTAGGCGAACATTCTAGCAACAGAACTATATCCCTTCCCCAACCCTATAACCTCATAGTCTTGATACACAGCCCAGAGAGGTCTGGTGATCCTCTTGCCTCTGCCTCCTGAGTGCTATGTTAGTACAATGGGCCACCATGCTGGAATCATGGGATTTTCTAAAGTAAACAAACAATAAATTGTGGAGGCAGGATTTGACTACGGTTTCCTGTCTGCTGGTGCAGCTTTCGGGCCTTCCACTGAGACCACCACCGATTGCAATGGATATCTCATTATAGGTGTTTTTTTGTTTGTTTGTTTCTAATATTTTCCCTAACATTGGCTCTTTTAAGTTCAAAGCTGGAAATATTAGGGGGAAAACATGTATTTTTTTCCTTTTTGTTAAAAATTTTATTTTGTACGTGTGGGTATTTTGCCTGTACAATTCTCTGTGCACATGGGCATCAGATCCCCTGACCTATAGTTTCAGACAGTTGCAAACTACCTAGTGGGTGTTGGAAACCAAACCCAGGTCCTCCGGAGGAACAGTCTGTGTTCTTAACCACCGAGACATCGCCCCAGCTCCACCTTCTATTAAGAAACTTGTCAACCCTTCGGGGGCGAATGAAACTTGCGCATTTGTTTTTCTTTCTTGGCCAGCACGAAGTGCCCTTGTTCATAGCTATAGCCGTCACAGTTAGACTTACAGGCCCCACTCAGAGGCAGTATCTTACCTGGCACGTTGACGAGTCCGCTCCTTCGTAGGTAAACCCTTCTGCGCAGGATATAGAAACTTGTTTATTCACCCGGAAGTCGTCTCCGTGAACACGCATGCGTGTTGTGTTTGATGGCACTGGGCATTTTCTAGGACTGCAGGAGATTCTTTCAGGGACCCAATGGCCGTCTTGCTCGCAGGTGAACGTATCTGTATCTGTATCTATCACGTACCCTTCCAGACACCTGCAATGCAGACGAGAAAATGAACCCGCAGAAGGTAGCACGCTGGGCCTGACGTATGCTCAGATTGAAGGAGTTGTCGCAAGGCTCAGGAGACATTTTATGAGAAACCTTAAAACTGGCTCAAAGGTCAGATGGATAACATCACTACACAAAAACATTACTATAACAACACCCAGATTAATTCTTAGTGATCCACCTTCAAGATGAGCAGAGAGCAAAGTTGTCTTAGATGTGGCTGGTTAGTTTCTTTAATTTATCCATTCATTCTAAAACAGTCACCAGTTCAAGAAACTATAGAGAAGTACAATTACTGCTATACTTAGGTACTGGTAGGAATATAACATAGTATTTACGGTTTACTGTGCAACAAGCACTGTATAAGGTCCTGGACTAGGTACTTCTAAGCTTGAACATTAAGCATTGCCACTGCTATTGCCTAGTTTAAACTCAAGTCAAATCGGCTCTAAAGCCCCCGCGACTTAAAAGTGGGTATACTTATGCAGCAAATGGTTCCGTACAATGATCAGTTTCTGGTGACCCCTCCACATGCTTTACACATATCAAGCCATCCAGTTCTCATGTCCACGCCACTAGCAGGTGCCATTAGGACCTTCATTGCCATTTGGCATCGATGAGGTTGGCACCAGAGCGATTAGGTACCTTTCTTGAAGCCACGTAACTTCCTAGTTTGTGTGGGATATGGTAAGACTATGTACTCTAGAGGGAGTGTTCTAGAACCCATGCTCCTACCACTATCACATGCCTCCTTTTAAATCAAACCATTTAATCACTTCATAGTAATCATTGGAGAACACAGTTTAAATTCTGAATATTACCAGGCTAGGTAGGAGACAGAAGTCCTATACAATTGGAACAACCCGATTAGTAGGAGCTAAGTAAAGATCTACTACTCGGTGTCATCATCACACACCAAGGGGAAAACCCCAGGGGAATAACGACAAGCAGGTGACACTGTGGCTCTCAAAATGCCTAATGCATCGACATCCACACGGAAGTCTTAAAATGTACTTCAAAGTCCAGGCGTGGCCCTTTGTTCTCCGTTCTGTGCACAGGCCTCCGCCGCGGTCCGGCTTCCCCACACGCCAGCCTTCCACAGAGTCTATTTTTACTACAGTTAGGGAACAGGAAGGCAGGCTAAAATGTTCACAGCGGATCGTCCCAGAAGAGGAGCTAAATTATCGGTCTGAGGTGTAAATGCCTGGAAGATAGCCCACGGTTCACCAGGATGGTAAACAAAGCCTCAAGACAGTTGAGATGATTTGAATGTGATGCTTACTTATTCCAATAAAAATTCACAGATTCATTCCAAATTTTTACACCCTTCATTTGAATATTTGATAATCCTATCCAGACAGGAGAGTTTCCATTATTGGAGCAACATATACTTAGTTTAAGTAGTACAGGCTGGGTAGTCTCTTTAATTCAAATTGCTCATAGATTCAAAAATGAATGAAGCTAGTTAGGGGACCTTGTGATTTCATGAACACCGTGAGGATTATGTTAGAAACCATAGTCTGGAAAAGGCATACATTTATTTTCGCAGTAAATGAATTTCTACATGACCCTGAGTAATTAAGTCAAATGTTACAAGCTTTGGGCTTTGGAGGGAGGTCCAGGGACGGAGGGTCTCTCCCAAACAGCTCCATGTTGACACCTCACTTCATTTTATAATCCTGCCTACACTCCTTGTATGTTTTATAGCCACCCACGGTCTTACCTGAGTTTCACTTTGCTTTCATAGGTATATGTCTCTCCTGTTACCACTGCGTTGGCAACAGGCGGTGGGGGTCCACAGGACAGGGGCTCACAGACTGGGTAAGGCTGGCTCCATGTCCCTTTCTCTGTACAGATCAGATTTGAACTGCCTTGCATGATGTAGCCAGACCTGCAGCTGTAGGTCACCACGTTGTCCTCCAGAGGACTACTCTCACTGACGACTGCATTGGGTATGGCCGGGAGAGAACCGCAGTCCGCATGCTCACAGAGGGGCAAGCCAGACCACTGGCCATTGGTGTCACAGGTGACTTCAGAAAGTCCAAGGAGCTTGAAGCCTCGGAAGCACTCAATCTGGACTGTCTTTCCACAGGCCACATCGGTTGCATTGACCATTCCGTGCTGAATGAGGGGCGTGGAACACCTGCACAGTAGGCAGGAAGGTGAGCTGCCGCTCCAGGAACCGTTGGCGAGGCATCTTCTTGATGGGTTTCCATGGAGCTTAAAACCAGGAAAGCACTGATACTGTATGCGACCTCCGTGATAAAAGGAAAAGCCATTAGGGAAGCCCTGGGGAAGATCGTCGGGAGGACCACAGGCCGCTGGTTTACAGACTGGAACCTCTGCATCCCAAGTCCCATCTGCCTGGCAGGTCAGTTTAGGAGCCCCGTGTAACACATAGCCCTCTAGACAGCGGAATGCTACTTCCTTCTTGTACCCATAGTCTACGCCATCTGTCACCCCATTTGCCACTTGCGGTGGGGCAGTGCATCTGACAGGCGTGCAGGTGGGAGTGGGACCACTCCAGCTCCCATTGGTGAGACAGACGCGGCTCCTGGCTCCTTCAAGGATGAACCCTTCACTGCAAGAGTACGTGACCTCCTTTTGGAACGTGAACTCTCCCTTCACTTGGCCATTGTTGGGGACTGGGGGTGAGCCACAATCCACAGGAACACACGTGGGCTCGTGCCCATCCCAGTCTTTGTTTTCCCGGCATGTTCTGGTCTCAGTTCCATTGAGCACATAGCCAGGGTCACACTCATAACGTAACACAGCCAGGTATGAGTAGTCGCTTCCTTTGACGAGTCCGTTCCTGAGTGGGTTTGGCTTGCTGCACGAAACAGCTTCACAGTGTGGCGCGGCACCGCTCCACTTCTTATTCTGCAGACAAAGCCTTAAGTGGGAGCCTTCTAAAACGTGCCCCGGCTTGCAGCTATATTGCACAGCGCTGCCCATGGTCGTCTGTGTGAAATGCAAAAAGCCGTTTTCTGGAGCAACGGGCAAATCACACTCGATTGAAATGCAAGAGGGAGCACTCCCATTCCACGTTCCATCTTCCTGGCAGATCAGCACGGGGTTTCCCAGCAGCTCATAGCCGGGGTCACAGCTGTAGGAAACCATGGTGCCGTATAGAAAGTGGGACGCATGCGCAGCAGGGGTTTTAGCTGTTGTTTTCAACTGCTGAGGGCGGGGAGTCAGATACGGGACTTCCATCATGTCATCTTCTTGATCGAAATATTCCTGGCCGTCTTTGACTTTTGTACAGTCTCCAAAGTCTATGTGAGGAGGGAGACCACAGTCTATGGGTACACACGTTGGGCTGGAGCTGGACCATCCTGACTCTTCACAGGTCTGCATGGCGTGACCAACCACCTGAAAGCCAGGGAAGCAGCTATAGATAATCATGGCGCCATATCTGTAATCCGCACCTTCTACGAAACCATTTTCGATGGGCTGTGGGTCACTACAGTGGATGGCAAGGCAAGAGGGGGCATCCATATCCCAGTCACCTGTCTCTAAGCAGGTCAGGGCTTTGGGACCTTCGAGCCGGAAGCCTCGGTCACAAAAGTATGTGATGGTTTGTCCATACTGGAAGCTTATGTAAGAGAACTGGCCATTTAAAATCTCTTTGGGCTCCGGGCATTCAATGGGTTTGCACACTGGTTTTCCTCCAAGCCACTGGCCGTTTTCCCCACAGAGGGTGGTGGCATTGCCCACTAACTCGAAGCCTGGTTTGCAGGTGTAGAGCGTGGTGCTGAGATAGGCAAGCCCTTGCACGTGGATGATACCGTTGAGGAGCTCCTCAGGCTGGGGGCATTCTACCGGGACACATTCGGGCAACGGAGAACTCCAGGTGCCGTCAGCCTGGCAGAGGATGGTTGGATCACCTCTTAAGAAAAACCCATCGACACACAAGTACTTGACAGCGCTTCCAAAGTGAAGAGCGCCAGAAGCAGGGAGGCTGAAGGGAATCAAGGGAGGCGAGGGGCAAAGGACCAACTTACACACGGGAAAGGAACCATTCCATTGCCCGGATGGCATGCACTTCAGGATGGAAGGACCTTGCAAGGCATGCCCCTCTTTACAGGAAATGGTCATCACGCCCACCTCGGAAGTTAATTCCTTTAATACGAGCTGGTTTTCCAAGAGGGGAGGCTCCGGGCACTTGGTGGGGACACATTTTGGGCTTGGCTTCTTACTCCATTTGCCAGATTTCTGGCAAGTCCAAGAATTATCCCCAACAAGCTCATATCCCTCATTACAGAAGAACTGAACCTTGGACCCCAAGTCAAAGCTTTCTCCTTTCATGAAGCCATTCTGGATGGGAGGGGGTTTCCCACAGTTGAGAGGGGTGCAGGACAGAGGGGCCTCACTGTGCCAGTGGCGATTGGCTTGACAGACAAACACAGGACTCCCAGCTGCTTTATAGCCTGGATTGCACTGGAACCTGGCTTCGCTCTCAAAGGTCCTGCCCGAGGCGTGCTGAACAACACGGAGAGAAAAAGTCAGTACAACCCATGGAACAGGCGAGCCAACAGATGGAGTACATTGCTAGCCAAGCAGAACTCAAAAGCCCACATTCACAAGGAATTCATCAGGACGTCCGTGAGTAAAGATTTATGCTGTTTGCGACAGGTCTGTCCTACGTTTTCTAGGAAACAAAATGTGGAAGTAGAACGTGGAAGATCTAGAGAGGTAATTTCCTCTGGAGAAATTCTTTTGGAACCCAAAGGAGAGAAGATCTATCTATACAGGTTGATGAGTTGAAGAGCAATAGCAGCAGAATATATAGAGGACTTGGTAAGATAAAAATAAAAAGTATACATAGATGCTTTAAATCTGCTTCACTCAAAATTTTGGCTATTTATTTATTTATTTTGGTTTTTCAAGACAGGGTTTCTCTGTGGCTTTGGAGCCTGTCCTGGAACTAGCTCTGTAGACCAGGCTGGTCTCGAACTCACAGAGATCCGCCTGCTTCTGCCTCCCGAGTGCTGGGATTAAAGGCATGCGCCACCATCGCCTAGAAATCTTGGCTATTTAAAATGGCACCATGGCCTTTGACTTGGAAGACTAGACTATCTTCCCCTCCTCCTCCTATTCTCCTCTTTTGGTTTATGTGGGCGCATATGTACAGATTCCAGGAGTCAACCTCAGCTGTTGTTTCTTCAGCACCATCCACCTTGCTTTTCTTTCTTTATTCTTTGAGACAGTCTTTAACTACTGCTTGCCAGGCAAGCCAGTGAGCCCTGGAGACCCCCATCTCTGCCTGGCCAGCGCTGGGGTTACAGGTGTGCAGCTCAGTGCCTGGCTTTTCTTATGCTGGGCTTTGGAGACCAAGCTCACACACTCTTCGAGGAGAACACGCTTTCCCCTGAGATACCGCTCGAGCCCTTGCTCTTATCTTCCTGACACACTTACTGGGAAGATACGTTAGCGTGAAGCAGGTCATATTTGTATCATGCCGAACAATTTGTGCATCACGGTGAAATCACCTCTGGGTATCTCAAAAGGGCAATGTAAAAACAGCACCTCACATTCCATTTAAAAATCAGAGTGACAATAAATATCTATGAGTTTCATGTAGGTGACAAATTATATAAAAGCAAAATTTTATTGCAGTTGTCTTACTCTAACTTCATGTTTAAGACTAAGATACGGCTACAAAGGGCCTTGGGATATCTGTAGGTTATTATAATGCAGAAAGATGTATATTAAGGAGGCTGGAGAAAAGGCTCAATGCTTAAGAGCACTGTCTGCCCTTCCAGGGAACTAGGATTGGATTCTCAGGACTCACATGGAGACTCATAGCTGTCTGTAACTCTAGTCCCATGGACTCTGCTGCCCTTTTCTGGTTTCCTTAGACACCAGGGACGCACATGATGTACAGTCATATATGCAGGCAAACATGGATGCACACAAAATAAAAAATTAAAAGATATATATGTATATTGTTAATGTTTCACAATTACCTTGGTTCATTTTTATTCAATACATGCCATGTATAGATTTTAGTTACTTCTGTTTCAGCAATCAAACTGTTGACTGCCGGGGCTGGAGAGATGGCCCAGTGGTTAAGAGCACTGACTGCTCTTCCAAAGGACTTGGGTTCAATTCCCAGCACCCGCATGGCAGCTAACAACTCTCTATAACACCAATTCCAGGGGACCCAACACCCATGGCAAAACACTGATGTATATAAAATAAGAATAAATAAATTAAAAAGAAAGTTCACTGCCTGTACTTCTAAATACTGGGTTAGCCACTGTAGACGGCCCTATGAGTGATGAAATTATTGATCATTTGATAGTTAAATCTCTTACCTCCAGAAAGCCGTTCTCAACCTTAGGTGGTTCACTACAGGATACAGGGTGGCAGGTGGGCATGGGTCTACTCCACTGTCCGGTGGCCTCACAGGTGCTCTTCTTCTCCCCTTTGATATAGAACCCCTTGTGGCAGCTATAAGCCACCACAGCCCCAAAACTATAGTTCGCCCCACTTGCGTATCCATTCACGATGCTCGGAGGCTCTCCGCAGCGCACAGGGATGCACTGGATTGACAAGGGAGAAGGGTGCCACTCTCCGCCTCTCAGGCATTCGATCTTGGCTGAGGTGTTCAGCACAAAACCCTCCAGGCACTTAAAGCTCACTACTGAGCCAGCTGCAAATTTGGCTTTGCTCACGGATTCCAAGATGCTGTAGGAAACAGATGGGGGTTTTTCACAGAAGTGGGCTATACAGCGGGGCACAGCCTGGCCCTCGGGGGGAACCCATTTCCCCTGGGCATTGCAGATGAGCTGGGAATTGTCTGCCAGGCTATAACCATCGGCGCAGTAGTAGAAAGCAGTATCTCCAAAGAGCCGGTGAGCAGTCTCTGGAGAGGCGTGGTCCACAGTGGGGGGCTCATCGCAGGAGACAGCCAGGCACTGGGGGTTACTTGAATTCCACTTGCCATTGGCTAAGCATATGATGGTGTCAGGACCAGCAAGGGTGAAACTATGGGATGGAGGAGAAAGAAAACTCAGTGTAGAATTGAGAAAAGGCATTTCGTCTTCGCTTTTTTATTTTTGCTTTTATTATTTGTTTTTAAAAACAATATTTAGCATTTAAATATTGAGCTTATTGGTCAAATGATTTTAATACTTGATCAGAAAGGAATCAGAGTTAAGACTTTTGCTATTTAAGGAACTAATGATTGTTACAGATGAGTGTGTGTGTGTGTATGTGTGTGCATGCGCGTGCACGCGCAGTTGTACATGTGTAGATGCTTGGAGAGGTCAGAGGTTATTTTACATCTTTAAAATAAAAATGATAAATAAGCTTTGGTCATGCTTGACTCAATTCAATACTAGACCTTGGTAGCTTTGATAGCTTTAGTCTGTTGATTTTAATACTCATATTTTAAAAAAGCTTCAATGAGCCATATTTAGCCTAGACACAGTGTCTAGTTGCGCACTTACATTCAGTGAAATTTAAAACAGTGATTATAATTTGAGGCTCCAGTATTTTCAGAACCTCTGCCCATGTGGTTAGAGTTAAAAAGCTTTGTTCTGCATATGACTACGCCATGCAATGAGTGCATGGATCCGTTTTGCCCAATACCTCCCAGCCTTTCCTTATGTGCCAGGTATTTGCCTATATCTGATGACAGACTGATGATACGTATGCTCCCCAGGGCTATCTCAATAAAACAGAACAAACCAGTAGGTTGTGTGGTCAGTCTCTTAGACAACAGCTGTCAAGGGGTATCTAACATCCACTCAGTCTGTGTTTTGATATTAATAACGAGTAAGAGAATGGAAAGGCCTAATTGAGTCTTCATTAGACATTGTGATGGGTTCAGATGGCTGAGTGGTGAAGAAGACAAGCCTAGTCACTTGCCGAATAGCCCAGCTGTTGGCAGAAGATGTCAGGTCTGAACTTGGCTACTAGATTCCAGGACTTACACATTCCCCACAATGCTGCTTTCTCTCTTTGCTTTTCTTCCTTTCAGACTAGTGAGTTAAGACGATGTGTAGGGGCTAGCTATGGAAACTACACAGAGCTGTCACCGTACAAAATATTTGGCCCATCTTTCGGCAAAGATTCTTAAGTCGTCGGTAACCAAAACGTCCACTGAGGTCCCTTTTAATTCTAAAAAGAATAATCCATTAGAGAAAAACTGGGATTCCATCATCTTCCCCAGAAATATTCATAATATCTCTAGGAGACTGATGGACAATTCAACATAAGTGACATATCTGTAGAAGACTATAATCCACCTTCCCTATGATCATGCACCATGCAACGCTCAGAAGTGGTTTCTACCTAAACACTCCTAGGTACTTCCAAGAGCTGAGTGAAGTGTCCACTTAGGTCCCTCCCAGGCCACAGTTTGGGGAAAACTCAGGTCTTTGTCAGTAGATGTGGAATTAGCAGGTAATTAGATGACATCTTTCTTAACAGTTCCAGGAAGGCACCCACAGCGGTGTGCTTAGAGCATCATCTCATTATTGAAAAACCATCACACCTGGCCTGCTGATCTGCCTGCTCCTGCACAGGACATAGACTGGGTGGAAGGTCGACTTAAGGAGGCTCCTCTTGTTTTACAGCTCAACTTGAATCATTCACACACTTTGAAACCTGCGTCATCACGGTCCCCGGCCCTTTGATGTGGCTGGCACTCTCCACTGACTGAAGTTCACGTGCACAAACCCAGACAGCCCTGATTTATAGGAATCCATTGTACCTAAAGAGTTTCCTTTAGTCCCTGGCTCTAGACGCTCCAAGGCAGGAGCATCTGTCTCTAGAATCTTCCTTACTCCACAGAGCATCTTGAGAACATAAAAACAGTGTTTTATAATTTGGCAGCACTTGGTGGGGGCTCTGACCCTTGACCTCCTGATAACTCTCCACCAATTTTCTTTTTTTTTATTGAGAAAAGAAAAAAAAACAAATTTCCTCCTCCTCCCAGCCTCCCATTTCCTTCCCCCTCCTCCCACCCTTCTCCCCCTCCTCCCACCCATCTCCCACTCCCCCCACTCCTCTCCCCCTCCCTCTCCAGCCCAAAGAGCAGTCAGATTTCCCTGCCCTGTGATAAGTCCTAGGTCCTCCCCTCTCCGTCCATTTCTAGGAAGGTGAACATCCAAACTGGTTAGGCTCCCACAAAGCCAGCACATTACGTAGGTTCAAAACCCCGTGCCATTGTCCTTGGGTTCTCATCAGCCCTCATTGTTCGCCATGCTCAGAGAGTCCAGTTTTATCCCATGCTTTTTCAGTCACAGTTCAGCTGGCCTTGGGTTGGCAACAGACTTGAACCTAGAGTGGCTCCCAGATGCCCAAGCCGAGGTCCCCAGTTAGTTCCTTGGGCAGCTGAGGTTGGGGAACCTGAAATGACCCTATCCTATAGCAATACTGACGAATTTCTTGCATATCATCATAGAACCTTCATCTGGTGATGGATGGAGACAGAGACAGAGACCCACACTGGAGCACTGGACTGAGCTCCCAAGGTCCCGATGAGGAGCAGAAGGAGGGAGAACATGAGCAAAGAAGTCGGGACCACGAGGGGAGCACCTACCCACTGAGACAGTGGGGCTGATCCACCAATTTTCTTAATGGAAAAAAAATACCTCAAACCAGCTGTCTAATAGAATAACAACCACTGAATACACGTTTTTAAGATATATAAATGTAAAGAACTCATTTTTAGAATCTTCAGTATCCCCCAATTTGGATTAAGGCCTTTGATTTTCTTTATGCATGTCAGGCAATACTGATTTCTTCACGCATGACTCTTGGTAGCCAGCTGTGGGCCAGTCACTTCCTTGGGGCATAGACGCTGGACTAGAGAAGTACTTGTTTGCCATGGCCAATGGCATGATGAGGCAGGCTGAGTCCTACTCAGTGGGATGCTGTAAGATACATACTCAGCCTCTGCCGTGTGCTTAACATGGAGTCCCTGAGGCCTTTGCGATTTCCCAAGTGCCAGCATTCCAGGGATTTATACCTCAAGACAGTGTGCTCAGTGAAGGTGAGGCCGGATGATAAACAAAGATAATTTTTTTAATGTAATGACTTTAGAACGATAAAGGAGGATATGTATTCTAAAAGACACAGCAAGGCAATGGCCATAAACTGCAGCTCAGTCGCTTAGCAAAGAAAGCCAAATCGCTTGTGCTATTTAATTCTGTTAGAAGTTTGAAAGTGCATTCGGGCCATAGGGGACATCTTTATTCACTTACTTTCTGAGGGATCATTCAGAGGATGATAAACCTTTTACGGCTGATAACGTGCCTTTAAATGCTGGCTTCCAAATCGAGAAAATGTGAACCTGGGCTAAGTCTGAATTTTGAGGAAAAACTTGGAATTGATGCCAATCTGAATTGAAGGGATACTCACTTAAACTCTTTGTTACGAAGAGTTTTGTATTTTTATTCAAGAGGTCTTGGGGACAATCTTTTATACTTTTATTAAACATCATCCACACACACTAGGTTCCAGGTAAGATGGCCCATCAGTATCCCAAGGATGCCCTAGGACCCTGGCAATACACAAGCGTCCTTTGAAAACGAACAGAATACTTTTCGGATACGATTTTTCAATAGCTGGATTTACACGCCTAGAGGAATCTTACTAGCCAGCATGGGCCCTGGGAGCTTTATGAGTGAGCTCTGAGAGCGACGTCGGATTCCTTCCTAAAAGATGAAAGCAGCTTATTAACAGCTGCAGGTTAATGGCAGAAACAGAAAGCGTGAAGAAGCATCAGTAATTGATATTGTTTCAATTCATAACAACAACTGAAGATCAAAGCTGTTGCCTTAATAGAGCCAATAATTCCACTTAGAAGCTTATATGTGAGAAGAATCAGTGAGATTTTCTGTGACATCATTAACCCTTCCATGCCTCTGAGTTTCACACCAATGAATGTCAACCTAAGGATGAGACAAAAGATGAGAAACAAATGAACACCCGTATATTTGACCGAACAACTGAAGCACCTCACCCCTGGCATTTGGGTGCCGATAAAACATTCAAGAAAGCCGGGCGGTGATGGCGCACGCCTTTAATCCCAGCACTCGGGAGGCAGAGGCAGGCGGATCTCTGTGAGTTCGAGGCCAACCTGGTCTAGAAGAGCTAGTTCCAGGACAGGTACCAAAAGCTACGGAGAAACCTTGTCTCAAAAAAAAAAATTAGGAAAGATAAATGTTTGGGTAAAAGATAAAACTGGGAATGGTGAGTCTGATGAAGCCACCTGCTCCTCTCCTTTCCTGGCATTAACTATTCTACTCTGGTCTCTTGGCCTTCTTGCCTCCTCACTGTAAATGTTAAGACTGTGTTTTGCTCCCATGATTCAGGGAAAGACTCTATCAAAGCTCATTACCAGTATAAAAGTTAAAAGCAATCAACCTGACACAGTCCAGCATCCATCCCTGGCTGAAGAGCTACTGACAGATGCTAAGTGAAGGAGAGACAGCTTTCTTTAAGGGTGCGGTCCCCAGTAGGTGGTCCATGCCTTAGGGGACAGCTCTGTATTCAGGCATATATGGGCAGCACAAACCAGACTCGGTGGGTGGTAAGCAATGAGAGCAAAGCAGAGGCCATGAAGCTGGGAGGAGGGTTTAGGGAGCACGGTTAGATCCTAGAGGAGTTATGGGGAGGAGTGGAAGAATACGGTCAAAGGACATTGTGGGCATGTATGAAATTCTCAAAGAATGAAGAAAAAGAACAGCAGTGACACCAGCAGGAATGTGTGTGTTCATGGCACACGGAGGTCTGGGTGACTTATCCAGTATGGAGGGCAGAGGGAAGGCAGACTTGAGACTCAGAAGGGAGTAAACTCCACTTTCACGGGGGGTGAGAGCATCTCAGGATGTGGAAGGAGGCAGAAAAACAGGCTACATTCCACAGAAGTCATGGCTTGGATATAATGGTGCTGTTCTTAAAGTAACAAGATGCAGGGGGTGTGCCAGACGAACTCCTGAGAGGCGAATGCAAATGACAGAGAGAGGACGGGAAGGGATTCCTGGTTCCGGCTATCAACCCCACAATCTGCAAAGGCTCTCTCAATAACACTTGATGAAATATAACAGACATCATTTTAAACGCATAGCCAAGCTATCCAGAAAGGAAATCTCCATGTTCCCATCAAGAAGCAGAAACTGAAACCAGAAAAGCAAGCTTGCCAATGAACGCTGTGGCTGCTTTTGGATCAGACAAAGAAAGGAACCAGAGAGGAAAAGAAACACCGCCTTAGAACTGAATTTTTAACCGGAGTGTCTGTCAGGAATCCGCATCCTAGAAGGAGGTTTGCTGACACGGTGAACCTTCAAAAAGGTGATCCACCTCTGTGTCTTCAGAGGTGCTGGGCAGAAAACTGAGGCCCCAGCTAATTATAATTCTGTAGCAGATATGGATTTCACACTAGAATTCACAAGACTCGCTTTGTATGCAAAACCTTTCTGACTTACAAATTAATTATGAAGCTGAGGGCCCTGGGGTAGCTAGTAGAAAAAAAGAATTCAGGGTTAGCTCATGAGGGGTTGTTTAGACACAGCCACCCTGAATCTGAAAAGACAAGACACACGGGTGTCTCAGTTAGGGTAGCTATCGCTGTAATGAAACACCACGACCAAAAGCAAGTTGGGAAGGAAAGGGTTTATTGGGCTTACACTCCCAAATTGTTGTTCAACACCAAAGCATGTCAGGACAGGAACTCAAGCAGGGCAGGGAACCTGGAGGCAGGAGCTGATGCAGAGGCCATGGAGTGTGTTGCTCACTAGCTTGCTCCACAGGGCTTGGTCAGCCTGCTTTTTTATAGAACCTAGGACCTCAGCCTAGGGATGGTACCACCCGCCACGGGCTGGGCCCTCCCCCCTAATTAAGAAAATGCCCGACAGTCTTGCTCACAGCTAAGTCTATGGAAGCGTTTTCTCAATTGAGGCCGCCTCCTCTCTGATGACTCTAACGTGCGTCAAATTGACCAAGAACTAGCCAGTAGATGAAAGTGTTTCCCATGGTGAAATGTTCAGCGCACACAAGGAGCTGCCGGAATAGGGCAATGAGATACTAGAAGAAAACAATATACTGTTTTTTGTTTTTTGTTTTTTTTTTTAAAGAAGCTATTGTTAAAGCTTAGAGCCGAATGCTGGGTGTCAGGGACCAGGAAGAGCAGTCTGGGAGGCAGGAGAAGGTTGATGAGAAGGCACGAAGTTACAGGTACACAGAATAGAAGATGAAATCGCAGGTGGCAACCGAGCACCCTGCATTTCAATACGCTACAAGAAGGGGTTTTTGAAGTTTTCAGTCTAAGGAGATGACAGTAGCTGAGAAGAGAGGTATGTTCAGCCTGGTAGAAGCTTTACACTGTGCACATATGGACTGGAGCATCTTATGGTGCCCCATCACGTATATCATCCTTGGACTTTCCTGTCTCAGTTTTTAAAAATACCATTTCAAAATTAAAATATAATAACATCATTTACTCCTTTATCTCCCCTCCTTCCAATCTTTTATATATCCCTCACCTCATCCCCTCTCAAATTGATGATCTTCTTTTCTTTAATAATTATTATTGTTATCTATATATGCATAGCTATATAAATACAACCCACTGAGTCCATTAAAGGCTGCTTGTAGGTATAATTTCAGGGCTGACCACTTGTTAGATAGCCAAGTAGGGGGCTCATCCCTAGGGAAGACTAATTCTCCCTCATTCAGGATTCTTGAATTACCTATAATTCTTTGTCTATGAGTGGGGTCCTGTGAGAATTCCCTTTCTGTTTTAGTATGACTATCGGTATTGTTCTCGTGTGGGTCTTGTTTGGATAGCCACATTGTTGAAGTATTATGGGTGCAGCTTCCTGACATTTCTAGAGACTCAATACCACAGCCAACTTCCTGTTTGCTGCTTCTCATCCGCCTTCCAAAATAGATTTGAAATTCCAGATAGCTGTCGATGGCAGGAACCTCAAAGTTTTCTTGCCAGAAGGTGTTGTCGCCACCTGCTGGCAAGTGCTTGTAAGTTCCACCTTAATCGGGCTGGCAAAGTCGCTTTTTAATTTAGCTGTTTGTACTATCTTGCAAAGCTCAAAATATGAAAATCCCATGATCGTGGTCATAACTTGCAATGTCTAGGCCAGGGATATCCATCTCGTTTCTATATGTGCTGGGAAACACGCAGGAGTAGTCAGTGCAGCTCTGTTTTTATTAGCAAATAAAGTGGGAACAAATGAGCCTACATCAGTAGAGATGGGGGTAATTTAGAGATGGTGCCTGTGCACATGTGTGTGCACATGAGGTGTGTGTGCACGTGTGTGTGTCAGATGTCTTTCTCATGACTTTGCAGTTTATTTTTTGGGACAAGTTCTCTACTAAGCCTGGAGCTTGCTGTTTTGATTAGACTGGCTGGCCAGGGAGCCTCCAGGACCTGCTGCCTCTGCCTCCACAGCCCTGTGACTTATGTTACACTATGCGCCACACTGCTTGGCTTTTCACCCGCGTGCTGGAGATCTGAACAGCAAGCACGTGACCCACTGAGCCATCTCCACAGCCCAGAAATGTCACGTTCTTACGGGGTGTGGTTTATAGCAGTGAGAAAGTAGTTCCGCTCACTAACGTGTATCTGGGAGAGAAGATTATTATTCACATACACACATATACATAATTAAAGATAATGTAGCTATTTAAAGAGAGAAGTCATTTTATGTGAAAATGAAAATTTAAATTCTACTTCTTCAAAGACGCAATATGTGCAAATATACATAAACAGGTACATTAAAAGTATATATTGCCTATGCAAAATGTGTATGTAATAATGGCAAAATTGGCATTGTTTCCTTGAGAAGAGTAGAACAATATTGAGAATGGCTCTCAGGAGAATCTTTCATATCATATTTCTTTCATAAATTGATTTAATTATAGCAAATATTTAACATGTACTTGTTATGGAATATTAGTTGAAGATGTGTTTGTTACATTTATTTTTGCTGTGCAATATTTCCTTAATGATGCAGTCTTTTTTTTTTTGTTTGTTTGTTTTTCGAGACAGGGTTTCTCGAACTCACAGAGATCCGCCTACCTCTGCCTCCCGAGTGCTGGGATTAAAATGATGCAGTCTTTTATGTTGCATTTGTTTAACTCTGTGAAGCTGTGTTACTTTGCCTGTCTAAAACACCGGACTGATCTAATAAAGAGCTGAATGCCCAATAGCTAGGCAGGAGAGGGATAGGTGGGGCTGGGATACAGAGAGAATAAACAGGAGGAGAAATCTAGGGAAGGGGGTGAGGATAGAGGAAAGGAGAAGGGGAGGACACCAGGGACCAGTCACTCAGAGACACAGTCAACCTTGGAGTAAGAAGGAAAGAGATACAGAGCAGAGAAAGGTAAAAGCCCACAGACAAAAGGTAGACAGGATAATTTAAGAAAAGCCAGCTAGAAACAAGCCAAACTAAGCTCAGACATTCCTAAGTAAGAATAAGTCTCTGAGTATTTATTTGGGAACTGGGTGGTGAGCCCCCAAACAGCGAGAGTAAGAGTGAAAAAGTCAACTGCATGTATGCCTCCTCTCTGCTCTCAGAAAATAAGAAAGAGCAGGAAGCTCTCAGGTTTGGCTTCCAGGAAGTTTCATTTGCTGTCCTTGGCTCTCCCTGTTCCTCTTCTCACAGGCTTTACTTACCCCTCTTTGCATGTGTAAGTGACCAGGTTCCCAAAAGTGAAGTTTGTGCCAGTGATGACAGCATCTTTGAGGACTGGGGGTTCTCCACAGGAGACGAGGTGACAGGTAGGTGGTGGTCTGTCCCAGCGACCCGAAGCTGTACATTCAAGAAGGGCTGGGCCCTGTAAGCTACAGACAGGAGAGAGGGCTCAGGTCATCCCTTTGACTGGGTGATTGACCACTGCTGTGGAGAACTAGAACTTGGAAGGAGATATAGGCTACAGGCTGCATGATGAGTTTTAGTGCCCAAAATAATGCTTCTTCACGTTGCACTACCTTTTATGAACGGAAGAGAAATTTCCATCACCCGGACCACTTAAAATAATGAACGACTCAGGAAACATAACAACCACTTGGTGCAGCGTTCAAGTCTGCTGCCCCTGTTGGTGGAACTGGGATGAGAAGGGTTAACAGACTAATTATTAACCGACTGGAAGGTGGACACCTGGACAGGTGATCAGAGCGACCGAGATCAAAGGGCACTGTCTTCCTAGGACCTGGGGTCTGGGTTTTGTAGCTCAAGACTCTGACTGCTAGTGATCATTTGACTTCACCAACCCTGCGAGCGACGTCATGGCTCTCCACCGGTGCTTCCAGCATGACTCTGACAGCCTCGATGATTTCTTTTCAAAAATTAAAAAAAAATTATTTATTTTTTTACTTGTTGGGTGTGTGTGTGTGTGTAGAAGTCGGAGGACAACTTGAAGGAGTCAGTTTTTTCTTCCCATCATGTGGGTCCCAGGGATCGAACTCATATCCTCAGGCTTGGGTGCGAGCACCTTTATCCTCTGAGCCATCTCACTGGCCCTTAATTCTTTCCTTCCTAGCCACACGATCTGTTCACTTCAGAACCTGTTTCATGTCTTTCTGGGTATAGCCTTCTCTCCGATGTTCCTTCTGTTCACACGCACACAAGCAACCAATCAATTAATCAACCAATCAAATGAACTCACAGAATTAAGGCCTTGCCATGCTTTTCCTATGCTATGTCATGCTGCTAATAATATAAATACAAGGTGTGCATATAAGAAAATATCCACGGAAAGGCATTTCCTAAGGTATCATCTTCAACCAACTTGGCTTTCCTCTTTAGAATTTGGATGCTCAAGAAGCACACACATTTGAGAATACCCCGTGTTTGCTTGGAAAGTCAGCTGGTTCAGCCACTCCCGCCTAGGAAAAGCAGGCGACGACAGGAAGCCCCGGCCCATCCTTTACCTGTAGCCGTTCTCGCAGGAATACGACGCAATGGAGAGGTAGGTGAACCCACTTAAGATGTATTTCCCATTATCTATGGTCTCAGGACTGGGACACTTCACCAGCTCACACACGGGGAACGAATGACTCCATGAACCGCTAGCCAGACAGGCTGTCTCCTCATCTCCAGCCAAAGTGTAGCCTTTATCACACCTGGAGAAGACAGAGGAAGTGACGGAATAGGAACAGCTTTATTATGCATACTTTACAATTGTGTGAGCGTGTCATGTGTGTGCATGAGTGTGTGTTTGTGTGTGTGCGTGCACATGCCGTGTCATACACGGAGAGACCGAAGGATAACCTCAGGTATCCGTCCTTGCCTTCCGCCTTGTTCGAGACAGGGTCTCTCTGCTGTTTGCTGCTGCATATGCTAGTTGAACAGGTTTGGCAATTCTGGGGTTTTTCCTGTCTCTGCCCACCTCTCAGTGTGGGGGCATGAGGGTTACAGATGCATGCCCCGGCTCCCAGCTCCTGAGCTCCTGAGCTCTAGGGATTCAAACTCAGGTCCTCCATCCCAGCCCTGTTTTGCATTATTTTATATGTACCAAAACCCTTAAAAAACACAAGGAATAAGTATTTAAAGAACTTTTTCACATTGGAATGATTTAAAATTGTGTTTTCTACAAGGCTGAATGTCGTACGTCTTCCCATAGTAACCTTGGGTAGAAGGCAAAAAACAGATGTTAAGAATTTGGCTTGTCCCCAAATGTGCCATGGGTGATTAGCTGGAAATGGACTATTCTGGGTTTGAGAGTGGTGTGGGCTAAGCCCCTAGACTACAAGGCTTGGACTCTCAACTGGTTAATAATCAAGGTTACCCATTAGTTAGGAGTGCCTTCCATCATGATGCCTCAGGGGGGCGCTATCAGCAACAACAAGCTATTGGCCAGGAGACTTAAGGATATGGCTATCAGTAGGTTATCAGATTTGATTCCTTTACACTATACTGAACCCAATTAATTCTATAATTAATTAATAATAATATTTATAAAACCATCTGGGGAAGCTGGGGAATTGGTTCGGAAGTGAAGAGAGTACACTGCTCTTAGAGAGGACCAGAGTTTAGTTCCCAGCATTTATATTAGCAGCTCAGAATCTCCTGCAACTACAGCTCCAGGAGATCTGGTGCCCTCTGGTGCCTTCATGGGTAACTGTGTACTAGTGCATCTACTCACCCAGACATACAGATGCATAAATAAGAAAATAAAAATAAATCTCTATAAAAGATCTCTGTGATCATTCCCCACCCCCCCCCCCCCACTCTGCTGGCATGCCATTAGCAAGTGTTTTACATCTTTTGTTTGTTTTTTGTCTTATTGCTTTTGTTTTTGGAGACAGGGCTTCTCTGTGCAATAGCCCTGGCTGTCCTAAACTTGCTTTGTAGACCAGGCTGACCTCGAACTCACAGAGATCCTCCTGCCTTTGCCTCCCGAGTGCTGGGATTGAAGGAGTGGGCCAGTGTGCCCGACCTTGCGCTACAGCTTTATGGTTAGGCACTCACCTGTACGTCACCTTACTGCCGAACGTAAACACTGACCCAACAACACCACCATTTTCAGGAGCCGGTGGGGCGCCACAGGAAATGGCTGGAGGGAGGGAAACAGAAAGGGCGGCTTGCTGAGACTCCATGCAGAGGCCTCGGAGACTTCACAGCTTTCTGACTGCATCCCCTTGCGTTTAAACTTGAGCCCAACACCTGGCTTGCAGAACAAAGACTGACAAGACCTAGAATTTACCAGATCAATCATTTTATCTCTCTAGAACTGCCCAACACAGTAACTCCCAGCCATTTTCTCCAAGTACCTTCACAGGACGGTCTGACGTGATCCCACTCGCCGCTCTCCAAACACGTGACTTTGCTCACGCCCAGCAGCTGGTACCCCTCCTCGCAGGAAAATGTGACTTCGGCACCCACCGTATAAATCTCGCCCGAGGAGTGGCCATTTTCTGGATCTTCTGGAGCCTTACATTTTACAGGTTCTTGAAGGAAAGTTTTTGTGGAATATTTGAGTGGTGCTCACACAATCATGCAAAGTCTCAAAGTAAAAGAAATCGACAGTAGCTAAGGGGACTGTAAACATGGGGCAAAGGTTCTCGAAGGAAGAGGCACAAAGGCCAGGGACTTGCTGGACGTTAGCCAGAAGATACATTGGATAACATTTAAGTAGTATTTTTTAAGTCAGTTTGAATGTTTTCAAATGATTTATTAGTCTAAATTATGTGTATCGTCTGTGGGTAGGCACGCTTGAGTGCTGGTGCCCATGGAGACCAGGGCAGTCAGATCCTCTTGGAGTTGTATTTATAGGTAGTTGTGAGCTGCCCAGTGTGGGTGTTAGGAATCAAACTCAGGTCCTCTTCAGAAGCAACATGTTTTCCTAGTCCTGAGTGTGTGCATGTGTGCACGTGTGTGTGCCTGTGTGTGTGTGTATGTACACACGTGCGCGCAGATGCTCGTGAATATACTGTTATTCTTCTACTATGTGACTTACTTTAATATCCCACAACATTGACTCAATTTTGTGCTTCTGAAACTGGGAAGTCAGGGGAAGTTCAATGCCAATTAATTCCATCTTTCATGATTGCTATGTGTCCTTGGTAAGAATGCTATATCCCTTTGGCATTTGAACATGAAACTTCTGTCTTGTTTTAAATAACGCACCCTTAAAATACACACTTGAATTGAGCACCAAAGATAAGAATTTCAATACCTGCACAGTTTTTACCGTCTCCCGTGTATGGTGGGTCGCACGAGCAGATGTAAGATCCATTGGTGTTCAAGCAGGAGGCATGTTTGTTACAGTCTGACCCTACTGCACACTCATCAACGTCTGAAATGAAGACAGATTACACATGGTTCAGTGGGTTTGTTGTTCTTATGTGTCAAGCATTTGGTTTTGCCTCTAGGTCACTACATATCACGTAACACATAGCACTGAATGCATCCATTAATATTCTCTATTTATATTTCATGTATGAGTGTTTGAGTGCTCTGCATATATCCCTGCAGGCCAGAAGAGGGCATCAGATCCTATTATAGAAGGTTGCGAGCCAGCATGTGGCTGTTGGGAATTGAACTCAGGACCTCTGGAAGAGTAGCCAGTGCTCTTAACCCCCAAGCCATCTCTCCAGACCCACTGTATGTCTTTTCATGAAATTTAGATGCACCCATGGTGATTACATTGCAAATAAACAATAGCATCTACTACTTCCTCAGCTGGTAGGCAAGCAGAGAAACAGGGATGGAGAACACAGTCTTAATATTGAACTTGATTAAAACGAGGAACATTTTTGGCTCCTTGGGGAAGAAACAGCCACTTTGCCGTTACCCCCTTGTCCAGGGCTTACTGGGGTGGGGTCAACGGGGATGCCAGGAGAGCCTTGGATTTGTGGTAAATGTTTTCCAAAGACTGTGACCGAATCCACACAGCCGTGGCCAGTATTCATCTCACCGAGACAGGATGGTGAAATGCCATTCCAGCTCCCGTTGTCTGTACAGAACATTCTGGAGTCGCCCAGCAAATAGTAGCCGTTGTTGCACTGATAGGTCACAGTGCTGCCAGCATGGAAGTCCTCAGCTGAATAGAAGCCGTTCTCCAAGGCAGGAGGCAGCCCACAGCGAATACCTGGACGGGGCGGAGGAACACACTGCAGACGGAGCAAAACGCTCAAAGGACAGCAAACCTCTTTTCACACAGCTGCCTGGGACTTTCCCTACTGAACACAGACATTGGCTGGAGAGTGCTCCGCATTGTTGGGGCGACGCAAGGGCTGTCAGCATGTGGCACACTGTCTGGTTCACAGACGCCATGAACTCATTCCTTCTTTAATAACACCCGTGGCACTCTTTCTACCCATCAGGCCCTGTTGTAGGTGCTAGATTTACATCAGGGAGCCAAGTAGAAGGGATCCCTGCTTTGCAGCACTTCTTGTCTGGTGGAGTGGACAGACAAGATGATAAACGCACAGTGTGTGGGCCGAGAGCTGCTCTTCTCTATCCGAGGCAGCAGTCTTGGCCGCACAAATCTCCACACTTCATCCCCCTGGCCCCGCCGCTTGCTTAACTTTCTGGCCTTTATCATTATTCTTCATTATAAATAAACATTACCGTGTGCACTTGCTTATTTTTTTTTCTGCCTCTTCTGCCAGAATGTAAACACAAGGACAGGGCCAGCCTCTCTAGAACATATATCAACGTGTAAATAAGGTCAGTATTTTAAAACTTGGTGAGGCAGTGAACGAGCAGATACGCTCAGCTGAAGACGTGTGCTCCTCTTTCCTCGTCCAGCAAGGGCACACCTGAGGGCGGCTCTCCAGCCTACAGCTCCTTATTTCACTCCTCTCTAGGTCCACGCTACCACCTTGGATGTGTTTGTGAGGGGTCTCTGCGTCCTCATCATTCACCTCCCACATGGTGCCTGGCCTAGTCTCTTACACAGAGCAAGGACTTGACGAATGTTTGCTGGGTTTGCTACAGCAGAGCAGGAGCACGTGCTTATATGGGTCCCCTAACTTTCCAGAGCCACCCAGGTGAGTCGAACAAAGACTGCTCACGTTCACAGTGAGGGAGTGGTTGTGTCCACTGCCCTTGGTTCTGACAGTACTGCACAGGATTCCCGACTATCTGGAAGCCGGGATCACAGAACAGGCTGACTTTGGAGCCCGGCTTTCGATCTCCTGACGCAGTTCTCAGGTGTGGTATGGTTCCTTCTAAAGATGGGCAATCTGAGGACAAAGAACACAGGCACGGAGCATGTTAGCAACACAGCAGCAGGGCCGTGGAGTCAGGGAGCTCAAATTCTCTTTTGCACAGGAGGGAACCAGCTTTACCGAATCAAAACAAGTTTTCATGCACCCCGTCACTGACAAAGAAAATGGTAAGAAAAGATTTTATTTTTATTAAGTAATTTTTTTCCATCCATCTGTAATTTGTCGGGTATTTTTAAAGGGACAAATGACATTGTGGGACAGAAGCACACCAGTAATTGTCTAAAGCCATGAATTCCACAACACTTTTCAAATGAATCCATTGATTTTTGGAAATAGTTTGGATTATCTAGAGGGAATGTCCAGGGTGAGGATGAGGATGGGCATTGATTTATCTATTTCACAAAAGTATTCCCATCTCAAACAGGAACCTAGGGATTTGGCGATTATTATAAACAAAGAGAGGCCTGGAGAGATGGCTTGGTGGATAAGAGCCCTGGTTGCTCTGTAGAAAACCAGGTTCAGTTCCCAGGACCCACACTGTTGTTCACAACCACCCTTAGCTCCAGTGCCAGAGGAACCAGCGCCCTTTGCTGGCCTTCATGGGCACCAGGCACTGGTGTGGTGCATAGACATACACGCAGGGAACACATATGTATAAAAATAAAATTAAAAATCTCGGAAAGTAAAAACAACACAAACTCAGAAATCCCCATCCATCTTTGAAAACTTATTTTATCTTCACCCAAATATCCTGCCCAATTACTTTGTAGTCTGCTGTGCAGAAATAATGTCAATAATCAAAACACCCTTTGGATGAACATGAGGTAGAGGTGAATTCCAGTTAAGCGGCCAGCTGACAGGTGCCATGATGCAGTCCCAAGAGAATTCTGAATTACGTGCTTTCGACAGAACATTCCAGAAAAGCCAAGACATGGCAAAGTTGGTGTAAGAGAGAAATGCTCACCAGAACAGAATATGCTGCTGGAGTCAACTTTCACCTTCCCCGTGATTCCTGACAAGAAATCAGGCCAGGCTAATACATTTCCCCGACTGAGTTCCTCTGGGCAGGAGCTGGCCAGCGACTTCACCTGTGAGTTTAAAACATGCTTTTAGATAAAAGTTCTACTAACCTGCAGCTTGCACATCACACTTCACCCTGTTGAAACAGTCACAGATGGCTGTGGCAGAGGCAGAAACATATTCTCGTCTAGTATGATTGCAAAGGCCACAGGAAATTTCCCTTCTTTATCCAATCCCCACGATTAGGTCTTCCTAGTATTTCTTCCACTTAAAGACTCATGGTTGCCTGCAATTCTGAAATCCTTTGCATAAAGTTTCTTGTCTAGATGTTAAGGTTGGTTAAGCCATAATGTTTTTCAAAAGATGTTACTTATGCTTGTGCGTGCGTGCACACACACACACACACGCACACACCACCTGTGTGCAGGTGCTTGAAGTGACCAGAAGAGGGCATCATATTTCTGTAGTTGGAGTTGCAGGCAGTTGTGAGCTGCCTCCCATGGGTTCTGGGAACTGAACTTGGGTCCTTCGCAAGAATCGCAAGTGTTCTAGACCTCTGAGCTATCTCTCCAGTCCCATCTATCAGCATGATTTTTGAGAGTAAATACTTATCAAACCATAGCTGTGGAATAAACAATCCCACAAGCATGTAGGTGGTCTTTTGTTAATGTTGCCAAAACTCTTTTACATAGATGTCTTTCTCTCTCCTTCATAGTTAAGAAAAATGAAGGATAAGGAGATGGAACAACATGATCAAAGTCATCCCAGAAAGATTGGGTTGAGCTGTGCTTGGATCTCAGGCTGTTTGGATTCAATCCCTACTTGACGTACAAATCTGTTGACATCTGTGAATGTTCTGACACCTGTATTCTCAAAATAGTCTCTAGGCTCTTTCCATCTAAGAAATGAATATTCCACAGGATACACATCCCCATTTAAGCGTTAGAACATCACTGAAAAACTAAAAGGGTCATGACTGGAAATCACTGTAGATAACATCCGCCTAACAGACCACGCTCTCCAAGATCAGTGATAAATCTTGCTAATTAGGAGTTTATGAATATATAAGGTCATCATTAGACTATTTGTGGTTTTGCTAGGTTTGTACCTGTGTATCTCATTACTGTCATACACTGAAAATGGAATTGACCTGCTGTGGAGACAGGACATAGTCCCAGAGGTTGAGTTGGCTTATGGAGCCCACAAAAGACTCAGCTGGGTTGAATCCCTCTCCTTTTTTGTCTTGCTCTTGCCCAAGAACTAAGGCACCACCACCTAGAGAGAGAGAGAGAGAAAGAGAAGGGGGGACGCAGCATGAGAATAAAGAAGAAGAAAACTGGCCTCATGGTTTCTTGTTCCCCAAATGCTAATGTCACGAAAGGATAGGTAATACGACTGTATGCCGGTGTCATTGAAGCTCAGTTATGGAACTTTACTGCATGGCCTAGCAACACGGACAGATTAAAATCATGTTTGTGTCGACGGTCAAAGGCAGTTGGAGGGTGAGCCCATCAGGCTCCCTGCCTCTGATCTTAGAGTTTCTTACATCTTGGATGCCTTTACCGTTTTTCTTGTCTAGCCAACTACACCTCAGCCTTCAGTGAAAGCTCGGTGAATGTGGCAGGCACTTATGCAGCTCCCAATGATGTGCCAGCCGCAACACCAGGGTTGGAAGTGCACGGGTGTGAAAACAGCAGAAAGCTTTTCTGCCTGCGAGACTGTAATTCTAAGAGGTGATATGAACACAAACCCCTTTTCAGTATAGCTCGGGGAGTACAAACATGGAAGTATTCAGAAAGGAAGACCTGTGGGGGTGAGGGAGAGGGGGAAAAGGGAGAGAAGTGGTTATGAAGACATGTTTGACTAAGGGTTAGTTTTATTCAGATAAAAGATGCAGTTTCAGGGCAAAGGAGTAAAATACCAGAAGGACTACAACTATATGGTGTGTTTTCACACACACACATACACACACACACACACACGCACACACACACACACCCCTTATCGCTTCATTCTGACCATGCCTGGGATGACTGCTCCACTTTAAAGGGCATTAACTTTAGGATGAAAACCTCAATTGTTTTCTTTTAATTAAATTATATTTATTTATTTTATATGCCAAATACAGTTTTTCCTCCCTCTTCTCCTCCCATCTCTTCTCCCCACCTCCATTCTACCTCCCTCCCCCATCTGCTCCTCTTCCTTCTCCATTCAAAAAGGGTAAGGCCACCCATGGGAGTCAACAAAGCATGGCGTATCTAGTTGAGGCAGGACCAATGTCCTCTCCCCTGCATCAAGGCTGAGTGATGCATCCCACCACAGGGAACAGGAAAACCTCGGTAGCTAATCTGCCCTACAAAACTTTGTATGGTTGGCCACGACCCTTTTCTACAGGCTCGAGCAGGGCACAAAACATCTTCTTGTCTCATCTGCATTCCAGATTTTGCCATTTGGTCTTCGTTTAGTTCGTTTAATGAAACCTAAATCTCTTCATTGGTCAACATTTGGCTAGCCTTAGGACTCAGGAAAAACACCTCCTTAGCCTTCATTAGCATCTACTCTATCCAGTTCCATGACTGTGGGCTGTCATGGAGCTATGTCCCATTCCTTGACAGTGATTACTTCAGCTTGAACTGCATGGGATTACGGATCCAAAACAATATATCACCCTTCTACCATCATTTAAAGCCTTTTAGAGGACAGTGATGACATGAGTTTTTGCTTACCATTAGATATTCAGTACTTTCATGAGTGTTGACCTTACTTGGGGGCAGGTTCTCAGTACATGTTCTCTATTGTCATAAATAAATGAATTTTAATGCCATTTCTATTATCTTTTAGTATTATAAAGTAAAAAAAAGAAGGGACATAGCTCCTAAAATACAAATTAAACATCTGTTTTGCGGCCTTGCAAAGGCGATCTCATCATGTTTCCATGAGGGTTGATCTTTTGTTATATAATTATTATATTTACCTTGGTTCAGTATAACTTGCTTCTAGAAGATAATCATTCATTTTTAATATTTAAGTTATTTTAGTTGATTTTTATTTTACCTACTGTTTTTAAGTATTGGAAACATGAGGAAAGTGAAGGATAATGACATCTACACAGCTCTTCCATGGCGGTATCTACACAGGTCAACTTTCTTGCCAAGGAAGTTTTTGGTAATTTTCAAATGAAAGCTCCCTGAATATTCAAAGTGACTTCAGATGAAAGAGTTCTACCTGAGAAAGGACACAAAAGCTGGAAAATGTGCCATGTCTCAGCTTATATACACAGTCCCAAAACAAAACAGAAAGTCCCTCAAAAACAGTAAGCAAGCAAGGAGGGTCCATCAATAACCAATCACTTCCTCAGAAGACAGCTTAATAAACACTCTTAGCTCAGCTTGCTTCTTGGTCAAACCAACATCCCCAAAGGCATTGCTTACACAGTCATGCACTTCACTCGCGAAAAGGGTCTGACAGCTACAGTCTAGACAGCTGATGGTTGGTGAGAGACATAACTGTGGATCTTTGTCTGTAAGCATTGACCACAAAGCTGGCCAACGTCATGTCTGTGAAAGCACGGCTGCCTCCAGAGTCTCACACACACGTACTCATTTTACTAAAACATACCAGGTATGGCTTTGCCAATGGAGAGGCCGGTACCACTGTCAGATAATTTCCCATCGATATAGACCCTCCAGACTCCTCCAGTGCTTGTCCATGTGATTGCAATATGATGCCAAGAGCCATCATTTACGGAGGGGCAGTTGGTGATCTTTTCTTTTCCATTCACGTAAAGGACCCAGCTGAGGAGAGAAAGATTCCAGGGAATATAGTCAATGGTCACTCGGTTCTTTCCCTGGGGCATGTTACACTTTATCTCATGTGTGTATTTGTGTGTGGGTGTGTATGCACGTGTGAAGTAACTTGTGTAATCTATTAGTCATTCCTCCCTCCATCTCATAATATTTTAGAAGAATAACATTTGAGTTACTAATTACACTAAATTCTAGCTCAATCAATGTAAACACTGATTAGTGAGAAAAATCTTAGGATAAGCCAAGATAATTGAAACAATTTACTGCCCTTTGGAAAGTCAAGAAGGAGCAGGAGCTGCTGAAATGTCTGAGAGCCTTCCTCGAGAATAGGTGTTTTCCAAAACCAGGAGCAAACTTCTGATATCCATAGGAAGATAGTATGTTTCAGGGCTTCTACTATCACCTGGGTATCTGTGTTCCCTCAAAAACTGTGTGTTCAAAGTCCTAACCAACAATCTGTCAGTATAAGAAGAGAGGCCTTTGGGGGTGACCAGGTCCTGAGCACAGGGCCCTCTGAACAGGATTACCGTAGCTTCAGAAGAGGTCAGAAGGAACCAACCCCTTGCTGCCTCAGCCTTTGAGGACACAGGAAGAACATTCTGGGGAGACTCTGGGAACCAGCAAGGGGCTCTTCCAAGTCACTGATTCCGCCACGACCTTGATCATAGGCTTTTTATATTAGCCTGAACAGACTAAGGCAGTTGTCAAACTGGTCATAAGGAAACCCAAATACATCCACCCAAATAAAAGAACCAAAAGAAGGTTACAGAGACCCCCACCACTCAGGGGAGCCGTGTAAAGACAGTAAAGAGTGGAAAGTGTCCAAAGGCAAATGGAGATGTTGGTGGAAAGCAGAGGGGGAGAATAAGTCTTCTCAGGCACTAGCAGCAGCATCCACAGGAGAGGAATATTCTTGCCACACTCTTTCTGCTCTACATGTTTTCCCCTTGCCTCTCTCTAGCCAAGCAGGCAACAGTTCATCACTTTATGTACATTTTACCTCAAGTGCTGGCCAATGCCTTGATTGTTTTTCTCCCTGAAAGTTGAAGTTCACTAAGAAGACTTGTGTTTGATGAGGTTTCTACCAAAATAATGAGAGTCCCCTAGCTTGAGAAGAAGGAAGGTTCCAGTTGGTAGGGCCCATGAGAAGTCCCACAAAAGACCACCAGTCACATATGGAACAAGCAAAAATGCTTTATTAATTCCAACATGTTGGGGTAGCACGTGGTGACCACAACAGAAACCCACAGGCTCCTTTTAAACCAGATTAAGGGAATTCCAGAGAGGAGAGATTAGTCTGGGGGCTGATTGGTGGGTGGAAATTAGTCTGGGGGCTGATTGGTGAGGGGAGAATAGTCTAGGGGATATAGTGGTAAGGAACTTTCCAGCAGGAGGGTAGGGAAAGCTATCTTTAGTTATCAGGAGACTGTGATCACCTGCTGAGCCAGCAGAAGGTCAAGGGTGCGCCTGTTGATTGGTTGTTCCTGAGTTGTGGTTTTCCTTGAGAACTGTTTGCTTAGCTCCAGCCACCTCCAATAAACCGAAACTAAGGCCTGGTCCCTGGCAGGGGCTATTAGAAACCTGTCTTGGCTGTGATCTGGCACAACGGCCCTCACACTGGGAGGTTCATTAGGCCAACATGATGGGTGAACCTGAGAAGAAAGGGCCCTGCGGAACAAGGGCTGGACTTGCAGCCTCACTGAGGAAGGCAAGTGTGGGAAAGAGTGGAGGGTCTTCATAGGACGACAGAAGCTAAGCCGGGGGGCAGCTCCACATGACTAGTGTGGACAGGCCACCAGTGGTGGGGGCTGTCCAAGTTCGTGGCTCATCAACAAAACTCTAGATACAACTGGAATGACTTTACAGACAGTGTAGAGGGAAGGACTCTGGAGTTAGATTCAATTGCTCTTAAAGGAATACAGAATGCCCGCCCCCTTGGGGCTGCGCGCTGGTTCTTACCCAACACACCTGTCTCCCACAGACAAGTGTTGCTGATGACCCTAATCTTTGGATGTCCTGCTAGGTAAAAAAGAGTATCAGTCTCTTGAGAGTTAGACCTGACCTTCCCAAGAGATGACTTGTAGGGGGCAGGGCATGGCAAATTATTTAGACTTTTTGAAATGTTGTTTTGCTGTTTATAGAAGGGGCAGTGTTTCCTCCGGGCGTTGTTAAGGTAAACTAAAACAATACCCATGACAACACCCATGCTTGTTTTCCCATAGAGCTTGTTTAGGAGTTCTAGCTGACTGCTGTCAATCAATCCTCCAAGTACCCTCGTTCCCAACCTCAGTGTCAGAAGGTGAGCCCTATGCAGGATTCAGTTCTAACCTGGTGTCAGGAGAAGCCTTCCCCGCCACATCCATCCTAACATTTCTGCTTACCCATTATAATCGGTCAGGAGGAAGGTGTTGTCTTTGTCACCATCAAGAGCATAGGAGATTGGCGTCCCATAGTTGATGACGTCAGAGGATCTCATCCAGAAGGCGCAGGTGATAGCACGGAGAGATGGAAGCACTCCATCCAGAATGACATACCCATAGATGCCAGACACTTCAAAATCCAGGTTAAAGCCTGAAGGCTGTTCTGCAACAAATAAGGAGGGTGTGCAGAATGTGGCATTCCTGTGCACTTCCAGCTGTCTGGGGAAAGCAGTGGGCAAGAAGCTCCAAAGAAGCTAACTATGAAGATGTTGAGCAGAAGTGATTTCAAAATTAAACAGAGAGTTCTTATGAAATATATGTATTTAATCTATATATATTTAACTAGTGTGTAGATATAATAACAGCTGTGCAAGGGAGCAGAAGAACAGGGTTGTAGGGGTAGAAAGGCTGAGAGCTGATAAGGGAGTGGACTCTGATGGGAAGGACTGTGGGGAGCGAGGGGTTGAGGCTACAGAGGAGGGAGAGGCTAACTCAGGGGCAGCATCTGCCCTCACGCAGGCGTCTGCCTTTTCCATAGCTGACGAACAGCTCAGTTCTTCCCCTGTTCAGCTCTGCAAAGCCTGCTCTATCACAAAGACTTCTGTCTCCTGTGTGTGTGGGGGGGAGGAGATTAGCATTGATTTATTGCCTCTCTGACCTAGCTGTCTCTCAGTCTTCATTGCCTAAGCCACATGGCTTTTAAAAGTATCCTTTCTAGACACATGGAAGAAATAGAGATGATAATTAGAAGTTCACAGTCTCAGAGATGATACTCGTTTGGTTCATTTGCTTGAGGTCAACTTCATTACATGTTAAATATGGTTAATAACAGCAAACACACAACTCCAGATGGCTGAGAGAACACTTTAATCATTCTCCCAACAAAACATACGAAGCAATTGGGGTAATAAATAAAACTAGATTGATTCAAATATTTTACATCGTATTCATAAGTCATAACGTGCTCTTCATAGTCCAATAAATTTATGTAACTGCAATTTTTCAACTTTCTATTGTGAAAATTCCATTAAAATTAACAAGATTGGGGTTGAGGGGTGAGAGTTTAGTGCAATGGTTCTCAACCTGTGGGTCACAAGGTTGCCTAAGACCATTGGAAAACACAGGTCTTTAATCACGGTTCATAACAGTAGCAAAATTACAGTTATGAAGTAGCAATGAAATAATTTTATGGTTGGGGGTCCCCACAACATGAGGAACTGTATTAAATGGCTGCAGCACCAGGAAGGTTGAGAACCACTGGCTTAGTGTGTCAAGTGCCAGCTTATGCAAGCTTGAGGACATGATTTCCCAACCGTAGCACCCACATAAAAACCCAGACAGGGTGGCACGTCTATAATCCCAGGGTTGGGAGGCAGAGATGGAGGGATCCCTAGTACTCATTGGTTTGCCAGTCTAGACAGTAAGCTCATTGGTTTTCCAGTCTAGACAGTGAGTTCATTGGTTTTCCAGTCTAGACAGTGAGCTCATTGGTTTGCCAGTCTAGAGAGTGAGCTCATTGGTTTTCCAGTCTAGACAGTGAGCCCTTGGTTTAGCGAGAGACTCCATCTCAAAAAGAAATAAAGTGGAAAGCCTTTGACATTGATTTCTGGCTTCTACTCTCACATGTATGCACACATACATGCACACACGCATACACACACCTTCAAGAGCACAAAGAAGGAAGACAAGGAGAAAGGAGGAGGAGACATAATAATTGAACAGCTGGTGTGTGGCAGAGCCTGGGTGCATGCAGAAGGCTAGAAGGGAAACATGGAAGGCTCTGTCAAATGGTTTTCTGCATTTCCCTCCTAGATGTCTAAGCTTCAGTTTCGCCATCCACACTGGTGGGGATAAGGACACAGTACCCAGCTTATAGATGGCCATGAAGATGAAATAAGGGCCAGGTGCTTAGCAGAGCCTCTGGTGTGTGGGCAGTACATGGCATAGGCCAAAGTTGGCCCTGTTCTATAATTATACTAAATAATGCTATCAGTCATTCTGAGTTCATACACACCTGTCTCATGCCCGAGTTCATACACACCTGTTCCATGCTCGAGTTCATACACACCTGTCTCAAACCCGAGTTCATACACACCTGTCTCACGCTTGAGTTCATACACACCTGTCTCATGCCCGAGTTTATACACACCTGTCTCATACTTGAGTTCATACACATCTGTCTCACACCTGAGTTCATATACACTTATCTCACACTGAGTTCATACACACCTGTCTCACACCTGAGTTCATACACACCTGTCTTGCACCTGAGTTCATACACACCTGTCTCACACCTGAGTTCATACACACCTGTCTCACACCTGAGTTCTTATACACTGTCTCACACCTGAGTTCATGCACACCTGTCTCACACCTGAGTTCTTATACACTGTCTCACACCTGAGTTCATGCACACCTGTCTCACACCCAAGTTCATACATACCTGTCTCACACCTGTGGCCTGAAAATCCTGGCCGACATTTACAACTGTATGCGTTCAGCTCATCCACGCAGGTGGCCTGGTTCCTACATGGGTTGGACTGACATTCATTGATGTTCAGTTCGCAGTGTGGCCCCGTGAAGCCTGCTGGGCACTGGCATCTGGAAGAAAATAGAATGCAGCACCAGGAACCATTAGAGGAGCCATTAGAGAAACTGTGTCCCTGTCTTAGGACAACCTGTCTCAGAAGACTTGGAAGACTGAAATGCTGAAACCTATCCTGTAATCCAGAAAGCACTGAAGTTGCGTCTAATTTTCCCTTTCATCTGATTGTGACTGAACACCCTTAAGACACTCTGCATCATAAACAGAACAAAATAAAGTAAAAAGGAATTCTGATCCAAGTGAAATCTGGTTTATGTGAGCTCTTTCCCCGCAGAAATTCCTAGGGATACATGTATAGTTCAGGTCTTATTCTAATGCCTTTTAGTTTATTATGCCAGTTCTGTAGCAATAACATAATGTTGGCATCATTCCCACCATGCCAACGTCACTCCCACTGTGATGACATCACCCACACAATAATGATGTCATTCCCAATGTGCTGACATCATTCCCACTGTGCTGACTTCATTCCCCCTACGCTGACATCATCCCCACATTGTTGACGCCATTCCCACTTTGCTGACGTCATTCCCACTGTGCTGATAAGTTAAAGTTTGCTACGGCAGTTACATCACTCAAGGAAGCACTGCTGTCACTCGGGTGGCGTGGGAGTCTCAACCTCATTCTTACTCTTTGTGGCCACAACCAGTTGTCTAAACACACTCCAATAAAAAATACATCCCATGATGACAAGTGCCGACCACCGCGTTGTGAAACAGAAAGTCTGAGATGGAAATTAGAATCCCAATTTCACAGCGTCAAGGGCGGTTGAGAGCCTGTCCACCAGAGCCCTGTGCATCTACTACACTGCACGAGAGCTGCACATCCTGCATCCTGTGTCCGTGACGACAGCGCTCTAGAGGGACAGATGGGAGAGCACGCCCCGGTACACTCACGTCATGGATACTAAGCAGCCGTTATGACAAACGAACCACGGCAAATGCATCTACTTGACAATACTTGAAAACAATGCTGGGTGACAAGTGACAAATGGTGTGATCCACTTGTCTAACATCTGACACACTGTAGGCTGCTCAGGAATGTGATTTAGGCAATAAATATAAAACATAAGTGAGTTCTATCTGCCTATATAGGAACTTCACAATATTGGTTGACACTAGGGATGAGAACGTGTGTGTGTGTGTGTGTACAAAGTATATCCAATTCTATATTTAGAAAGTATTCCTTAAAAAGGGTACGAATCAAATAAGGTCAACTGCAATATTTGCTAACCACAGAGCTGAAGTCACATTTTTATTCTTTGCAATTTTCTGTGTGATTGGAATACTTTCCTTAAGGAGGTCATATCATCAACACTAGCACATTCACCTAGAGCTGTCTTTGACGATGCTCTGAAGGTGACACATAGACACACACACACAGAGAAACACATAGACACACATACACAGAGAAACACATACACACACACACACACACACACACACCAATAAAGCAACAACAACAACAAAAACTATAGGCTCACATCTTGGCTTAGCTTTGCATTGCAAGTGGTGGTGAGCTTCTACTGTGCCTATCTTTGGGTGGGCATGTGAGGATATCTGACTGGGGGCTTTGCAGCTAATGTTTTTCTGAGACTGAACAGTGACGGCTCAGTCAGGGAAACAAACGAAGCGAAACTCTACACTTGGCCTTTTACCTGAAACTGTTGGCTCCATCCTTACACGTGGCTCCGTTTTGGCACGGATGGCTGAGACACTCGTCCACATTTTTTTCACACCGAGTACCCAGAAATCCAGGTGGGCATTTGCACAAGAACCCGCCAACTTGGTCTTTACAAACTGCGTTATTTAGGCAGGGGCTCGAATGGCATTCATTGATGTCCGTCTCACAGTGCACACCTGGGAGGGGTGAGGACGAGAAAGAGCTCGGATGATTTCCCTCCGGAGGAAAACTGAGCCAAATGGGACTCCTTGGGTGCACCCACAGAAGAGGGGCTGCAGAGCCATGGCCATTAGCCTGCTCATGGTGCCCCTTTGAATAGCCCTGAGTTCGTGGGTCATTTCAGGACTTTGGAGTTTTGATACTTAGCTTAGTTTATCTTCCTTCTGAAACTATGGTTAGCAATGGACATCGAACTGAAATAATGTTTAAAAGGACAATAAATTAGTTCCCCTTTTCTTCGTTTCTTTGAGCTCATGTTTTTCCTTCATTAGCATTTTACCCCTCGGACTTTTTCCCTAAAAATGAAGTACGTATGTCTTTAACCACACTGCCTTCCTAAGTTTGCAAAATATCACATTTTGCATCAATTTACATTCATTGAGTGAACATCATTTGTATGACTTATCTCCAGTAGTGTGTTCATAAAATCCAAGGATAATATTTAGATATTGTATTAGTAGACACACTAATTTTTATTTACAGAATTTCGAGACAAAGGAGAGAACCGCAGACTTCTTACCAGCATATCCCCTCACACAGGTACAGTGGTAGCCGGCCAAGCCATCCGTGCAGGTTCCTTTATTCAAGCAAGGGCTGGAGCTACACTCATTTATGTTTTCTTCACATAGCTGGCCTGCAAAAAATCACAGAATCTCTGAGCTGGAGAAAACATTCAATTTTGTTCAAATAAGCTGTTTAGAATGACAATGGAGTGACCGGAAATCATGGCCAATGAGCCTGTGAAAGTTTTTGCTCTTGGCCAAATACATGGATACAAATATTTACCTTCCATATTTGAATTTCGAAAAACATGTAGCCAGAAATGTAACACATTTGGTCTATTAAAAGGCTGAACAGCCAATAGCTAGGCAGGAGAGGGATAGGCAGGTCTGGCGTGCAGAGAGAATAAGTAGGAGGAGAAATCTAGGCCCGAGAGAGAATAAGGACGAGGGAACAAGAAGGAAAAGAGCAGGATCAGGAGTCAGGCGGCCTCCAGCCAGTCAGACTTGAGAAGCAGCGAAAGACATACAGATGGAGAAAAAGGTAAAAATCCCCGAGGCAGAATGTAGACAAAGACAAACAGATTAAGAGCTAAGATAAGGCCAAGTATTCATAATTAATACGACGTCTCCGTGTCTTGATTTGGGAGCTGGTTGGTGGCACAGAAGAGAAAGGCTGATACACATTCTGTTCCATAAGACTCTATTATCAATACTAGAATCATTATGATGAAATTCAACAAGGGAACTGACAGTGAGGGTGATGTTCTGAACGATTTTAGAGGGAGGCTATGGAAGGGCTGCAGCTCTCTGACGTAAATACGATGCACCCTTTGAGTGTGAGAGTAGAGCCTGTAGTGACAAAAGTGACTGGTCTGGAGGAACAACCACACACACACACACACACACACACACACACACACATAGACACACACATACACAAAGTTCACGATTTCAGTGAGGTGACAGTGGAGAGGTCCTGGTCCTGGTCTGGCATTCCCTGAGGACAAAGTCCCATCTCACTTCCTCATCTCCACTTAGGAACCAGAAAAACAGGCTCAGGGACATTTGGAGGTTCTGAAGTCGCACATGTTGTAGATAAAGAAGGAACTAGGTCTGCCCATTTTAGCATTTTATAAGCCATAATCAGTTTCATATGGACAAATTGATACCTTGTTCTCATAATAAATATAATATAATATAATATAATATAATATAATATAATAATAATGAGCCCTTTCCAAATGTACACACATAATCCAAAACAAGACTCGGCTTATATTGTAAAGACACTGATCTTGCTCCTTACCTACATAACCTGATGGGCACTCACAGGTGAATCCCCCAACTTGGTCTGTACAAATTCCACCGTGGAGGCAAGGCAGTGAGCTGCATTCATCAATATCTGTTTCACACTTTAAGCCTAAAACGCAGACCAAACACTGAATGATAAATCCAAATAAGGGAGTATTAAACATGCGTGATCACTTGAGAGCAATGATCTTCATAATCTAGACCTAAAAGGAAGAGCTACCATCCAGTCATGTTTAATGAAGGCACTTCATGTTTCCACATAGATTTGATTTAAGATACCTTACAAAACTACATGGAAAACAGCTAAATATCTTAAAACATTAAGAGGATGGAGAGGGAAGTTTGCAGTGATTAAATAGAAGCCATAAATTATGATAACCATAAATCAAAACCCACAAAACTATATAGTGCTGCTACCAAGGTCACCTGGCTCAAGGGGTGAGGAGGGGTCAAGTTTCTCTAAATCTTAGCTCATAAACCAGACGCCCTATAGTGCGCATTGTCTTCCCATAGGGTACACACAGGATGTCTGCGCTAGCCCTGCTAGAAACCTTCCCTACCAGGGGACTGTGATCTTCAGCATCAGCATCACCTTCAGACAGAAGAGAAACACTGCATTTCAAGTCATACCCTACACTACTGAATCGGAAATGCTGGCACTGCCAGACTCTGCAGGGCCCAGCGATCTGCAGCTTGGCAAGCCTTCCAAATGACTACGGCATGCACTAATGGATGAGATGCTCTATCCTATACACCTTTAACTACCACTGAAGTGTAGAATTCTCAGATAAAAAAAAACTACCCCCTCCTGCCCTCCCTTCCTTTCTGTCTATTAAGATAGGATCTCACTGTGTGTCCATGGCTGTCCTAGAACTCACTTTGTAGACCGAGTTGGCCCTGAATTCAGAGAGATCCCCTGTTCTCTGCCTCCCAATGCTGGGATTAAAGCCATGTACCACCGTGCTTTGCAAATTCCATATATCCTATGAAACGTCAGAACTTTTTTTTTTCTTCAAGAACACATATACATGAGTCAACTGTGATAAATGAAATGCCAATATTCTTGCTAGCCTCTGGCTATCTTTTGTTTCCAGTTTTCTTTTTGCTTATTACTTTTTTGGTGAATTCTACTTAAATATAATTTTCCATGAAAAACTTTCAGAATTCATTGCATACTTTTTTGAAGCAAAAAACCCATTTAGAGAAAATAAGGGATTGTCTTAAATTAATTGCAATTAAAACTATCATTTATTTTCTCCTAAAATTGTTTCTGAACACATTGGTAAAGTGAACCAAACAGCAAGTAAAAAATAATTCTTACTTATTCCTACAATCTCTAGTCTGGAGTCATGGAGTTCTTCTGAAGCTAGAAACAAAGTAACAATTCTCGTCTATGAACAAGAACTTCCATTCTTGAGTAACCAAGGAGAGAAGCCAGGAATTTGTTCTAAAATGTTTGTGTTGGACAAAGTTGAGTGTTATGCCTTTAATTTGTGTTAGAACAAAACCTTGGACATGACTGGGGACTGTATTCCAATTAACCCCCCCCTAGATATAGTGTCAGCTTTCATAGTGAAGAGTTTCTTCTTTTTCTCCAAACTGTGCACAGAAAAGCTGTTAACTCTGCACACCTTTTACCTTGTTCAACCCAATATTTCTCCTCACAAACATGGCCTAACATGTCTTATAATCTGTGTTAAGTATTTCAAAGTCTGACTCAATAGCTACACCAATTTCACATAAAATGTGTTAAAATTAGCATTCCTTTATGTTACCTGTATATCCGAGTGGGCAGAGACAGACATAACCACGGCCGAGCTGTTGGCAGGTCCCACTATTGTGGCAAGGGTTTAAGAAGCATTCGTGAAAGACCTACCAGGGCAGAAGACATGTATCACAGAAAAGCTCTCGGTTCATTTCAGAGCACCTCTACCTAGGGGCCTTAACGTTGCCATGTGGCTTCCAGGTGAGTTCATTCAAGCTAGCTAGGTCACTGCTGTATCGTAGGAGCTGCTATGCATGGGCTCAAATGATGATACTTCAGTGAGGTCGATGTATGCAGTGTTCCTAAGAGCTGGTTGCATATTGCATGTTGCATGCCAGTTGCATGTTGCATGCTGGTTGCATCTCCATTAGAGATGTCTTTGAAATACAGGAAGTACAGGGCTCAACCAAGGCCAGGTAAAACAGAGCCTCCAATGTGACATCCATACGTTCTTATTTAAAAGTGGCCTGTGGACTCCATCACATCACTACTTTAGCAGTTCCGACAGATGTCTGTGCTCAGCGAGCTCGTTTTCAAATGCGATGTAGGGAGCCCTTGCAGCTTCCTCCATTGGTCTGTAGGAGTTTGGCAGAAGATATATAGTATCATTGGTTTAAAAAAATGTCAGTTGCAAGGGACTTATGACCCTTAGGTAAGATGAATTAAGAGTAATGGCAGAATCTACCCACAATGTCATCTCTATTTAAAAAAAAAACACACACATACATGCATGCACATAGGCACATACACACACTCACATACACGCACACACACACACATACACACACACACACACAAGAAAAGCAATTAGTTTAGTTATGCTAAATACAATAATGGTCCAATTAGTTGGATCAAAGCCTCCCACATCTACATACTGTTGAGCAGGCTTTTCAGGGAAAACAACTCCAATTTTTGGTACTAAATGTTGCACTTTTTGAAAGTGCTTATTAAGAATCATAACTAAATATTCCTATACAGTATTCATAACCTGATGAAGGTTTCACGCACAGCTTTCTATGTTATGTAAAATAGCAAATTAGTTTCTAAGCGCCCCATCAATAACAATGCTCCGTGCAGGGGTCAGACTCGCCTGGCTGCCGACTTCATACTTCTTCTGGGTGTATCCAGGAGCTGCAAGGGGCACTATGCTTTCTTCTGCTGCAGAGAAAGTGGAGCTAAAACCTAACAAGACAAACAGGCAAAACTGTCAGCAGGTGATGGGTGAGGCTCGTAATTAAACGCTCTCCACATACTGAGGGTAAGATCTGGTTGCAGAGTGAGTCACGCCGCAAGTATTCTATTTCAGTACTACTAAACAGGAAAGCAGCCATGGGTGGCATGTCCTTCTATCCAAGACTCTGAGAGAGACACTTGGAAGTTACCAAGTGCAAAGTTTCCAAAATAATTCTTCCAGTCTTGTCATCAAAAAGATCATAAAAGGGGCTGGTAGGACGGCTCCATGAGTAAAAGCACTTGCCATCAAGAATGGTGGCCTGAGTTCAATCCCAGGACACACATGGTGAAAGCTGTAAGTTATGATTCCTGTAAGCTGGTGTTTGCCCTCCACATGAGTGTTGTTGGATACACGTGTTTATAGGCACACATGTGCACAGACATACACATGCATGCGCACACATGCATGCGCACACATGCATGCACACAAACGAGTACGTAAATAATAAGTGTACTAAAATTGATTTACGAGTCCACCTGAGATGGTGATGCTCAGCACAGAAGAGACCAGAGAGGCACAGGCAAGACCCCGGCATAAAGTCTGAGAACTCACTTGAGCAATCCGTGATAGACGTGGCACCAGTGATGGTTGTGGTTCCATAAAAGGGACAAGCTAGGCAGAAGGACTTCCCTGCGTTGGGCTGGTAATAGTCTCGAGGGCATGGATAGCAGGGTGTGAGCCCAGAGCGGGAGAATTCTCCTACTGGACAAGGCACTATAAAGGAAAAAAGAAGATTGTCTGTGTGTGTGTGTGTGTGAGATGACTCTACATTTCAGATAAGTTCCCTAGCTGTTGCTTGTAAGAAAGCTATTGAAACACTTGCATCCCCTCTTTCTATTGAAAAAGGAAGTCCCAGACACCTAGTTCAATTTGCCAGCTGATAGTATAAGACAAAAAATGGAACTGGGTGGTGGTGACGCACGCCTTTAATCCCAGCACTTGGGAGGCAGAAGCAGGTGGATGTCTGTGAATTCCAGACCAGCCTGGTCTACAGAGTGAGTTCCAGAATAGCCAGGGCTGTTGCACAGAGCCCTGCCTCAAAAAATTAAAGAAAGAAGAAAAAAGAAAATTGAAAAACGGTACATCTTTATATATTCAGTAAACAAAGGCACATGTTTTCATTGCAGTATGATTTAGTACATAATATAAAGCTAAACATACATAGAACATGCATGTGTTAATGTCCTGGCCATGGGGAAAGAATGCAGCAATTTCCTTTACTACCAATATTAGTAGTAATATTGATAATAATAAGTCAAATTTAAAACAGTACACCGAAGCCGGGCGATGGTGGCGCACGCCTTTAATCCCAGCACTCGGGAGGCAGAGGTAGGCGGATCTCTGTGAGTTCGAGACCAGCCTGGTCTAGAGAGCTAGTTCCAGGACAGGCTCCAAAGCCACAGAGAAACCCTGTCTCGAAAAAACAAACAAAACAAAACAAAAAAAAAACAAAAAAAAATAAAACAGTACACCGAAATGGCCTGGGAAAAATATTACCTTGCAAATTATTGTTAATTGGTGGTGTTAAGAACAGCAAATACAACCATGGAGCTTAATAAACTAGGCCTTTAAATAAATGTATTTGACACTTGATAATACTGTGTTGTAATCTGGGAAGTACAGAATTCAGAACAGATTTCAGGAGCCACCCCACAGAGACGGTGCGATGCATGAACTTGTTGGACTACAGTGGGCATATAAGTATGATAGCATCATGCCACATGCAACACACTTTAAACACACAAAAATGAATAAAGGAATAAGTTAATATGTTTCCAAAGACAAGGCCAGAGGTCAGTTAATGCACCCTAAAGGGTCAGAGCGAGAGGTGGTATCATTCTGGTCCTCATAAAATATAAATCCTGGTCCTTTGGGGTGGATGCGTCAACAGTGACGACCAGGTGTCGTTTATGGGACCAAGAAATTTCAGATTTTTAGTCACAAGCCAAAGGACATGTATGTAAGAAAAGATAAGACGTATACAGGTTGTATTGTATAAGCATGGTAGTAACGCATAACATACGGTTGTTATAGTGATTATGACCATTTTGAGCAGGCTGAAACAGCAGGTATTTTCTTTTTAAGAAATGTAAGTTAAACTCAGCAAAATACAGAATGACACATCTCTAAACATCAAACAATATAGAAAGAAAGTAATAATGAAAGAGAGACAGATGGAGCGAAGGAAAGACAAGAAAAAGGAGGGAAGGAAGTTGAAACCAAGAGAGAATCTGCGAGGGTCAGTTGTAAAGTACAATAGTGCTGGCCCTAGCCCACAGAGAGAGCTAAGTTATCCCTGCTGCTCGCCCGTGTTGAGAAGAATGTGGCTAGCTGTGCTAGGAACACTTGGAGACACGGGGCATTTCCCAGAATTTCGGCCACATTCTGGGAACTAGAATTGCTTAATTGCAAAGCTGGCACTAGACAAGCCTCAAAGCTTATTTAGAAAGCGAAAAGAAAAGTCAAATACGAACTTGCTTCCCTGCAAAAATTCCAGTTGTTTTGTGGTTGGAGGGTGTTGGAGCAGGGGCAGAATTATTTTCCTGCAGACTTCCTTTCAAAATTAGTTCACATATTAACAAAATCAAAGAGTGTCTAGCAAATCCATTTTAAGCATAATGTGATTCTTTGATTTTTTTCAATAAAAACACAAATTGGAGGTTGCTTTGACTCAACAGGCATTTTTTATGGGATGGGCTTCAACCACGGTCTAAAAAGTTCTCTTCTTGACTCTTGGTGAAAATTACATTGATGAACTCTACTCAAGAAATCTGTCTAAATTTTTTTATCTGCCATGACCCTAGTACACTGAGACAGTTTAAACAAATGGGAAGATGTATAAATCTTATCATTCAACGTCCATTCTCCTACGTCCTATGGCTCTTAACTTCTGAGGACAATGTCTCGTTAGACGCAGCTCTGGCATACCCTTCCACTGCTCCAGGTAAACTGCCCACTTGGCCAGCAGCGAGGAATCTCAGTCTCTTTCTGGTTGCTGTAGCTGTGTATGGCTGTAGCTCAGTAAGAATGTGTGTGCATGGCTTGCTGTGTAGCCTGGAGAACTGGCACAGAGCAGGCTGGCTCTTAGGAACAGCAACCTTTCAATAAGAAACCATTTTCATACTCTCTGGCTTGCCATAAACTTTAGGTTTTTACGCCAGAATAAGCGGGATGGGAGGACGCACTAAGAGCCACCATGCAGGCCTGCTTGCAACTCTGTGTGGTACTGTAGAGACAGCCCTGCAACCTTTCCTTGTGAACACAGCTCCACTAGCATTACAGGGAAATGAACTTTCGGAGTTTCTAGCAACAGGCTGGTGTGTGTGTGTGTTCGTATGTATATACACATTAGTATGTATTCATTTGTAGGTATACATTTGTGTATGTGTTCATGTGTATGTATATATCTGTATGTGTTCATGTGTGTGTATGCATTTGTATATGTGTTCATGCATGTGTATACATTTGTGTGTCTCTGTGTGTGTATCTTCCTCTGTCACTATCCATCTTATTGTTTAAAACAGGGTCTCTCACTGAACCTGGAGATCATCGGTGGATAAGAATGGCTGGCCAGTAAGCCCCAGAGATCCTCCTGTCCCTGCCTCCCACTTCTGAGATTACACGTGTGTTGCCATGTTTGGCTTCTCACGTTGGTGCTGCTGATTTGAACTTAGATCTGCATGCTTGTACAACAAGCATTCAGTGACTGAGCCACCTCCCCAGCCCATAACTGACTCTCAGTTCTGGTTTTGAGATAGTGTGAAGCTTTTAATCTTCTAGTTTTGTTTACATCTCCAGGAATTTCTAGCTGGCTGACTGGCTGGCTGACTGTACTCAGTTGGGGTATTAGACATATTCAAAGTGGAGTGCTGAAGCCAGTGTTTGCCACAGTGTGATCCCCGAACTTGTAAAAGTAGGTATTCCCTGAGTACCAGATAGAAATGCACGTTACACCCAGTGAACCAAAATTCTGGGGACAGCACCCAGAAACCTGTATTTCTATGGTACCAGGAAGCCTCATGTGTATTACTGAGGCCTGGGATAGAAGCCTTGTGCTATACACAGAGAGCCCATTGTTTATCCTGAAGTGCCGAGCAGCTGAGAGAAAAGAACTCCCCACAAAGAGACAGTTATTTACATTCTTCGCATACTGTGGACATTTAGTTTTGTTAAAAGCATCCCACTCCTCCACGCAGAGAACTTAACATGTAAATAAATATAAACATCCGAGGCATCAATGATAACCTCCGCAAGCAGAGATGTCTACAGCTCCTCTTTTTACAGTCGTGGTGGTTTCTGGGCATACGAGGCAGCTCCTGGATCCAAATTCTGGTTGATAAGTACCCAGCGGACACGACTCACAGGTCTCGAGCCCACTGGAGGAGTAGGTGCCTTGCTTACACTGAGCTGGAAAGAAGGGTAGGACACAATGAGCAAACTCATCATCAAACACGGCATGACACACACATTTCCTAGGTTCGCTGTGTCTTCACGTCTAAAGGCTCCCGTGCCACTTAACACGTTGATTAAATCAATGAGCTTGATTGTCTCCTGTTAATTTATCTTTTGATGCAGGAGCCTTGACAAGACCAAGTGACAGACAAAGAAACCTTTCTCCCATTGCAACTGGACACGAAATCCAGCCGGTCTCAGTCCAAGCCTGTAAGCCTGTACCTTTGCATTCGGAGATGCTTCTCGAGTGGAGATACTCCGTGTGAGTCCTGGGGGGACACAGTTTACACTCCAGCTGCCCTTCCTCATCTTGATAGGATCCCATCAGGCAGCTTTCACAGGTGGAGTGCTCCAGAGAGTAATAGGTTCCCAGGGGGCAGTTGACTGTGGAGAAAACAGCCAGGAAATTCAGATCCCTGCACCATGACACCCTTGGGTTCTTTTTTTCTTATGAAGCTTGTGTCTAGGTACTATTATTCATGTGTGAAATTTTACTGTCAGAGTTTTACAGCCATAGTGAGTAGACCTTCCAGAAATATGTTTCTACAAACCCAAGTGGTAGATATTTATTTTGAGGAGATGCATAAGTTTTACTGACCAGTTTTAGTGTTGCTATAACAGGGCTTTAAACAATGGAGGAAAGCTATGACCAACCATAGCATTATAGAAAATACATAGTTAACAACAACAAAAAAAACTGCCAGAAGACAAGGATAAAATAATGAATATTTAGATGAGCTCGTGATGGCTTTGTGATATTGCAAATGTTTTCTAAATTGTCTCTCTGCATGCTCCAGGCTCCCATAAAACTAAACAACATGTCCATGACAGTGTCCTTTCTAGAGACAAGAGACAAGTCGATATGGCAGGATCGAAACAGGTGAGGAAGAGCCTTCACCATGTCTAGAGGAGTTCTCATCCTATGAAGGCATCCTCTAATCCAGGGGCTCCAAGAAAACAGGCCCACTTTATAACTTGTAGTAGCATGGACATTCTGAGGTCAAATAGAAAAACTCACTGATCTGGCTATTAGTAAAGAGAGATGCTTGAACTCTATGCCTGGTGACTTGGGGACGCTCGTGGTTACAACTAGAACCTGGGTGCTTGTTAAAAACAGATTTCTAATTCTCCATCCCCAAACTGCCATGTGCAGGCTATCTGACATGGCCCAGGCTTTCTGACACAGCGCAGGGTGTCTGAAGACCCCACCGAGACGGGAGAAGTAGTAGTCAAGACGATTCCTGCTTATTCTCAGAGAGTGGAAAAGAGACCCGAGTAGGGTCATATTAACAGCTCTGATGAGCTGATTTTGACACACCAGGGAAAACACAAATGACATCAGATGGCAGTAAAAACTGTCAAAGGAGTTTCCCCAGACAGAATACAAGGGCATGATTTAAGGGAGACTAACATGGGATTTATGTCATTGACTGTCTTTGTGTGTGTGTGTGCGCGCACACACACGCGTGCATGTGCAGTGGCCCCTTTAGGAATCAGGCTGGAGTTAATCCAGATTGTGATGTAGCTGTATAGTGTAGGGTTAAGGAGATAGGGAGGAAGAGTGGGGAATGACTAGTGAGGACAAGAGTTTGAAGATGTTCTGAAAGTAGACAGAAGTAATGGTTGCACCCTGAGAATGAACTTAACGCCATTTAATTGTACATTTTTTGTACTTATTTGTGTGAATTTTGCCCTAATTGAAAAAAAGTCAAGATTTTAGAATTGGCTGTGTAGTTTGGAAATCTCTGCTATATCACTTTCTGTGAGTATGTCCTTAACCTCTCTGGCTTCACTTTTCTCATCTATACTGTGTATTAATATTAATCATACACCATAGAGATGCTGAACAAGATTAACTGGAAGAGGTGTGTATCTGATATACAAAAAATGGTCAAATGTGTGGGCTATTGTTGAAATAATAGATAAAATGTCATGAGGCTTTATTTGTTTTTAAGATTTATTTTTGTTTACTTATTTATTTATGTGTGCGTGTGTGTGTGTATGTGGTGTGCACACAAGTGTCAGTGGGACCCAGAAGAGGGAATCAGAACCCCTGGAGCTAATGTTCCCAGTGGCTGTGAGCTGCCAAATGTGGATGCTGAGCCATTTCTCCTGCACCACTATGAGGTTTAAAGAACTAGAGTTGAAAATAAGATTTGTTTCCCCCACATAAAACACTTCGCTTGTCTTCAACAATGGTGCACACTCAGGTTCTTGAGACAACATGGTGTAGTGGCAGCCACACAACAATGTAAAATGCCTGTTTCATATCAATGTTCGCTCTACACACTTGGAAAAATATCTGTGCCCAGCCATTTGACCCTGGGCGCAGTAAACAGCTGGGTCCCAGGGGAGGCTTACCGCACATGCGCCCCCTCAGCACAGATCCCGGTCTGCAGAAGAGAAAGGCCTTCTCTGTCTCCAGGGAATTGCTGTCAGCCACCACCATCTCCGAGGCAAGCTGGAAAGAGTACATGGGCTCCTTATTCAGGGTGTTTTTCAGGCGGTTGGTGATGGTTTCCAAGGTCTTGATGAGTCGCTGCTGATTTGCCAATTCAAGGGTATCATTTCTCTCCTCCGGCAGGGGCACACTAGCTGAGATAAAAACACAACACAATTAAACATGCATGTGCACACACACATTCACACTCACACACACATGCACTCACACCCACGCAAAGGGTCTGTTAGGTGCTAACTGTAATACTCATTTTTGCCGTCAACGAAATCGTATCTTAAAGTCCTTCAGAGAAAGAAATTAATTCAGAATAAGGCCAATCAGTTTTCACTAAATAGGTCACATGTGGGCTGTATTAAGAACGAAATATGTATGTTTGAGTCCTTTCCTGAGACACTGTGTTACCATCACCTGTTGAGGGAACTCATCATGACAGGATGAATTAGTCTATACTCTTACTGTTTAAAACAGGTCTAAGTTCATCCTGTCAACATTCAAGTAAAGCAGGTATTGGTTACTGCAAGGATCAGAAAACGCATCTGTGACCCTAAACCGCAAACCGTGGCCACATTTAGTTGGCCCCGTTCTCTCTAGTTCTCTCCAGGGCCACCTCCTAATAAACACAAGGCACGAAAGAGTTCAGAACGAGCTTCCCAACCCCAAATTTCACTTTCTACTCTTTCGGCAAATGGAAAGTTTATCCTTACCTGTGATGTTAAAAATTAGCTGAATTTTGGGGTCAGATGATGGGGCCGATCTTTTCATCCGTGCCGATCTTGCTTTGCCCACACCTGGAGGTGTTTCTTGTACAACATCCAGGAAGTGATCGTAAGAGTAATCCAGCCTGTTACCTGCACCCCAGCCCCCTGGTCCTGAGGCAGAGAAACAAGAGATCAGACAGGCACATCTTCCTCCGTGTTCAGGTTCTAATGTCACAAGTCAAATTGCCTGCAGTAACTATTCAATTGCCCCCGGCGTACAGTGGATTTGGCCCATCACCTTAAATTGTCATTGTGGGGGTATTTTGCTTTTAATTTAGAGACCATTACCCATTTACCTCTGAGAGTATATAGGATTTCTGGCATCTTTCAGTTCCCAGGTGATAATTCTCACCTCAGAGGGAAATAGGGAGGAGGTACGGGAGTCTCATCATTTCCTATTTCTCTTCTATATCCTTCCTCCATTTAAAAATGGCTTTATAAGCTTAATGAACATAGTAAAAGATCTGCCTCCTGTATTCAAGGTGGGGAAGCTGGCAAGGGCAGCTTGTAATGTTAGTGTCGCTGGAGAAGACATGGCTGTGTGTGACTTGCGAGGTGCCCCTGCTGGCGCTGTGATTAACAGCCAGACACCAGATTTTCACTCCATGAGGTGTGACGCGCGATTGTATAACCTGGGCCAGCTGCTTTCATCTTTCTGAACTCTGATTCCTTCATTAATAGATGGAGAAATGAGCCTGACTTCATTGTCTGTAATAAGATGGGACAGTTTATATGCAGCGCCTGGTTTAATATCTGACTCATTACAAAACCCCAGTGTGTCAGCCAATTAAGTGACATCCATGTTGTCCTGGCCACACTGACCTTAATTATGTCCTTTACAGACTTGCTGTGTTCATGAGCCTGCCACCTAGGGAAACTGTCTTCAAGGATTTGTTTGCTTTCTGTATGTATGTAAAAAGCTGGGGTCGATATTTTAGTGATTTCAGCTACATAGTTCCCCACAACTGCTATGGGACAATTATGGAAAATTGATTTACCAGACTTAGAAACTCCTGGAGAGAAAATTTCAGTCTATTTGGACTGAAATTATGCTTAGACTTAGATATTAGATTTTAATAACTGGATTTTATAACCTGGGTGAGAAATATGGATACGTCTCATGTATAATTATTTTGAATCATTGGCTTACTTGCAAGGCCAATTGGATGGATGCCAGATAAAAATCACTGCTTAAATACTTTCTGACTGTTATGATTACATTATGTGATAAGCCAATTTTTAAATTGCCATCACAAGGTGACCTTTATCCTGAAGCGCTTTGGCTAATATTTGAAAGTGGTTCATTTCATACCAAAATTTATGATATTCATAATGAATTATTACATGATCAAATTATATAGCCATCCTAAAACACTTGAAGAATAAATTAATAAAAGCTAAATTTCTTTTTCTCTTTTTCACCACTCCTATGGAGTAATTTCATTTTGTTGATCCATCCTGCACCCCACCACTGCTACATAATGCCATTACCAATTGCAAAGCCATTTTCATAGTCATAATTATATTCGATGCAGTATTTTTTGGTCTGGTCCTCCAGTCTGCAGTCAATGTCACCAGCATCACTACAAAAGGACGGGACCTGCAGAGGAAGAGGAAGAGCATGGAAATCACATCCCCTCTGTGCTTCTACTGAGCTCTTGGCTCTCCTGGACCTCACTTCCCATTAGCCAGAGAAGAGGAAAGGCCCTTCGTGTTTCCAGAACTCTACATGTTAGGAAAAGTTCTTTGTCTCCCTTCCTCCCTCCCTCCCTCCCTCCCTCCCTCCCTCCCTCCCTCCCTCCCCCCTCTCTCCCCTCTCCCTCCCTTCCCTCCTTCCCTCCCTCTCTCCCTCCTCCCTTCCTTCTTCCTTCCTTCCCTCCCTTTCTTTCTCCTCCTTTCCTTCTCCCCTCCCTCTCACCTACAGCCTCTCACTGTCTCAGGCCATCAGGATTAAACTCAGACTTTTTAATCTCCATTTCTGTCACCCACCAGAGGAAGCCCAGGACTCTGACTTGAGACTACCATGGTATAGATTCTTTAACCCCTGTGCTGGCTAATCTTATGTCATCTTGGCACAAGCTAGAGTCATCTGAAAGGAGGGACCCTCAATTGAGAAAATCCCTTTGTAAGAGAAAGCTGTAGAGCATTTTCTTAATTAGTGACTGGATGGGAGAGGGCCCAGCCCATTGTGGATGCCTCCATCCCTGGGCTGGTGGTCCTAGGTTCAATAAGAAAGCAGACTGAACAAGCCATGATGAGCAAGCCAGTAAGCAGCACTCCTCCATGGCTTCTGCAACAGCTCCTGCCTCCAGATTTCTTCCCTGTTTGAGTTCCTGTCCTGACTTCCTTCAATGATGGACTATATTGTAGAAGTGTAATCCAAATAAACCCTGTCCTTCCCAACTTGCTTTTGGTCATGGTGTTTCTTTGCAGCAATAGAAACCCTAACTAGGCTGGGCCATGGTGGTGTAGGCTCTTCAAAGCTACAGAGAAACCTTGTCTCGAAAAACCAAGAAAGAAAAAGAAAATGAAAAAAGAAAAAGAAAAGGAAAGAAACCCTAACTTAACTAGGGCAACTCCCTTCTGTAAGGTTCTGTTTTCCTCTCCTCTTCTTCCCCAGCTCTCCTTTGTGTTCCCTGAAACTCAGGCAGTAAAAGAAAAGTTGCCAAAGTCATATTTTCTCTACATTCTCTTTATCTTTGCTCCAAATGAAGCACAACTTTCCAGATTTCGGGACTATTTTTTCAGAGGATGGTTCTGGAACCATCACAAACCCACATCTTGCAGGTCTGCAAGTGGAAGCATCGTCCTACACTTTCCTCCTATTTCTAGGTCATCCTGTTCCCTGTTGCCTCCTTGAAGCCTGGAAGGTTGCCAGCTCCGCCCTCGCTGTCCTTTGTAGCTGTGCTGTTGTGAACACCATTTCTTACTCAATCGTTCTCGCTCCTGGCTGCTCTCCCATCCCTTAGCTTCCTCTTCTCGCTTGTCCTCCAGTTGTCTGACGTCACCACTCCTGTGGCCACTTTATGTCACCACCAGCAACACCATCCTCTCCTCTGCTCAAGAATCCAGCACTTCTTTGGCCTCCTTGGAGTTTGTATTGAGTGAAGTCTCTTGCTTTCTCTCTCCCTCAGCCCCTCCCATCTTCCCTTTATCTGTCTTAGATTCCATCCACGGTCCATTCCTGTGAAATAACCCCTTCCTGGGAAATGCCTGCTCACTTGGGTTCCTTCTTACTCTGTTTGCTAAATAACCGTAAACAGGTTGAAGTGACTACTTCCTTTCTCACCTGTTCCCCCCCATCCACCTGTCCTTCCACCCCCCCCCCTTCTCACCTGACTATGGCTTGAGAGAATCTCCAACCTCTGCTTTTTCCAATCCTATCACATTTCACTCAAGGTCAGTTAAGGTCAAATAAAAACTGCCCTGCCTTTCTCTCTCCTCATTCTTCTCCCCTATTCCCCATCCCTGTACACTGGTGATCACTTTTGTTCCACGAGTCAAATGAAAGTCAGTGAAGGTTCTTCTTTCCTTCACTTCCAGCCCACATGGGAGCACACAGCCTACAGCTGTGCTTTTGTCTGTCTGTTCTCTTCCTTTCATAGTCTGCATCCTGTCCCTCAGCTAGATCAACAGAGTCTGCTGATATCCTCCAATGCTCCTATTTCTCGCAATTGTTAATGCTACCCAAGCCAACACCCTTTAGTTTTCTGTGTGATCATCTAACACGCTCCTACCTTCTGCACCTCCTACTGACCGAGGTGGTGAGAAAACTGGCCTATGTCCATGGCTTTCCATCACAGAGTGCAGGGAGTCTTGGCAGTGGTTCCGATGGCTCCCCACAGTCTGATTTTCCTTGTCACTCTTGTTTTCTCTACCTCACATGAACTCTTGGAGCATCTCTTACCCTAACTTGCTCCACTACCCTCGCTACACCTGCTCTTGCCACTTTGAACTCAGTAGGGTTTCAGATTCCCAAACACATTCCTGCCTCAGGGCCTCTGTGCTTGCTGTTTCTTCTGCCTGGCTCAGCATCTTATCCCTTTAATCCTCTTTCAAACAGGATACTTGCTGGTGAAATTTCCCACACTCTGCATTGTTTTATCCTGTAGCACTTGCCACCTGGCCTGCTGCATAGTTCCTCTGTAATTTATTAATCCTCTATTCATTAGGATGTGAAATCTGAGTGCATAAGGCTTGACCAGCTTAATCCCATAAAACATAGACGTTGACTAAATACTAATTAAATGAATGTACATTAATAACACATTCTGCTCCATTTTTACTATCTTTAACCTATTACTGTTTGTTTTAGACAAAAGAAAGCCACTTCGACACAGTCACTTCGACACAGTTTTCAATTGTGAGTTCTATTTATTACTTGAGGAATAGTTTGGGCTAGGGTGCAATGCTGTGAGTGTATCCTTGCCCTGTACTCGCAATGACCAGATGAACACAGTGTTCCCTCTATTTGCTGGCAATTATGTCTATGATTTTCCTATTGGGAATTTGGTTCTACCAACTTAAGCAAAACATTTTAAAACAAGAGCTTGTTAAGTCTATGCCAGCTAATACATTGGACATCTTTATAACAACACTTGGCATTTCGCAAGCTGCGCTTTAAAATGTGTATTAGCAAATCCACAAATCTTCATCCATCCTGGCAGACAAAAGCACGTTTCCTGCCTTCTAGACATTCGATTCAGTTACGTGCATTGCGCTGCTGTCTCGAAACCAAAACCACATAAAATAGAAAATCCTGTTGAATGGGGATGTAGCTCACGTGCTAGAGTGCTTGCCTCGCACGCATGAAGCCCTGGATACAATGTCCATAACACATACTGGGTATGGCGGTACATGTCTGTAACCTTCCTAATGTTGTGACTCTTTAATGTAGGCCCTCATGTTGTGTTGACTCCCAATCACAAAATATATTCATTGCTACTTCATAACTCATTTTTCTACTGCTATGAATCATAATATAAAGACCTGATATGAAGACGGTCTTAGGTTCAACCCCATTGAGGTTGTGGCCCACAGCTTGAGAAATGCTGCAGTGTAATCCCATTCCTAGGGAGGTGGAGGCAGGAAGACCAGCAGTTCAAGGCCAGCCTTGGCTACATAGTGAGTTAGAGGCCAGGGTGGGCTACCTGAGACCCTCTCTCAAACCCCAAAATCAAACCAAAATGCAACAACAAAAAAGAAGATCTTTAAAAGTTCGATTATTCTTATCATAAAATAATATAACATAATTTTGGACATTTTCTATCAGACTTTAAATAATAAGACAAGTATTTTTAAATCACGAAGATCCTAAACTCTTTTTAAGCCTTTTGGTTCATGGTATTTCAAAAACTTAACATTTTAATGCAGACTGAATTCAGAAGTCTAAACTCAATGAGTAATTCTACATACGAATTTGGATCCTAAAGACAGGCACATTCAGGACTAGGAACGACAGTTGCAAACAATCCAGAGAAGTTAAGACAGCCTAGTGGTGTCCTAAGTGTCCCTCATAGAGCCAAGGCCCCCTGGTGACATACCATTTTCCCCAGGGTGGTTTCAAACGCTGCCGAAAACTTCTTAAGCAGATCCACGTCGTCACAGCGAGTTGTTTTGTACAGCATCTCAAAGGACTTGAACCCGTGGTTTGCAAAACGTTTTACTAGAAAAGTTTAGGGGATGCAGCTTCAGTTGGGTAGAGTTTCCAAGACACATGCAATTACTCCCCCCCCTTCCCTTCCCTCTCCTCTTTTCCTCTCTCCTCCCCTTTCTCGTTCTTGTGCTAGATAAATGCTCTATCACTGACCTATATCTCCAGTCCAGAGGTTTAGCTATGAGAAAACGGAATCTAAACCGGGATCCCAGAGGAGGACCAGTTCTACAAAGGGTCATGACATATGCGTGGCAATTGCACAGTGACGGCTAATGTTTTGTATGCCAACTTCAGAAGGATTTTAAAGTTGATTTTCTTTTGTTTCTGACAAGATTTATAAGACTGTGGAGAGGTAGCAGTGAAGGGTTCCAGGCATCCACTGGCCACAGTAAACCACAGCCCGGTGACGCTGGGCTCCTCTGCCCAAATGAGTTTGCTTTGACCGAGTATTCTGTAACCTCCAGTTCTATGAGAAAAGGAGCACTGAGGAGACTAAGAGATCCTTTGATCTTGACTACATCAAAGTTGTTTGCATTGATATAAGTTTTTATCATGTGTTTTTATTTTCAACTAACAGACATTTAAAAGCTTTAACTGTTATGTGTAGTCATAATCTTTGAAAGTATAATTTCTACAGAGGCAACTTTGCTCTTGTAGCAAATATGCATTGTGGGCATTGTACACTGTAGACTCTAAAGTCTAGGATGTTGTAACCCAGGAGTTCGAGCCCTAGCACCCCCCCCACACTCTCCACTTACCACCACTCTTAGAATTAGCAGCTCTGAATCAAAGTTAAATCTAAAAACACCACACAATCTACTGTATTATATCACCTACATTGGATATTAAGTTACATAAGCTCTTTCACTAAGAAACTTCATATTCATGCTTTCACACTGAGAATTTCATGTTCATAAACTTCTTCAAGCATTTTTAAGTAACTCAAAATAGTTCTGCCTGGGCAAGATAGTTACCCGCTCTCCAAAAGACTCTGGTGACTAATATTTTAAACCATACACCTTGCCGATTCATGACACCCTCCCTGCTAATTCTCATTATAAAGCACTTTTTTTTTTCTGTGTAATGCGCAGAAAAGCACACGATGGTGCCCTTGGAAAGATGCAGAACTGGAACTTACTAGCACAGTCTGGCCACTCAGTAGAATACGGCGGTCTCCAGACACCGTCTTCAAAGGCGCAGTAATACTTCTCCATAGAGCCTTCTGTGAAATCATAGCCCTCCCGGCAGCTCAGGGTACAGTTGACTCCAGCACTGTCCTGGGCACAGACAAAGTCCCCGTTTATAGGGGTGAAGGGAACCTCACAGGGAGAACCTGTGTCAAAATAACACTGTATTATTCAGTTATAGTTCTGGGGCAGCATAGTCCAGGAATTAAAGCCGAGCTAAGAACTCCTCCTGTCTCCCGTTAGCCCTAGGAACATTTTCTCAAGGGTCCTCAGCTGGGAGAGTGGCACTGACTACTTTTGGTTCCTTGTATTGTAGGCAGACATTGGATGGTTGTACCCATGTGCAGTGAGGAGTCCTGCACATTTTATGAGAAGGTAAACATATATCTGACCTTACACTGTCATTTCTGGCATAAGTGCTTGAATAAAAAAAACCTGGGTAACATTATGTGGCAAAGACATCTTTGGGGTCTTTTAAGCAACGCTTTGCATTGTCAGGGGGAAAGGTTCAGAAAGCTGCAGTTGGGATGGTGAACCTTGACTGTGAACTTGACTGGGTGGAGTGACGCCTACACTATTAGTAATGTCAGAGAAGGTGACTGGCAAATGGGAGAGTCATCAACAGGGGGAAGGACCTGCCCTGAATACACCAGTCCTGTCCGATAAGCTGGGAGGCGGGGCGGGATAAAGGGAGGAAGAGAAAGCAAGCAGGTAGGTCCATTCTTCCGGAACTAGTGCATCTGCCATTGCTGATGTCACTCCTGGACGCACCCAGGTTCTTTTTTTTTTTTTTTTTTAAATATTTTTTTATTTATTATGTATACAATATTCTGTCTATGTGTATGCCTGCAGGCCAGCAGAGGGCACCAGACCCCATTACAGATGGTTGTGAGCCACCATGTGGTTGCTGGGAATTGAACTCAGGACCTTTGGAAGAGCAGGCAATGCTCTCAACCTCTGAGCCATCTCTCCAGGTTCTTGCAGCCCTCTAGTATCCCAGTGACTCTCTGAGGAACTTCCAGGCCTTCATCACTGGACTGGGATTGCATCCGGAGGATGCAGGATACACCCTCAAGCTTCCAGTTTCTTGAATTGAGCAATGACTGGATTCTCTGCATCACACAAGTGTGCGGGAACCACAGTTGGGCTCTCCAGTCCATATCGTCTAAGACAACTCAAGAAATCCCTTTCTAACTGGTTCTTTAGTTAACACAGGAATTAAGGGCCACCCTCAAAAAAGACCTGTCATAAGCTCAAGGGTGCTAACTGGAAACTTACAATGGGTCACTTGAAGACTCAGCACTCACAGCCTATCTCCCCCACCCCCAAACAGAGGACGGCAGTGATCACACAGACCAAAGGACAGCTAGGCTGGGGGAGGGTCTGGCGGAGAGAGGAGAGAGTACCTTTTATGATAATGTGGATGTCACAGGTTCTGTTATTGCCTGAGGGATCAGTGGCCGTATACCACACAACAGTTTCCCCGTGAGGAAAGAGGTCTCCTTGGGTGTGACTTTTGGTGATGACCAGTTCAGCCCCTAGGATGGGAAGAAAAGGTGTGATTCCTGAGTCTCATCCCTCCACAGTTCTGACATTGCCCTTTCATCTGAGGCGCTTTCGTTTTCAGTTCGTGCAAACTGGCTGAGCAAGCCACTTAGCGTGGCTTGTCTGCTACTAGAGAATACAAAATTTGATACTTGGGCTGTAGCAGAGAAACAATAGACTCAAAAGTCCTACAAAATTAAGGACTTTTGATGAACAGAAGTATCTTTGACTCGCTCTGTTAGAATATTGACAGTTTAAGAAACTGATCCAACTTTTCTTGTTGTCTGAGGGAAAGTTTTCTTTTTTTTTTTGGTTTTTCAAGACAGGGTTTCTCTGTAGCTTTGGTGCCTGTCCTGGAACTAGCTCTTGTAGACCAGGCTTGCCTCGAACTCACAGAGATCCACCTGCCTCTGCCTCCTGAGTGCTGGGATTAAAGGCGTGCGCCACCACCGCCCGACTGAGGGAAAGTTTTAAAAATGAATTTCAGTGACATTTGCTTGGCTTTCCTCCAACCTTCCTATGACCTGTTGTAATTTATTCATCTAACACTTGGGAATGAAAGTGAATACACAGAATTTGACTGGGGATGCCATCAGGAACTCATCTTTTATATTTCCAGGACACCATAGACTCAATTTAGTAAACCCATTAAAACCTGTATGTTCAAAACCTAGCAAAGGTTTAATAAGGCCCAGTGAGTATTAAATAAAGAGACCAACAGCCAAGCAAGATGCTAATGTTCAATTGCATGTGTATCAAAATACGCTAATCGGTGCCATTTCTCATTCTTCTTAGCTGTTATGTATTTTGCCATCTGAAGACATTTTTAAGAGTAAAGTCTGGCCAGCACAGTACCCAGCTGACAAGGTCTGTGCATCCTCACCAGAGTTGTCTGAGAACTGAGGCTCATCCCAGCTGGCAGAGTGCTCCTTCTCTAAGACCTGGATTGGAGGTGGAGATCGGCACCAATCTATGACAGGTGGTTCCACGTCTGCAGAACAAAGAATCGGACAAAGAAGTCATGACTGCTCTTTAGAACAACTGTAACCAGCTTGGTAGAAACGAAGGTCTTCCAAGGAAACCCCTGTACCTCCCAGTTTAGCAGACAGTGAAGTAGCAGACCCTAAAAGTTCCCAGGTAATCTTGTGCTCGGAGAAGGGGAAGGCACCAGCCAGAGAGGGAGCTTGTCTCCCAGAAAGAGATTTCACACAGCGCTAACAATTTGTTGGACATCTTCCAGGATGAGGCCGAAGCCCAGCAAATGATGGGTCAGTGGTGGGTGGGGCCACTCTTTGAAGTGAACTTCTTAGATGTTCAGATGCTTGGTCAATCACTTAAACTCTAACCTCACTTCAGGGCCTCAGAGACAGACTTGGGGGGTTTGCTGGATCTCTTTATCCATCTTTCCAATGTGGCCACAGTGAATTAATTTTTTTCTTTCTGATACTGATCTGACTCCTTTAACTGGCTTATTAAAGATGAGCCGTCAAGCATGGTTGGAAGCACAGACTGTGACCTTCAAGTTCGATTACTACACATTAGAATTCAGATCGAAGGGTGGCATGCTGGTGAGTTTTAACCGTCAGTTGACACAACCTAGCATCATTTGGGTCTCAGCTGAGGGGCCATGAGCTGTGGGCCTGCCTGTGTGAGACTGTTCTGGTTCCCATCTCAACAATGGGGAGACGCACCCTAACTGTAGGTGGTATCACTCCCTAAACAGGGGTTCTGAACTGTGTGAGCACGAAGAAAGCCAGCTGAGCAGAAGCAAGCGAGCAGGCAGCATGGGTGCATTTGCTTCTCTCTGCTCTTGGCTGCAGATGTGATGTGACCAGCTGCTTTGGTTCTCTCTGCTCTTGGCTGCAGATGTGATGTGACCAGCTGCTTTGGTTCTCTCTGCTCTTGGCTGCAGATGTGATGTGACCAGCTGCTTTGGTTCTTGCCTCAACTTCCCTCCCAGTGATTAACTCGTAACCTGGAATTATACTCCAAACAAGTCCTAGCCTTCATTAAATGGCTTTTGATCAGGGTGTTTTATCACAACCACAGAAGTGTGCCTGGAATAGATGACGTTGAGGTAGGATGGGAATCCACGTTTTAAAGTACTGATTGAATGGAGTGAAATTATTATATATATTTATACACACACACACATATATACACACACATATAAAATATATATGACAGTAAAGAAATTTCACAGGAAGGAATTACAATCTGGTTATAGATTTTACATGTTCAAAGTGTTCTTAATTATACACCTTTGAAGTCTGAAGGAGAGAGTACAAATTACTATATTTTTTATGTGAGACATAGGCCAGACAAACTTAAGGAATTCACCTGAGGTTATTAAGTTAATAACTTGTAGTTATTAACTACACTTGGCACTAAGGCCAAGACATTTGGGTCTGTGCATAAAAGCACATTCTGAAATCAAATGAGTTGTACCCCCGGAATATATGTAATTCTGTTTTAACCTATATTTTACATGTAGATGCTCAATTTCTGTCTTTTTTGCTCACTTGCCATTTCATGAGTATAGTAATGTTGGCTTAGGGGTTTTAGATTGCCAATCATAAACCAGCAATTGAGTCCCTTTTGTTCATACGCAAGTCTCCTCTGGACAGCACAGCACCTGGCCCCTAGCAGGCACTCAAAGCAAAGAGCTTAATAAAGCAAAGAAGGGAGAAATGCTCCTCGCAGGTCAGAGCTCTTTGAGAACACCGAGTCAAGTCAACTCCTGGTTAACCGTGGAGTCTGGAAAGCAGTCATCATTTACCCACAAAGAAATTACAAATCAACATTCCGAGATCATCTAAGCGTATCTGTTTTTAGATGAACATTTAAAAATGGAATTGTAGGTACAGAAGGACCAAAGGGTTAGAGAAGAGAAAAAGAAGAATACTTAAGACAAGTGTGTGTGGGGGGGGGAGGGGAGGGAATACCCAGCAAAGACTGACTACAGAGAAGCCACGGGAGAAGAAAATGCTGGCAAGAAAGCAGTGACTAACAATAAACTCTGAGGAAAGATCCTATAAAATAAGAACTGAAAATTGCACAGTCCGAGCACACTTGATCTTTGGATCTCAGGATGACTTTTAAATGCCGCCATCGTGTTCTGTATAAAGTATAATTTCTTTCAGAAAAATATGACAGCATGTTATATAATAAACATCATAACCTTTGACAAGTTTAAAGTATTTTTCAAGTTTGATATTTGTTGTTAGGTTGAAAAGTTAAATGACACCTGAGTAAAAGTACTTCTATAGTGAAATATGTTTGTTTCCCATTAGATTTTTTAAAAATTCAAATAAGCTTAAAGAACCCTTTATGAAGTGATTTCATAAACATCTGTATGTATTTTAAAAAATGATTAAGAATCTCAGATGTTCAACATTCAAACATAGGTCTAGAAGGGGATCACAGGAATGGCAGAAGAGATTGCTGGCAACTTTGGCAATAATACAATCCTAAGGCATAAAGGGAACAGAGTCTAGGCTTGAATGACTGGGGATAAATGGTAAGAAAGAAGAGAGAGGTAGCAGCCATCCGGAACTTTCCAAAGTGCTCACCTGGCAAGAAATAGACACAGTGACAGTTACAGGATACGTAGGGCTTCAGTGAGAAAGGGACCTGATGGTTTTAATTCCAGGAGGAAAGACTGGGCAGAGGACACTGATTGTTTTTGTAAACCACCCGCATGATTTGGAGAAGACTTACCAATAACCCTGACATGGAACGTGCAGCTGGCTTGGTTACCAGATGAGTCGGTTGCGGTATAGGTGATGGCCACTTCTCCAATTGGGAAGAGGTAGGGTGGGGTAAAGGCTGGGTGGACATGGACTGGCACCTGACGGAGACATAAATATTTGACAAGGTCAGCAGTGCAATTATCCTCTTTTGATTTATATGCTATCAGCAAAGGAATGGGATGATACAGTATTTCATAAAGAGGAAGGGGGGAAGGAGGCACTTCCTTGGGGTGTAATTTCTAACTACTCTTTCCACAGTTCATACAGGTGGCATACATACTGCTCCATATGTTTCAAGCATAATACAGTAGACCATTTCTATACTCTCGAGTGATCTCTGGATTTAAGATGGCTTTTAAATACCCCCTCATGTTCTGTACGAAATATAATTCCTTCCAGAAAGATACGTTGAAGAACTTCTAATTTGGGTTCCAAATTTTACTCTTGGAAACAGTTTTTATTTATGTATTTATTTATTTATTAAAGATTTCTGTCTCTTCCCCGCCACCGCCTCCCATTTCCCTCCTCCTCCCCCAATTAAGTCCCCCTCCCTCGTCAGCCCAAAGAGCAATCAGGGTTCCCTGCCCTGTGGGAAGTCCAAGGACCACCCACCTCCATCCAGGTCTAGTAAGGTGAGCATCCAAACTGCCTAGGCTCCCCCAAAGCCAGTACGTGCAGTAGGATCAAAAACCCATTGCCATTGTTCTTGAGTTCTCAGTAGTCCTCACGGTCCGCTATGTTCAGTGAGTCCAGTTTTATCCCAGGCTTTTTCAGATCCAGGCCAGCTTTTATACACCAATTTAAACATATTTTTTTGCTATTTCCTTATAATATCTCTTCAGGCATAGACCTGCCTGACCTCAGACGATCAACATTGTATTAAAATTTCTTTCCTAAAGTGTGGTAGCTTGCATTCCCATTGTCTGGGATGTGGTGTTGGTGTCAGGGTTCTCAGGTCTATGTTAAATAACTTCAGCTGTGCTAAGTGAGAAGGATGGGGCTTTTACCTCAGTCATGTTTTTATTTTAGGGTATTTAATATACTTGTTTTCCATTAGATTTTGTAAAATCTATTTCAAATAAGCTCAGAGAGTCCTTTATGATGTGATTTGGTAAGCATTTGTATGAATTCGATGGTACCTTTTTAATTAATTAATTAATTAATTTTGATTTTTTTCGAGACAGGGTTTCTCTGTAGTTTTTGGTGCCTGTCCTGGAACTAGCTCTTGTAGACCAGGCTGGCCTCGAATTCACAGAGATCCGCCTGCCTCTGCCTCCCGAGTGCTGGGATTAAAGGCGTGTGCCACAGACTCAGATATTCAGCATTCAGTCATAGGTATGGGAGGGGCTTATCACAATGGCCCCTCCTATGGGAGTGAATGTCAGCTGAGGACTGCCAGTGGTCACGAAATCATTGTCTTCAGTGCTGTAGTCACTGGCAAGTTGGCCATGCTCCAGAGGTGGGTCAGGGGAGCTGATGAAACCCAGTAGGTCACAAAGCAAAACAACAATTGCTGGGGAGAAAATACTCCAATGGTGACAAGGGCAGACTGGGCAGTGACCTCTAGGAAGGCAGATTTTGTGAGCGGTCAGTCAGGCTGGGCAGACTTTCTGGTTACACAGCTGCCTGTGGGCCACTAAAACAGTAAACTCTTTTACCAAGCTAGACAGGTAGCATTGCTCCTTTGGTCTCTCCTCGGTGCCCTATTTGGGGGTGAATAAATGTTAATATTCACATCTTCCCAGGAAACATCCGGACATCCTTGGAAATGCAAGTAGAACGAGAAGAGGAGGGAAATACTCTAAAAATACAGAAGAAAACTGAGCTGAAGAAACCGAAGGTATGGCTGCAGAGAGTACAGAAAGGGCTCTTGATGTGTGAGGAAAAATCAATAAAGGGTGACCAGTACCTAAGAAACTCTTAGACAATTCTGTGCACAGTGAAAAACTTCCACAAGACCCAGTGGGGGCATATCACCTCCTACCAAATTCTCTTTATCCTTAATTGTTAGCCTGGAATAAGAGAGCTCTTGGACATGTGGAAGTTCTATAAACTTACTACTGCTCTCTCTCCCTCTTTCTTTTTCTCTCTCTCCCTCTTTCTCTCCTTTTTTTGAAGGAAAGAATTTTAAACACACCAAACAAAAGATGAATCTTAAGCCATCACAAATAAGGAAAGTCCTGGTCCCCTGCTATTAAAGGACTGGCTGCAAACCCCACAACCTCACGACTGTGGACTTTCTCTTAAAAGGGCTCATAACTGTGGCTATGAAACAAACATGAAAAGTTATAATTTTGGGAAGGGAATATACATAATGTGAATAACTAATAATTAACCAATAATGAATTGGAATAAGAATTGCACATTATAACCAACAAAACTCTAAAATGGCTAAGAAGATCAACTAATAAATTTGATTATTTTGCTTGGGAGAGATTCAACCAGTAATTTTACACTTCTTCCCTATTGAGAACTAAATAATTATGGGTTTCTACATATTTTGAGAAGGTTATTTAAAAGACTGTATATTTTTTTTTCTGTACGTGCTTGTAACTAAAGTCCCAGAACAGAGGATTATAGAGACCAAATAGTGCCATGTTCTACAAGAGCCCCTTTGAACAGACAAGCTGGCAGGAGCTGATACTCAAGCTGTCCGTGGCCCGCACTCCCATCAACACACTGGAGCTGAGAGGTTCTGTGGAAACAGGGGCTCGCTGTGGTAGAGTTCTGGAAACTTCTGTTTTATCCACAGGGAGAGTGTCTGCCTCAAATGGAGTGGCTGCTTCAGACAATCCTGCAGAACACCCATAGTGCAGACTGAGCTGTGTGGGCTTCTGCCCTCCACCTATAGATGGAAGCTTGCTGGGCCGTGGAAACCCACGTAGTCTCTCTACTGCAGTGAGATTGGCCTCCGTCTCTTGGAGTTTAGGGACAGATGTGAATGTAGACAGGTGCCTGCTCTTCCTCGGGTGAATGATGCAGGCAGGAGGTTTGGCCGAGCAATGTGGGTGGCGAGGGAGAAAGGACACTGCGGTGGTCACAAGGAGAACTGTTTCCAGAAGCTCAGGTATTTGAACACTTGATCCCAAGTTTGGGAAGACAGTGTAGACTTTCTAGAGGAAGTACATCGCTGGGGGTGGACTCTGAGAGTTCATAGCCTCACCCTACTTCCGAGTCACGCTCTGCTTTGTTGATGTGTTTGAGGATGTGACCAATCAGCTTCGACAATGCCTGTAGAGTGCTGCCATGCCTCCTAACCATAATGGATTCTTATCCCTCTGGAATCATAAGCCCCACATAAGCTTTCCCCCTCCCCGCTAAGCTGCTTTTGGTCCTGGTGTTTTATCAGCAACAGATACAGATGCTAATACAGATGCTAATCACGAGTTAGCCTTAGATCCTTCCGGCATTAAGAACTTGCGAACCATAACACAGGAATTGAAGGAGTGGGCAGACAACATTCTGCTAGAGCACAGTGTATGTCCAGGAACTGTATGAGGCAGAGAGAGGGCACCCTGCAAGGAAGGTCTTCAGCAGATTCTGTGTACTGGAGGGATGAAAGGCAGTAACTGCATGCTCACTTCTCTGAGTATCTCAGTGATATTGAGATGATAACAGCATTAATTAAAGGGGAAAGTGAACCTGTCTCAAAATCGCTCCTCGCTCAACTGTTGCCTATTGTCATAACACAGTCCTTCAAACTCAGTGGCTTCAAACAGCACACACTTATTGCCACGGTCTTAAGAATCAAGATGCTCATAGCTCATAAAAGGTTGAGATCAAGGTTATCAGTAGAGCTGAATCTGGTTCTCTGCTTTTCTAGCACAGAGGCTTCCAGAATGGACTTCCAGAATGGACCCTCCCTCCAGCTTCTAAAGCCAGCGATGCAAACACAGCCCTTCTCACTCCGCATCTTCTAGCTCCTCCTCCCCCAGAACATCTCTTTCTAGCTAGAGCTGGGACTGGTGCTCCTTTCTTAAGGGATGTGGTAATCAAGCAGGGCTCATTTAGACAATAAGAAATCTATTGTCTACTAATGCCTGTAGAATCCCTTTGCCATATAATGAAGCATTCACCGGGTCTGGAGGACAATGACATTTTTTGCATGACCATGATCCTGTCAATTATACCAACTCTGGCTCTAGGGAAGCCCAAGCAGGGGTGGTGACATAGAATAAATAAAAGAGCAACCACAGAGCCAACTTTCCAATCCCCTGGGTCAGCTCTGGGCAACAGCAGGATAAAGCTTTGAAGTGCATATGAGATTCAAATTTTTATTTAGACAGCGAGATTCTTCTTTTTAATCCTTGAGAGTGGATTTTTAACTACAGAAAGAAGTTATTTTTCTATCCCAAAGTAACCAAGCCACCAAGCCTGTGTGTGACAGGGAAAGATAGTTATTTTCTATTGGTATCTGTTCCAGTTGAGTTTGTTCAAGCTGAGTCACACAGTTATAGTTTTGACTGCAGTGTATCTTTAATTTAGCATCCTATGTTCCCACCAATAACCCCCTTTTAAAACTGTCCCGAGGAATGGTCAAGGCAGCAGTCTAGAAAAGGGTTCTCACAGAAGCCTCACTTAGTCCTTCTTTCTTTTACCCGCTTTGAGTTTGTGTCTTGTTGTGCACTGTTACTGTAAGTTCTGGAATTGCCTTGCCTCTGTCTCTCTTTGCTATTCTATATTGCTGCAGAAAAGCCTCCTCACCTGCTCCCTTACGTCTGTTCTAAAATATCCTACTGGTTCTGAAGATATTAACATGACCGTGTAGATTAATCTCGCTAGAGTGAATGATCACTGATCTCAGATCGAACTGAACACTGTCCAATAATCCTGTTGTATTTCTCTGATGGGCGCTATCTTCCTCTCTCTCCTCAAACTTGCAGAATCTCTTCCTCTCTGGCAGACCTTGCCAACTGTGCTTTGAGTCTGACCATTTTCTGACCACGAGCCACACACGATAGCTTTTCCTTGTATACCCAACTTCTCCTTCCAAAAATGGACCCTTCTATTTCCTGTCTCTTAAGCACATTTGAGCTATTCTCCACTGTGGTAGGCCCAGTAACAGTCCCTGGAAGATATCCATGTCCCCTCCAGAACTTGTGAATGTTACTTTACATGGAAAAAGGCATTTAGAAGATATGACTGAATTAAGAATCATACAATGAGAAGATTATCCTGACTCACCAGACGGGCTAAATGTAGTCACCTTACTTCAGTGTCACCAGACAGAATGACGGTGATGTTGAGACCGAATGTCCACAGGGCCATCTTACTACTGAGAGCCTCCTTTAGTGGCAGGAGGCTCTTCTTTGACGCAATGTCTGAATTGCTGAACAGGGGGCATTGAGCTAACAAGCCACAGATTCCTAGGCAGGATTTCTGGTCCTCCGTGCCTCTGAACAGCACAGGATCCTTTGAACCAGGACAGGCACTGCTTTTGTGCAATATCCTGCTTCCTTGGATCCACTCTTCCCGACATACAGAGCTTTCCTAAAAGGACCACACATACCTGGATGTGGCTATCCCAGGAAATTCTGCATGTTCTTCCAGCTAGCGTTTGTTGTAGGAGATGAACTGTCTGACAAGGTGACAATGACTGGGTTGGGAGTCAAGAGTCAGGTACTGGAAGTGATTTGTACTCAACTGTATGCATTGATTATAAGAACATGAGAAGTTATTGAGAAAAACCAAGGTAACACTGAAGCCATCCTGGCTCTCTTGGCAGCAGGGAATGAAAGACAGTGATGTATTGGCACAGCCTTTGAGAGCCTGCTGAAAAGCAAACAGGGGAAATGAAGAGATGCTTCCTGTTGATGCTGGCTGGGCTGACTTTTCTCAGAGACTAACCGATGCATAGTTTCTCCATCTGTAGACACACAGGTGCTACATTTACCTGCAGTGTCTCATCAGATCCTAAAATGCACCCCTTTTTGCTTGGTATTGGTGAGGATGGCGCATAACTGTACGTTTATTAGAAAGTAGTCACATAGTACCCAAGGACATCTCCTTACGTTTAGTCCCAGAGGTCGGAATTTTAAAAGCTGCTTTGAATGTAAATATATTCAATTATATTGTCAGGACAATTATTATTGTCTTGCTTCCTGCCCCCAATATATCCTGCCTGGAAGGTTTACATATATTTACATGCAGCTGTGAAAGCAAAATACTGTTTAACATTATCTGCCTACTTGTGGACACAGCCCAGCTGTAACAGGAGACGGCATTCCTGATTCCTAAATGAAGCTCTTCCCTAGCAGCTGATGGTTGGTCACTGGTAGCCAGTGAGAGTACATATAAGGTTAAAATACCAAGGAAGGTTGGATTTAGGAGCACTCAGTAAGAAACGCTGGCAGCCCACCCTTCAGCTTGGTCAATATGCCATCCATTCTTGAAAAGATATGTCCATGACTAGGAATCCAGGTGGATTCGACAGCTTTCTTTTCTTAGATTTTTTTAGAACTACCCATGGAGCGAAGAATCATCAATGATGGGTCTTAATGGAAAGAACAATATGTCAAACTCAGGGAATGAAAAATTTCTGTCCGATTTTTATCTGATATTTTTATTTAAAAACAACGCTGGCGGTTCTCTCAGATGAGGCACTAGAATTTAGCGTGAACTAGAGAGACAGTACTGTACGTCACTAGGGTACACCAATTTTCCGCGCTTAGAGTCCATTCAGAAGGGATGCGGATGTTTAAGCCAACCTTACCTTTTCTCCAGAGTTGTCTTTAGCTGTTGGGATTTGCCAGGTGATGTTGGCAGAGTCTTGCTGTTCCCCAGTCTTAGCCTCGATGTCTTTTGGACAGCTGATCTGTGGAGCTTCCACATCTGATTCCCCCCCCCCCAAAAAAAAACACAAATCAATTAAACACCACACCCTGACATGTACTTCTAAATTATTTTTAAAAGGTGGTCAAACAGGTTTTATTAATACTTTATAATTTTTAATATGCTGATTACCAATTATTAGGACGGCACAACTACTTTGCATAGTTTATCTTAGGTGGCTTAGGAGCCTCCTGAACTGGGCCCGCCTACATTCGCAGTCCACTGTTGGGAACTCATGCTTCACATGGGATTGCTGTGAGCCCGTGGAACTCTGTAGTCTGCCCTGTACTTGGTCTTTTGCCTTGGTTCTTCTCTTTGTCTTTGCCTGCCTTAATGCCCAACCATATCCTCCCCTGCACCCTGGCCAAGAGCAGCTGCAGGTCCTTTCATCCTAAGTGCGAAAGCTGCCCCTGGCTCTTCCCAACCACCTGGCATGCTCACTCCCTGAGCCCTCATAGCCTCTGTTCTTCCCAAACAGAAAACTCAGCAAGCCATGGCGAAACAGAAGTTCCTCGCCTGTTTACTTGAAGGAAATGAGTATTTCTCTCCATGCTGTTTTATTCAGTGCCTGGCATACAGTAGGAACTTGGTCAATGTTTTGTCTTTTGAATGAAACAGAGAAATAAATGGAAGAAAAAGAAAGCTGACAGGGGCAGAAAGTACACTCAAAAATGGGGCCGTCGATCAGAATTAATTAGCAGCCCCAGAAGGTACTATCAAACAACAAATTAAAGCTAATGATACTTTTGACAATGGAAAAGCTTACACACTACAAGAGCTGAATTAAGCCTGCTAGCATTGAAGTCAACTTCTTGTTATGGGTTAGAATACATCTTTTATTTCTACACGATGGTGAATGAGGGCTGCTCAATTTCCCAGACGGATAGATCTGAATTGCCTATACCGTGTCTCATTTCACTGCCTCTCTGGAATTTTATTCATTTTCTGTTTCCCCTATGAAGATGCACAGCTGCATACCGATAATCTGAAAAAAGAACGACATTGCAGTTTTCATTTCTAGTTAAGTAATAGTTTGATTGGATTTGAAATTTGCTTTTTATTTACTTTCCCCTCATCTCCTGAGGCACGGTTGCTTTTCTCTCTGTAATGTGAATCAGACTCAGCTCTTTGGTAGAGTTTCTCTTTCTGCCTCACAGACTCTGCAACTTAGGCTTTATCCTCAGAGGAAGTTTGTCAGCCCCAATGCTCAGGGGCTTTGCAGGCTAAAGTCCCAGATCTTTCAGGGAGGCTTTTCTATAGTAGGAAGGACAAAAAGGAAACTCATCCCTTTCCGGTTCAGTTTCTGGTTCTCTTCATGATGTAAGCATTGTGCTCCTCGATCTCATTCACAATTCTAAAATCAATCTCTTTGGGTTGATCAGTTGAGGTATTCAAGTTTCTTATTTAGTACTTGTTTATTCCCAAGGGATTTTCAGTTTGATACTTCAAAATAGTGACATTTCAATAATATCCACTCAAGCAGTTATTTTTATACTTTCCCCTCATCTTCTGGAGCAGGACACACACACACACACACACACACACACACACATAGACACACACACACACACATTTTTATTTTGGAGGACTCAATATCTACACTATTTTTTACTTCTCAAGACTCTTGTTTTTAACACTTTTTTTTCACCCTGGGTTGCTCTTGCTGTGGGGTAAACAATAATGTAGCAAGATGCAGGCTTCAAAGTGCTTGTGGCCCATTCCTGTGAGCCAGCACTGTCCAGCAGGCATCAGAGGTTCTTCATACATCACCATCTCCCAAAGGGAACTCTCGGCTGATTCTGGCCCTAGCATCATCTTCATTTTCCTGTTTCTTCCGTCATTCTCTCCCAGCTGGATTTGCATAAATTCACTCTTTGGAACCAGAAGCCATTCTAGTTCTTACATGTTTTTTACCTGCCATTTTACCATGGACTTGCAGTGAAATTCACAGAGGGGCAACCCTATCTGACACTCATATGCCATTATGTAGGAATCTGGTTTTTCTCCTGCCCCATGCAGGCACCTACCTTTGCACACAGCGGTCTGAACCTTGGCACTCCACTTCCCAGATGTGGCACAGCTCACCTCTCTGGCCCCAGACAAAACGTACCCCGGGCGGCAGCTCAGCTGGCAGATCAACCCAGGCTTGGCCGGCTGCTTGCCGCAGCTAGGTGGAGATATGAGGACGCCCTTGGGCTTCTGGAAGGTAGTGCAGTGGCGTTCTGTTGCAGAGAAATGACAGCACATCTTTGGCATGTCCACAAAATAGAAACAACAGTCGTTTTACCTCACCCCCAAGTATAACTGTGCTACCTTAGATTGACATGCCCCACACATAAGTGATTGCGTGTGACACTGTGTGTACAATGTATTAAAAAGTGTGGAACTATCTCTTTGGTTATTTCTTCTTTAATTTGTTTGTGTTTTGTTGTCTTTATGAGACAGGGCCTCACATAGTCTGGGCTGGCCTCAAATTTGCCAGGCAGTTAAGAATGGCCTTGAACTTCTCACCTTCCTGTTTCTATCTCCTTAGCATTGGGATTGAAAGCATAGACTGCAGCTCCTGGTTTTATGTGGGATGAAACCCCAGGTTTCCTACAGGGTAGGCAAGCATTCTACTAACTGAGCTATATCCCCCGACCATCTTTTGTTATTTCTCCATCATATCAAAACTTTGAGGGGGCTGGAGAGATGGCTCAGCGGTTAAGAGCACTGACTGCTCTTCCAGAGGACCCGGGTTCGATTCCCAGCACCCACATGGCAGCTCACAACTGTCTGAAAATGCAGTTCCATGAGATCTGACACCTTCACACCAACAAACATAATAAAGTTAAATAAATAAAAAAAAGTTTAAAAAAAAATCTTTGAAAGTCTCTGTATATGTATTGCTCTTATGGGTTGATGAATAAAGTTGTTTTGGCCAATGGCTTAGCAGAGTAAAGCCAGGCAGGAAATCTGAACAGAGATAAATAGAGTAGACTGAATCAAAGAGACACCATGCAGCTGCTAAAGGAGACAGATGCTCCAGAATCTTACTAGTAGGCCACAGCCTTGTGGTGATACACAGATGAATAGAAATGGGTTAATTTAAGATAGAAGAATTAGTTAATAAGGAGCCTGAGCTAATAGACCAGAGAGTTTTGTAATTAATATAGTTTCTGTGTGATTATTCAGGTCTGGGTGGCCAGGAAAAAAATGAGGACTTGCTGCTTACAAAATGGCACCAGTGTGGGGCAAATCCATCCACATAAAAACTGAGAGAGCTTGGGAAGGAATTCTAGGCACAAAAGAACAGAGTGAAGCACAGCTTCTTGGTAGTCACCTTTTTTTTTCTTTAGATAGGCTCTGTTTGCTGGCAGTGAGCAGAGGTGCTGCTTCTTTAAGAGAAGGCTTCCTGACTCAGCATAAGCAGCAAAAACTGTGAGGCTTTCTTAAAAACAGCTTCCTGGTTTGTGCTGGCAGAATGAACTCTGGCTCTTTTGGGAGGTCCTGCATTTAAATGGGTTTGTGAGCAAAGTGCTACTAGTTGCTTAATGGTGATATAAAACCACTGTGTCCCTGGAGCTAGGGCGGTGAGCATGGCTCATAGAGGTGGTGAATGTATCTCCGCCATGTTGGACTGGGCGGAACAAACAGGCAGGACTGTGGACTTGGTCCTAGCCATACCTGCTTAGCATTAAAAAAAAAGGCACTCCTGGTCAGAAAATGATTACAGATATGCAATAAAGACAGATATAGACAATAAAAGACTTCTGAACAAGACACAGTGTGTTTAAAAATGTACATAGGCTTGGCAGAGATAAAAAAATAATAAATAGTTTTGGAAAACAAAGTCTTTAAAGAGACAGTAAAAGTAATATAAAAGAGTATAGACAGTCATTGATTAAAGGAATAAAAAAATAAGCCACATAAAGATGGAATATACACAAGAGAGTCTTGATTATGTATATATTGTGTTTTCATTAAATGTTTTGACTGCAAAGAGACATTTGATTCTGAAGGCTGCTAAGTTAAACCAACATAAAGGTATTTTGACTTCAAAATTTGAGTCTAAGGATATGTTACTTGGAAAAGAGGTTCTGCTTTTGTTTCCACAGAAGATGAGAACCTGTGGATTTCTTCCTGGCTAATGTGGTTTGATGGAACAAGACCCCCTGAAAGGTATCTGTGTACCCTAAGAATACTTTGCCCAACAAACATCAGGAAGCAGTTTGGAGAAAATTATACCCAAATTCCCAAAATGATTGTTTATAAATATTTAAAGGGGGTTATGATATAGAAATGAATACTTTACATTGGTATGGACTTTGATTTATTGATACAAAGTTAAGGACAATTTTCTAATATGTATATTTTTACTCTTGTTTGAGGTATTGTGTTTGTGCAGCTCACTTAAAAATGTAATGTATAATTTAAAATTACAAATTAATAGATAGTAATTTATAATATCAAACTTGTAGTTGTGTTAGTTAGGTTTCCTAGATATGCAGAGATATATTTCAGTTAATCTTCAACACGTCAAAGACCTACAGAATATGGCATTTAAAATGTTTTAAGAACATAGACTTTTCTCGGCAGTGAGACATGTCTACTTCTGGTAGCACCAATTACTTCAGAGAGGTTGATGGGCATTGAAGAAACTTGTTATGGAATTTGCCTTCAGTGTGACAACGCTAGTTATTTGGGCAAGAAACTGCTGCTGCCTGGACTGTTTGATGGTATGCTTTATGGACTAGACATGCATGACACACAGAAAAGTGACTGCTGAACTTTTCAAAAGATGGGATGATCCTTCAGGATTCCTGCTAGAAGGATTGGAGTGATTTAACAATGTATTTGACAATGCATCTACAGCTCCACAGATATGCATATGCACATGTTCGTATGTTTCAGGAGAATGTGGTCTGTTCCAGTTCCTTGCAGAATCCTGAACAAATGAACTGCTCACACCTCACACCTTCTGGCCACTTACCCACACACCGCGGTTCTGCACCATCCCATTGGGCATTTCCTTGACAGGTGAGCTTAGCACTTCCTTCTAACCTGTATCCTTCATTACAGGTGACCAAACACAGGGTGTTGTAGGACATTTCCACAGTGGAGCAGCTGATGTAGCCATGTTTGGGCTGGCGGAGATGGGGGCATGTCCTCACTAAAGAAAATGTCAACAATGACATTTTACTAAATACAGAGAAAAGCAGAAACTGTTACTTTAATAATGGCTTTGTATAATAACATGACTATTACCTGTTCTTAAGGATGAGGAGATAAAATAACCTCTTTTTTTTTTAAATGAAGTCCTTACAAACCTACATTTTATTTGCACCATTACAAATGTAGTTTGTAGCCCATGGGTGGGGAATTTAACTGTGTGAGGAGTCTATCTCTGATTAGATGAAGACAGCTATGTAACAACAAAGATTGTTTCTGTGCCAGAGCCTGTGAATTACACACTGACTCAATTTGGATTTTTATGGTTGTGAAGAGATACCACAACCATGGCAACTCTTATAAAGAAAAGCATTGGGGCTGGCTTACAGGCTCAGAGGTTTAGAACATTATCATCATGGCAGAAGCACGGTAGCATGCAGGCAGGCATGGTGTTGTAGCTGAGCGTTCTGCATCTGGATTGGCAGGCAGCAGGAAGAGAGTGACACTGGGCCTGGCTTGACCATTTGAAACCTCAAGGCCCTCCTCTAGTGACATACTTTCTCCAACAAGGCCATACCTTCTCCAACAAGAGCACACCTCTTAATAGTGCCAGTCCCTCCGAGCCTATGAGGGCCATTTTCATTGAAAACCACACCCACTCAGTAGCCACTCTTCCCAGCATGACACAGCATCATAATGTGCCCATCATAGTTGCCCAACTTCACTGCCATTAATGAGAGTCAAGGAGATACAGCTGAATTTGGGTGAGACTTTCCAACCAATGGAGTGTTTTTTTTTTTGTCTTCTCTTTGTCCTCTTCTTTTCTTCCCAAATAAAGGCATGAGAGAGACTACACCAGCCAGCTGTTGCGTATTTACCAGCACTACAGGAAAAGTACCATGCATTAGAGGATGGTGTGGAAACATGAAGGAATCCTAGTCTCTGGTGATGGTGGGGTTCTTCCACCAGCTTGGGATTATCTATACTATCTTCCTTTAGGCCACAGGAAAGCCTGAAACCTTGAGGCATTGGTAATTAGAATTTTGATACTGGGAGCTATACACAAGTCAAATTCTTTCTATGCAGTACCAATTTGTTCATTCCCTTTATCAATTCTCCAGGGAAAGATACTGAATAAGAAGCAAACAAAAATACCCTACAAAAGAGCTAAGTTCAGGGTCTAGAGACAGAACTGTGCACAACACTGAAGGCCAGAAGGTTATACAGCAATCGCTAAAGAATCTTCAGCGCAAGGCTTGGAAAGCAAAAATATTGTGTGCACTTTTATGTATGAGCAAGTTTTTTTTAATAGAAGAAATGTATACTTGTTTATTTTGAAAACTTTAAAAGAACAGGAAGGAAAGCTCATGCGAAATATTCAAGTGTGCATTCTACTGGAGTTACTGGCAGACTTTATTCTGTGGGAACACATTCAAATTATATCAGTTGGCAGAGCATAAGTATTAAGTGAATTAAATATAAATTTCAGATTTATTACTCCATAGGGAAAATTCGAGAACTGAATGAGAGGAGAAATACAAAACCGTGTCCTTTGCTATCCCTGGGACAAGTTGGCCTGAAGTCAACTATTAATTAAATATTTATCCAAATGTCTGCCTGCCCTGGGGGACTGTTATTGAAGGAGTCCATCATGTACCGGGTCATGTCAACTGTCTTAGAAAGTAAGGGCAATAAATTCCTCTGACTGAGATACATAAAATGGAAAATCACATCAGGCAATTGCTTTTCATTTCTTAAGCACTCTATATTCTTCTTTCAAGAATAAGTATTTATCACCGGTTTTCATAGATACACATTTAATTACTAGATTCAACTTACAATTTTTTTGTTCCTCAATTTATATTTGTTTCAAAGAAACTCATATATAGTTGATGAAGAAAACAGCAACTTACTCTAATTTGATCATGTCACACTGTATACATGTATTGAATTATTCTACACCATAATGTACACAATACTATGGATAGATTATATAGCAACTAATCATTTAGAAAACATGACTAAAATTGAAAAATAAACACAGAAACTCAGTCTTGTAAAAGCGAACAATCTACGACACAGACAATGACAGACCTACAAATTTGCTGTGGGTTTCATCTTGAACATGAATTGGACTTTTTTCAGATATATGCTTCTTGTCAATGTCCAAATTTTGATTCTGTCTATTACCGGAAATAATAGAGAAAAATCTGATGTAAAATGCAGGCATCTTGCTGTTGAAATGGTTTCTCAGGAGAAACACTAGTATTTCCGGAGTTCATTTACTGTGCTGCCAGGTTTTAGCTAGTTTTTACTGAGGCATCACCTAAGATTCCCTTAGTGGTTTAGAATGACATATAATTCAATGAAAATTAGAAATGACTCTAAGTGCTTTATGAAGGGGAACAAGCGTTCCACTAAGAGAAGCAAGAATGAAGCCTTGTCAATCATCATTCAACATTACATAATATTGACAGTGTAGCATAAAACATGTAAAAGACAATTTCTGCTAATCGCTCTTTCCTGACTCAATTTTACATTTTTATAAAAACAATGATAGAGTTAAAAATTATCCTCTGTTCTTTAAGCTCTATCTATAAGCTACTTGTATATACTACACCACTCCTAGAAACAGAAGCCAGCCTTGCCCAGGAGAAGCATCTCAGAGCCCCAGATATAACATTGTTTATGTGCAGCTACTAAAGCCACACTCATGCCCATAAGGCTGTTTACTGCTGCTGACTCTAAGGTGTGCTCCAATTTTACAGATAATAAATAAGAAAAAACACATTTTAGAGTTGATGACATATAGTATATGTTTTGTTGTATTGGATCTCAAGTAAATCCATAAGGTGTTGATAATATGGTATAGAAAGAACCCAATCTTCATTCAGGGAAACTCTACTTATAGGTGAGGTAGGTAGTGACTTTGGTGGTGAAGCTGCAGGAATTTTAGGACAATCCATGGTTGTGGAATATTATTTTACCGGGCAATGGCGTGTTACATCTGTTTATGTACCGGAATCTTACTTTAACCGTATAAAGGTGTGTTACATTTGTTGATGCTGCATTTATTTAATCAAGTAAAGATGTGTAAAGATGTAAAGATGGAGTCGTGACAAAGTCGCTGATACTCTTAACTTATCTTCTGGGCTTCCTATTTTCAGTTTCCTTCCAAAATTGTGTAGGGTTGGATTCCAACACGAGTTTCTAACCAAATAACATGCATGCATCCCTGAGTGAACCTGACACCACATACGGGCTAGAATGAGGGAAGACTGCAGTGAACACCTTAGGGCCACACCTATCAGACTGAAGAGGTTAATGAGACACAAGCGCTTATGCAGACGGATATCAAAGGCATCATACAAGGCTTACAAAGGAACAGTTTTCCAAGAGGCACCGTGGACTTCTATAGCTGTTAGTGTAGGGCAGAAGGTTTGGGTTTAGACTATAGAAGACAGGGAGTCAAGGTTAGGACCTTTCTCTGAAGGGACGGTGGGCTGTCCACTCTGCTTTCCCCCTTTGAGAAGTCGTGTGGAGAAAGTTAAAATATCTGCTTTCTTCACTGTCCACTATTTGGAGAAAAAAATAGACATTTCACAGAGACCTGGGAACTGCCAGTAACTGGTGGCCTCAAGGAAAATATTTTAGATGTGGTCAGAACAATTATTTTAGTGAGGATGTGTGGGCTTTACTGCTTGACGGAAAATGGCCTTCCTTTGCCTTCACACATCAACAGTGGCTTGAGACTGGAAATCAGTATTCTGAGTCCTTTCTCTCAGAGTCCTACATCTCCAGACATTTTGAATGCCCACTAAAGAGCCTCGGGCTGGTCGGAGCCTCTTGGAGGTAATGATATTTGAAATTAGGAAGCCAATGCTGTTTTGTGTTTTTCTGGGGCATTCAAAAATGTCACTAAGATTATTTCCAGACATCGATCTGTTTTTTATACTCTTTTCTGGCATTCACTAACTGATTTTGAACTAGATTAGAAGGTTTTGGTTGTGCACATTTGTTTCTGAGATCTCATCTTGGGAGTATGTCCTTTGATCTTCTGCTGCAGCCGCTCCTCCGCCCCATCCACTCTCTGACTTCCTAACAAGAGAGGGGCACTTGTAGCGTCTGCTCTTCTGTCAATTTACGCGTTGTCAGAATTCTGTTATCTCTGAAATTATCCTCTACTACTTTCTCAGGTTTTATTTTTCAGTTTATTAATCTGGCTGTTGAGTATGCTTTATTGTGCAGTAGTTTTGACCCCCCCTCCTCACTCTAAGGTTTCGTGACTCTTTGACGTCTCCTCGATTCTTTGGAATCCTAGTCTTACTTTATTTGATGCCATTGCCTTTGAGGCTCAACTCTTGAATTTTTCATGCTTCCCTGTCAGCCATTTTGGCCATAGTTTGTCCTCGACTTTTGGCAGGCTGCATGATAAAGAGCTGATTGGAATACTTTCCTATTTATTACTGGGTTCGGTTTTAGTAGCGAATAAACACAGACAACGGATGTCTGTAGAACTTTCAAATGCTCTTGGAATGCAAGTCAGTGAGCGCCCCTTACGGTTATAGATGCACAGAGGTTCTCAGGAGGCAGCACCCTTTACCCAGTGATCTGGGTGAAACTGTGGCACCTTGGAGAAGTCAAGTCCTCAGTGAAGGACATTGATGATGGACAGAGTAAGGCTTCCAGTTTCAGTCATGAAGAAATCAGTCCACCAAGATGTCCAAATAAGTCTGAACTTCAGAAAAATCAATTATTAAATTTTACATATACTTATATCCCAAATCTAGTACTCTTACAGAGTAGCATTGGGGGCCAGGCAGTTGGAGGGAGTCCTCAAGTCCCTGACTTGCTTTTACCTTTCCTTGGGAAGCCTCCGCCTTCCTGCCTTGTGAAGCTTTTGAAGGCTGGGCTATGTAGTTGTAAGAACTAGGAACTCAGGTAACAGATGGTCAAATTTGGGGGGAGGATTTGAGACACCATTTTGTCCTTGCTGTGGAAGCCATGACTCCCACTGCTGTTCCCACTCTTTCTTACTGGCTTGACTTGGCTCCTTGTAATCTCACCATAACCCGTTCTCCACTTCCTAGAGCTGGAGACATTTGTGTTGAGGTGCTTCCACTGCAAAATTCTGGTGTGACGCAAGTCCTGTCTTGTGGGGGGGAATCCAGCCTTCACTCTGACTATCCCAAGTCTTGGCATCTTTCCTAATGTTCTTCTTACCCCATCTTGACTATGGAAGTTTGAGTAACCTGTCCATTTACCGCTAGACCAGCAGTTTCCAATCCGTGGGCCATGGCCCTTTTGAGGATCGAATGAACCTTTCACAGGAGGCACCCATCAGACATCCTGCACATCAGATGTTTACATTACTATTTATAATGGTAGCAAAATTACAGTTATGAAGTAGCGATGAAAATAATATTATGGTAGGGGTTGCCACAACATGAGGAACTGTATTAAGAATTGCGGCATCAGGTGGGTTGGGAACCACTGCTCTAGACAGACATCTTTGCCTGTTCATTAAAAGACTATGAATGGTGTAGTTGGCAATGATGGGGTCAGTCAAGCTTAGTGGTTCTCAGCCTTCCTCAGTTTTCCCTTTCTTAGGAGTAGGAGCAAATAACTGGCCCATTAGACTCCGAACTGTGAAAGTTGGACAGGACAACCAGGAAACGACATGAACTGGCCGGACTGCATACCTCTACAGAAGCTCTCTGTCCCGGACCACAAACCGTTGGGTTGACACAAATGGATGCTGCTTCCCACGAGGTCAAAACCAGGACGACATCGGACCCCACAGGCTGCATTGAAGTGGTTTTTGCAAGTGTTTTGTATAAAAAAACCATTTTCAGGAGGCTTCAGGGCAGGGCAGTGGACAACTAACAGAGAAAAAACCAAAAGCAAAGTTAGATTTTTGTCTATGTAACTGAATTGCTTCAGTTTATTTAGCAAAGCATGCCATCTGTCCAATGATCTGCCTGTCTGTCTCCATATATACATCTTTATTTCTAGATACTAATTTCCCACAGTCTTCCCGTTTGGCCCATCCAATTTTTAAGTATGTTTGGAACAAGAACCCCTACATAGTAAGTATTACTACCAATTAAAATGTAACATAGGCTGGACACTGTCTTTTAAGCTTCAAAGGGTTTTATTTTTATACTGGTACAGATGAATGTAAGATTTCGTAGACTTTCTCTCCAGCTCTGGTGCTGGACCCCAGGACTTCATGTGTCTAGGCACATGCTCTACCACCAAGCTATATTCCCCAGTCCCTAGTTCTTGACTTTCATAGATCATTAGATATTTTCCCTATTAATAAAGGTAGAATAAAATAATGAAGAGATAAAGAGCCAGGTGTGGTGGCATACACTTTTAATCCCAGCACTCAGGAAAATGTCACAGCTTCTGCCATGCACTATATACTATGTAAATATTTCTACTTTTGACACAATGGAAAATATTTATGAAAAAAAACTTTTTAAAAATGAATTTGAGTACTACCAGGTCCAAGACAAGCTGATTTGCCGTTCAAATTCATTGCTGATGTTGTAGTATTGCTCATTTCTAGGTACTAATTCATGGTTTCTGCAGTTACACTGCTCCTATGAGCTCAGATCTATTCTCTAGATCAGGAAGCCTGTGTGTTTAGTGCTAATAAATGCTATGTAATAGGAGCAAATGGCACCCCTGTCCCTGCAGTGTGACCAAAGACGGGGATGTGAAAGACCACCCTAAATGTATTGAGTGATAACACCACTCTGTACTACAGAGCTCAAGGTCAGCTTTCTATTTCCTGTTTGCTCACAGTAGGTGGCTTACCATGACAGGTCTGACCGGATGTCCGGTACCCCTCTCGGCACACACAGTCTTCAGGAGATGTGCTTCCGGGTCGAGAGGTGTGGTTTTCATCAGGACATGGGATGCATGTGCTGATTCCTCCTGGAGAAGCTTCAGGTTTATACGTCCCTGATGGGCAAGCTGTGGGCAGAAAAGTGGCCATTGAAGTCTGTTTATGTACTATGTCCATAGAAACTTAGAAAAATATAATGGGGTGGAGATAATCATTCTACATAGAAATAATTATTATATATTTCAAGCAGAAAAGAAGCTTTTAAAAAAGATTTTTTTTGTATTTTTATGTGTGTCTTTTGCCTGCAGGCTTGTATGTGTATCACATGAATGCAATACCAACAGAGGCCAGAAGAGGGCATCAGATCCCCTGGAACTGAAGTTATAGATAGCTTTTGCTTGTTGTGTGGGTGCTGGGACTCAAACCCACATCCTTTGGAAGAGCAGCTAGTGCTCTTAACCACTGAGCCGTTTGTCCCTAAAGGCTGACATATTTCATTTGTTATGTGTAAGGTATGAAACCTCTCTAGCCAACACGAGTGTCTGTCATAAAATATGACATTATGACATGTCTGGGTTGATTTTTGGGAAAACTGACACTCCACAGATTAAGCAAATCATAGCAAATAGGAAATACATATTTCATCTCCCCATTCTGTGCAGTCACCCCACCTCTACCCTAAGATCCCTGTGTTCCCTCAGTGCAGATCTGCAAAATCACCCCCATCATTTCCATTGGAAACCCTTGACAAGGGATGAGGAGAAGCCTAAGGGCCAGAGGGAAAACTTAACCGATGGGAAATGGTTTTGTGAAGAAGAAGGAATGAAAAAAACCCTGCTTCTGCCAGGCTCACGGGGAGCAAAGACTAACGGCAGAATCTAACTGACCTTGCTTCGATCGCCCCTCTACACTGACAGTTGTGGCTTTGAATTCATAGCTTCAGCCCTTTGGGGCTGCCCATCTGTAAAACAGCTCAAAAAAATAAGACATTTACTAGCGAAAGGGACTTGGCGGTGTTCAGCTAAGTAATCAAACGAAGCACAGCCATGAGGTGGGTCTGGGTATTGGGAAAAGCCACAACCAAGGAGCATGAATTTCCATGCCAAAGGCATGAAGCAATCACATCAAAAGTAAGATTCATAGTAAAAGGCAGCTATTAGGAAAATAACCGTGGTTCTATAATTCTTCATTACATTAAAAAAATAGACTATCAAACTCCCATGGCATATACTAGAATATTCTAGCTCTGAATCCATTTAAAACTTTAAAAATGAGGGAGACATTTAAAATACTAATAAATCTCTGCCTATGGAAAACAGTTTGGCATAAGGGAAGGAACTATTACTTCAAAGCATTTTTTTTAGTGACCAGTAAGTGCTCTTGAATTACACATTATAACAGACATATCTTCACCCGAACACTGAGCATCAGGAACCTCAGGTTAGTGCAAGGCAGCAAGTCCTCCTTTAAAGAGAAGCTGGCGTTTGCAGGGGAAAGTGACTGAGATAAAGGCAGTCATACATAAGAGCAAGAAAATACGACTGCAAAATGACCCTTGCTACTGGGGATAAATGACAGGAGCAATAGAATTGCAGGACAGCAGAACCAAGCAGGCACAGCCGTAGTCACTATCATGTTATCAAGGCTGAGACTGTAAGATTCACAGCAATATCCAAGTGAAATCAACAAAAGCCACAGCCAGCAGGAAGGAAACACATCACAAGCTTACGAGGAAAATCAATAAGATAGCGATGAGCATCAAGCAGGTCCTTCATGTCTCCAGTGCAAATACAAATTCCAGGGGAAAATCAGCATGAATTGAGGTAGAGAGCTGTGTCAAAGGGCAGTATGGATCCAAAGAGTCAGAACGCTGGGCAAGAACAAGGAAGACATTGAGCATGTACACGGGTGATACACCTCATTCTAGAAAATAAAGACATTTCATTGGCTAATGAAATAAAAATCAAGAACATAGATTGTGAAAAATAGTGTTAAATCAACTGCTTGAGAGTGAGAAACGTGGAACATGTATAGTCACAGTCTGGTGTCACATTAAATAATTGTGAAAACGGAAACAAAAAACAAGTAAAGCTCCCTTTTCTCAAGAAAATACTTGAGCCGGGCGGTGGTGGCGCACGCCTTTAATCCCAGCACTCGGGAGGCAGAGGCAGGCGGATCTCTGGGAGTTCGAGGCCAGCCTGGTCTACAAGAGCTAGTTCCAGGACAGGAACCAAAAGCTACGGAGAAACCCTGTCTCGAAAAATCAAGAAAAAAAAAAAGAAAGAAAGAAAGAAAGAAAATACTTGATAAGAGACAAAAATAACTTTTGCATAATATGAAGAAGGAATATTTAAGATACAAGAGAACCAGGTAGATAAGTGGAAATAAGAAAGCAATTCATTCACATGTACCAATATGATAAAATGGCAAGAAAAAGCAGGTTCCAATTTGTTCATAAAAAATACTTGTGTAACTATGAATAAGAGAAAGAATGTAGGGCTTTCAAGCCAGCAGAGAGAAAAGTACAAAGAAAATCTGAACATGAAACAAACAGAGAGAAGAAACAAGGAAGAATGGGATCCAAAAGGACATAAATTACAGTGGCAGAGGCGAAACCAAGCAGAGTGGTTAGCACAAATAGGTCTTTGCCTTAACCCTGTTGATAAGGGAGAAACCTGAAATAGGTCAGACTCACAGTTTGAAAATAGCATGCTGTTAAAAGATATGTAAGAAAAAATCTTCAAAAACTCCTGGTGAAGGGAACAAATTTCCATCTAATGGAGAAATAGGAAACATGTAACGAACAGTCTGGTGCGATGACACACGCCTTCATCCTAGCACCCAGGAGGCCGTGGTGACACACGCCTTCCATCCAGCACTCAGGAGGCTGAGACAGAACGAGTGTGAGTTTGCAAATACCCTGAACTACATAACAAGTCCCTGAAGAGATGGGGAGTAGGGAGGAGAGAAAAGGCAGCATGGGATGGGTTGTTCAATAACACAAGACAGTTATGAGTATGAGAATAAATAGACGAAGAAGAAATGTACGAGGCCGACAATCCCAGGGCAAACCGTTTATTGCTCAGCACAAGGGGAAAATGAACGGCTGCCTTTTAGTTTGGCAACCTCTCAAATGATGTTAGCACCCCTTGCAGATAGGTGTGTGAGGAAAGGGTTTCTTTTCTGAGCCATAGACAACACGTAATGTTTCTCTAGGGTAAACTGAGGGAATTCACACAACGTCTCACAGTGTGTCTTCCCTTTAATGAGTTTGTCTCTAAAGGTGTTCCAACTAAATATGAGCAAGGATGTACTCTAGACACTTTCGATTATTGCACAACATTGATGACGATGCAAATGTCCACAGAGAAAGGCTTCCTTGAGTTCTTAAGACACATCCAACCAACTAGACAGTCGCCCTAAAAATATAGGTCCTGAGCTGGGGAGATGGTTCCCTTGGTAACATGCTTCCTGTGTGAGTTCACACTATCAAACATCCGTGTGTACACATCTGTCATCCATATGCTGGGGTGTGTGGAGACAGGCAGGTCGCAGGAGCTTGCAGCTCGGCCAGGCTTGTTGAATCAGTGAGCTCCAAGTTCAAAGAGACCCTGTCTCACAACAGACACCAAACTCTGGCCTCCGTTGTTACTACATATACACATCACATACACATGACTATGTGCACACACATTGTCTCTTCTTTCTCTCACTATCTCTCTCTGTCTCTCTCCTTCGAATAAAGGGGTCAAATATTCAGTAATTTTTAAAAAATATTTTTTTTCAAAATTTATTTTATTATTTTTATATGTAGGTGTTTTGCTTGCATGCATGCCTGGTGCTCCAAGACTCCAGCAGAGGGCACTGAATACCCCGGAACTGGAGTGACAGACAGCTGTGAGCTGACATTTTGGTTCTGGGAGTGAATCCTGCCCTCTGGAAGAGCAGCCAGTACTTTTCATGACCCAGTGAGCCATCTCTCCACCCACCATTCAGTAAATTTACAATCAGCTCCCAGCTCATCATTTCCCAACCATGCGTGTGTGTGTGTGTGTGTGTGTGTGTGTGTGTGTGTGTGTGTGTGTTGGGGGGGTATTTTTATCTCATCAACCATGCATGTGTGTGTGTGTGTGTGTGTATTCTCATCAACCATGCGTGTGTGTGTGGGGGGGTATTCTCATTCATCAACCATGCGTGTGTATGTGTGTGTGGGGTATTCCCATCTCATCAGCCATGCGTGTGGGTGTGGGGGGTATTCTCATTTCATCAACCATGCATGTGTGTGTGTATCTGTGTGTGGGGATATTCTCATCTCATATGTATGTTGTAATAAACAGATATTCCAACACTTGGTAAATACCTCCCTCTTTTCCTCCCCTTTCTTGTCCTCCACTTAGCTTGTCTTCGTGTGTTCCCCTTCTGCTAAGCGGACTCCAGTACCCTCCAAGACTCTCACTTGTTCTTCAAAGTTTCCCCAACTCTGTGGACAGTTAACGCCTCTTCTCTTCGGAGTCCCACAGCACATCCCTACCCCTGTGCTCTGGTGCCAGGGTGTGTGATAGCTTAGTTGTCTTTTTCTCCAAGCGGGCAACATACTCTGGTAAGTTCCCAGATTTTTCCAATTCACTGGACTCCACAGCTGTCTGTCCTACTGCTTCGATCAGCAGCCATGCAATCAGAAGAGGGCAAGAGAAAACAGTGGCTCCCAGAGGGTGGAGGCTGGGCCTAGACAGAGGCCATACTAATATCATGAAGAGCATCGCTGGGATGAAATGAAGATGTTAGATTTGGAAGTGAGACTATTGACTCACAGTCTTGGTCTTCCACTCATAAGCTACAGGGTGCTGGAATAGGATTTTTCCTTTTTTCTATTTCTGTAACCTTAGGAAGTTACAGCTAATAATGTCTAAGTTCTTCCCAAAGGTAAAATGTGAAGATTCCATAAAAAGAATATGGAAAAGCCATCTGAAGAAGTCTTCACAGAGTGTAGTCATTTCTGGATGCAGATTTGATATTGTATATCAAAAAGCAATATAACTAGAGAAGAAACTAGCCCTGCATGAGTGTTTGCCAAGCCCCCTTGAATACAAGGGTTTACAATATTGGAGCATAGTGCTTGGGCTAAAAA